CTCACGCAGTTCAGTCACATGATTGAAGTTCCTAATTTTTTTGTGGCGTTTCGGCTCGTTAGAATTATCAATCGCCATCAGAATCATACGCAGAATACAAAAAGGAAGCGAATGAGCACTTTTCGGAGATTTTAGGGTCATTTTTTGGGGTGTGCCAATTTTTTGGGGTCAATTTTTCTTATTTTGGCTTTTCTGGGCAATCTGCTCGTGCAATCCTTGAACTAATGTGTATAGTATCATGCCTGAAGCAAAAGAAAAGAAAACCGAGCATATTTCGGGTCGTAAAAACTCGGTCATGTTTTTGGTTGACTTTGCTTGTCCCCGACTGTAAGCGCCGGAGACCAGCGCACCCGGGAGCTTGTCGTCATGTCTTATCGAGGTCCGAAGACTGCGCCGCTGGAGAGAAGCGTCCGAGAACCCGCGCTGATCGGAGCTCCTCAGGGTTCGTGTTGGCGTCCACTGGAGATTCACAAGCGCAGAATGGGTGGGAGACCTTGAGGGGTGGAGGTTTTCTTCCGCATTAGATGTTCAGGAGGAGGTAATGTGCGATTAGTTGAGTATGGATGTGGATGGGTGCCTGAGATGGGAAAGATATGCACAGGTCGCTGGGCGAGCATCAAGGGCATATATGCAACGTCAGAGACAGTATGCGCCAGTGAGCTTAGTCTTATAGCCGCAGGCAGGTTCCTCGGCCTAGTACCATATACTCCGTGTCCGATGAGCGGGTAACATTATATTCGTCTCGATCCCTTCTATGCCCCGTTCACCCTGCTCCAGCCATTTTGCAAGATCCCAGAGGTAAAAGTCGATGAGGACACTGCACACAACCTCCTTCTCCCCGTTGGCGCAGATATCAGAGGAGGCGTCGGCCGAGTCCGGTTTCGAGGCGGAGAGGAGGTCGAGGATGGCGTCCTTGACGTGCTCCACGGCGAGAATGCTCGCGGCCCTGATGCTAATCTCCTCGACGCAGCCGCTCGGGAAGTATCGCTCGTGCTTGAGCGCTTGCGCGAGCAGGGGCGGGTAGTCGAGGATTTTGAGGTGGTGGAGGATCTGCGGGACGCGGTAGTCGGCGAACATGGTGAGCTGATGGATACCGTCCGGGAAGAACGGATGGTCGGCCGGGTTGGACGAGGGAGGATAGAAGGCTGCCCAGGTTTCGGCGACGAGGATTTGGGCGCGCTTCCAGAACCTGACTGAAGTGAAATGAGAACATGTGGGGAACGGGAGGGGGAGACGTGCACACCTGTCCTCCCGTTGAATGGCTGTTCGTCCCTGAATGAGGGAAAGGTATCTGTGACCATGCGGACAAGATCGAGAACAGACGCGTGATCACCATAGCGAGAGCGCCAGGATTTAATGAAGCACAGGAAGGAACCGTCAAATTTCTGCGTTCACTCATCAGCACGCAATTGGATACATAGAATGTTGCCGCGAACATACAGCTGTGAGGATAGAGCCAACTTCACGCATCACAGCGATGCGCTCCTGAAGGAGGGCGATATCTTCGGAGGATTGCCGAGCAGGTCTGAAAATACGTTTGATGAGCGCATCCGAACATTGGGTCTCGGACGCATAGAAGGACGGGTTGATGATATCTATGCCTTCATCCATTGCTATTGGAGAAGCGTTCAGGAACACAACGGGGACAAGCCGTGCGGATCATTCTCACCTCGGTTGATAGCGGCCAGTAGACTCCAATAGCCTGTCCACGTTTTCCGCTTCTGAGTCTTCCAGCCATCCTTCCAGTCAACTGCATACTGTGTCCGTTCATCGCACTCCGACCAGAAGGAGAAGTTGATCGCAGAAACTAGGAATATCCAGTTCAGGCATTTTTCCGTCGCGGTATGCGAGGAGTCGAAGGGCTCGGGAGGCAAAAGGTGGAGAGGGTGGGTGCGCCATGTGCGCGGGGTGTACGATTCCCGCTTTATCTGCTCATGAATCTGGGAGGAGTCGATCTAAGGATGACAAGCTGTAAAACCGGGGTAAGACGTACGTATGCGGCAGCATTTCGGATTCCGCGATCGTTGAGGCGGACAAGGTTTGTTGCCTACGTAGACAAGCGCAGTCAGCTTAGATAGATCGTGTACGCCATGACTCTTATAGTTCAGTGCGGCAGCCGAAGATGTACCTTGTAGGCGAACTCGGCGTCTTCTATGACTGGGTTTTGCGTGTCCATGTGGAGAGCAGGTAACTTCTGTCAGGGCCAGAGTATGCTTGAGATTATGCTGAGAGTTACAGGTGGTACATTGGAACGTGTACGATAGATGTACTATAGAGATTGAGTTTTAGGCGGCTATCGCATCGTTCTCGGGCGAAGATGGTGGAAAAAGAAAGGGGCTGCAGACGGCGCGTACCATTCATTGCGCGCCTCCTCTGGCGCGATCAACTCTCGCCTTTCATCTTCGCGTCTTGAGGCCTTCGGGCTGTTCAATACACGCCCAACTGCCGTTTTGCTTGCTTAGATTGAAGCCTTACTGAAGATGGCCCCCAGTGTGCGGTATAATTGCCCATGCTTCTCCTCGTCGCCCCTTCCTCCGCCACCGCACCTCGCCTCGTCCTCCTACAACTTCCACCCCCTCCATGCGTTATTTTTTTGCGAAGAATGCGACGCAGTGCGCTGTAATAAATGCGTCGCCGTCGAAGTCTCCTGCTACTACTGCCCCAACTGCCTCTTCGAGGTACCCAGCGCAAGTGTACGAGCGGAGAAAAACAGGTCTGTCAGCTTCATATCAGCTCGCGCGGGCAACATGCTAATCATGCAGGTGTTGGAATCTTCTTGGACCACATGAAGATGTGCGCGCAACTGCTTCTCGTGCCCGAACTGCCGGAATACGCTCTCGGTCGTAGCGTCAGATCCACCGGATACCGATGACGGCCCTCTATCGTCCATACCATCTGGAACAATCGGAGAACCGCCCTTCTTTCTCTACTGTAACCACTGCAGATGGGACTCAGCGGAAGTTGGTATCACGTTCGAGAAGCCTACAGGTCTCGCAGGTGCGATCTACATCCCAGTTGGCCTAACCTCTAGTGCTAAACACGCATTTCGACAGCTCAACTACAGAAATTTGAAGACTCGGCGCCAGACGCGCTCGAATTCGACCGGCTCAAGGAACACTTCGAGCCACTCCTACAACGTGCAGCCTCCTCTCTCCCTCCGCCACAATCGATTTCTCGGCACGCATCTCATTCGAGCTCTGTTACAGCAGCTGCGGCGTCAGCTCTTGCCCGCGATGTAACAGGCACGGCGTCCAAGTATTCCGCACACCCGTTAGCGCGTAGTCGGTCGTCCAAGGATCGGAGCCTGAACAAGGACGAGATGCCGGAGTACAGGGCGCGCGTAGACATAGCTTCCGCGAGCGTGCTGGGAGCGGGGGGAGGCGAGGCGGACGCGGAGTACATTCGGCACTTGGAGAATATCGGACAGGTGGCGACTTTGGAACAGCGATGGGTGACCAGCTGGACAACTCCTTTGCACGTCGCGTACGTCGTCTCCGGTCCTGCTCACAATCGCGAATGTGTGGCTAATCCTCTGTATATGCTGCTTAGAGACCTGAGGCCGCTTCGTATACCACTTCAATCCAAGAAGACCAAGCGCTGCTCTACGTGTCGTCATATTCTCATCAAGCCGGAGCAGAAAGCACAGTCTGTACGATACAAGATCAAGCTCGTCGCGGCGAACTACCTCCCCGCCATCACCGCCTCTGTACCTGTGCTGAACCGTGTCGAACCGACTCGTCGCCCAGGTGCGGCTGCCGATGCGGAATCGACAACAGGCATGCAAGCGGGGAAGACGTACCCGTTCCAGCTGGCACTGACCAACCCGCTGTACGATCCCATTCAGGTCAGGCTCTCGGTCCAGCGTGCCGGCCCTTCCGCGTCCGCGAACACCCCTGGCACCACAACGGACGCAGCTGCCACCCGACGCCCGCCATTCGCCGTCTCCTTGCCAAACTCGGCATTCCCCATCGCAGCGTTTGCGGAAGCGTGGGAGTACGAGGATGATGAGGATATGCTTTTGGATGACGACGATCTGACGTTGGGGGTGGGGCATCATAGAGGAGGAAGAGACGGCGGCGGGTCCAAGCTGAAGAGCGTGGGCGTGCTGGAGAAGAAGGCTAACACGACTGTTGTTGGTGGAGAGGTCGTCATTGGGCGAAGTGCAAGGGGAGAAGTCAAGGTATGAAACATGCTCTAGTTCTGCTTCCTTCGAGCTGCGGGCTGACGCTTCCGCTTTCCATGAAGTTTAATATGCTGGTATCGTACACGTACCGGTCGGACGACACGGCTGGATCGGAGGACCACGAGGCGACTCCCTCCAGGCGACAGAAACAGCAGCAGGAACCGGAGATGAAGACGTTTTCGTTTTCGACGGTGGTAGACCTGGGTCCTATCATCGCCAAGGAAACGCAGGAGCTGGAGAGCTAGTTGAAGATCTGGCAGCGATACAAGCGCAAAATCTCAATTGTTGTTATGACCTGTCGCGCTGCGGACGGCGTCCATACTTCACGGCGCACGAGGCAGGATGAGAATGCCGCTGGTTCGATAAGATCCAGAGCAGGGGGGAATTCGGGGTGCGTGTCCTTGGATCTCATTAATGTTATCATTCCTGGGACAATACGCGTACAACAAACCACTGTTATTCCTCGACACACGTTCATATTGTTAGAAGCAAGTAATCAGATGAATCCTACTTATTCGCGTCAGTGGAGGGTCCGAGATCATGATCAGCTGCACCGGTGTCGTAGCACCGCCTAAGCATCTCAACGCTTGACAACCACTCTCTCTGCGCGGGTCGCCTCTCGGGCGGCTGCACTGCTCTCTTCTCTTTGGTCTTGCCTTCTGGGCTCCGAACTGGCTTCCTCCTCCTTCTCCTTGTCGTCCACCCACTTTCTTTTCATTCAGGCGCTTGCCAGGCGCAAGTCGAGGCTCTCTCATTTAACAAGTTCATTACATTGAAAACCCCCGACCTGGCTCGTCGACTACGCTGATAGTTACGCCTGCGTATCAAGATGGTGTCGACTGCAGCTGGGGCTTCAAGTTCAATATCCTCCTCCTCGACCGGTCATAGGGAGAGCGTGGCGGAAGAACGACCGCAGGCGGGTCCGTTACCGTCCAAACGGGGAGAGATAGGCTACAGCGAGGATATCCATGGTCAAGCTCAACGCTCGGAAGACGGCCATTCCGTCGTGGCCCTGCCCGCCCGACATCCGGCAGACCGAGACGCGCCCCCTCCAGCCGACGCTGCTCCTGTGTCGGACGACCCCGGCGCTCTGACCAACATACCCTTGAACGACTCGAACAATCCTTCCTCATCAAACCCCTTGAACCCCCCTGGAGAAAACGCCAGCACCGATGGTCACGGTGCTGCATCTGTCGCGGATAACACGTCCACCCACTCCAAAAGATCCATCATCTCCTTCTTCACCCGCCGGAAGGCGCCCAAGTTCGGCGGCATGCGCTTGATCACCCTCATCCGGTTCACCTTCCAAGTGCTCCTGATTGCGGGAGTTATCGTGGCCTGGGTCATACTCGCGAAGGAATTGCCGAAACGCCAGCAGAAAGATCAACAGTCTTCCTCCGACAGCAGCAGCACCTCCAATAGCGGCAACACCTTGCCTATCGGTGGAAGCGCAACTGCAGGGATCTTCATCCACGTCGCATTCGGGGTACGTGCGCGTCGCGAGTGTCGGATCAAAGAGCCCTAGTTCTCATATTTGCTGCAGGTGGCGACTCTCGCACAGTTCCTGTTCCTGGAACGCACCGTCTTCCGCCTCCGCGCCGAACGCTACATGTACAAACACCCTGGCGAGGTCCTCCCCCGGCACATGCATCGCGAGATGGCGTCTAACCCGTCGCTCGCGTTCGCGCCCTGGAACCGCCCGCCGCTGCCGACGTACGCCGCCGCGCTTGTCGAAAGCGGGGTCGGCACGGGCGACGTGGAGGACAGCATCATCGCGCGGCAGGGGCCGCCCCCGCCCGCGTACGGCAAGACGCGCGGGAGCACGCTGCTCCTCGCCGGGTCGATGACGGAGGCGCACCGGAGCAACCTGATGATGTTCAGGCGGGACAGCGATGTGAGCACGCTGCGCGCGGAGGAGGGGCGGAACCGGGTCGTGGAAGGAGGGTTGCGGGTTAGTCAGCTGAGCGACCGGCCGAGCAGGCCGGTGAGTTACAGGAGCGTGGACGAGGACTGGAACGAGGCGGTGGATGCGGCGAGGGCGCGGGCGTTGGAGGAGACGCTCGCGACGTTGGAGGATAGTCGACCTGCTCCTGCTGCTCAGAGGAGATGAGACCGTTGGCTGCCGTTCAACCTGCTCCTGCCGCTCTCGCGTCCATCCTTCAGCACCTGATGGCGCAGTTGATCTACCGTTGTTTCTTGGACTACATTTACTGTACCACCATCCACTATTCTTGCTCTTCATTTATACCGATTTATTGTTTGTCTTATGTAAACGATGTGATGGTACTTGATCTGATCGCGCTCAAACTACGATGGGGTCTCTGTATTTCGCACACAATTCTATCCGTGCATTGCACTAGGGCCGCAGGGCATGCGCAGTATATACGTACATATGTTTGTAATGCGCAGTATATATGTTTGTAGTCTACTCGGATATTCAGAAGCCGGCATTCTAGCCAAAACGGGAGAAGGATGGCAGAAGCGATCACGCAATGCGCTCTCGTCCACTCGAGTTCAGCGCCGTCGTGATCGAAGTTAGCGCGGTACCACATGGAGCACACGGCCATGGTGCCCAGCCCGTCGTCAATTGAGATCGCTTTCACGATTTGGTCTTGCCCATTGCCCTTGACCAGCTCCAAGCTGTGGTCCATGCCTCTCCGCGAGCGCGGACCACCATCAACAAGGCATAGACAACGGAGCCGTCTCGAGAACGCTGCTTAACGAGGGGCCCATAGATGCAAATGCGCCCGTCTTTTGCCCGCTCTGAATCGTTCCGCTCGACATTCTCTTTTGGATCGCTCGGATCTGCTGCCGCCAGTACCGCTGCCGCTTCGGACGCGCCGCCGTCCTATGTCTCTCGGTCGACGGCCCCGCACTACTCGGTCGACCCCGCGAGCGGTGAACACCGGCTCGCGCTGAACCCCAGGCCGGGGCAACACGAGGCAGCCAGCGGGCGGGGCGTCTACGTGAAGGAAAACGGGAAGATACGGGTGGTACTGCGCAACCAAGAGCCCGACGCCCCCGTGCCGACATACGGCCTCAATTCGATCATCGGAGGCGAGGTTCAGCTGGTGAAGGATAGCAATGTGGTGGAGGTTACGGTCCAGGTACGGCTATTACGACCCTTCTGCAACGATCGAGAATCGTGCTGACGTTGTCTCTTTCAGTTGGAGGCTCGCATATCGCTAGCTGTTGCGGAGGTACGTTCGATGATATGCGATGGGCGCATATACGCATGCTGATGGTAAATTGAAGGGTGCCACCATCCAAGAACCTTTATTCTCCCAGACGTCTACGGTATGGAGCGAAGGAGAGACCGCTACCTACCCTGATCGACTACAATTTGCCGTACCTTTCCCTCGTACGTACCAAGATGGATCTCGTACGCGGCAGTCGCCGCCGTCGTATGAAGTGACGTTCCCCGGTGTGCCTGGTCTGCATGCGAAGACGTCATACTCGCTCGTTATAACCGTCACCAAACGAAGACGTCATATGTCTTTGTGGAAGAAAAGCGACGCGTACGTAGCGAAGTCAGGCGATTGCACATGGAATAAGACGCTGATGAACATCGACTAGTATATACATTCGTGTGGGATATTACCCTAGAACACGCTCGAGCATTCCCATGATACCGAGCGGCGCAACGTTTCTGTCAACGTTCAAGGAGTGTCCTGAGGAATGGTTCCAAGGGATGACGACTATGCAGACGCGTGCAGGGTGCGGTTTCGAGCCTATCGATTGTCATGTAATGCATAATCCATCTGCGATCCTTTGTTTATATCGTCTGACTGGTCTGCTATCTAGCTTTTCATCCCTTCTTCTCGTGTTTACGCAGTCACCGACACGATTCCATTCCAGTCAGTCTAATCACAAATCTCGATCGTTCGAAATTCAGGCTGACAGGATCTGGATCCTACAGCGTCCAGCTCACCGCCCCGCTATCCTCTCTCCAGGCCTTCCTATTCTCGGTGCCTCCGTGCGACATCCCCTCCTTTCCCCCGGAGTATCTCACGCGCGTGCTCTCGCACGGATCGACGGTTTCCCCACGCTTCAGCCTCCGCGTCTTCCTCTATCGGCAGATAACCGTCGAAGTCCGTGGGCAGAAGACATGGCGGCTGAGCATACTCGGCGAAGGGAACCTGAGGCCGCTGAGCTCCGTGGCCAGCCTGACGGCGTACGCGTCGCGGCAGTCCTTGGTGAACGTGAACCAGCTCGGGTGCCTAGATTGGGAGGGCGAGGTGAGAGATCTGGACTCGATCCTCGCTGCCGTTTCTCAGTCTGCTGACCGTGGTGATGCCAGGTGAAATGCGACCCGGATGTCCGCGTACCCGGGTTCAACGCGGGGAAGCTGGTGGTGAAGGATTTCATCGTCCTCGGGCTCTCACCTCCCGACCCTGCCGTATCGCCGTTGCTCGAGCATCAGAAAGCGTTTCCGATCCGACTTGTCACCGACCCTTGTGAGGCATGGTGGTAGTGAACCACGTTCCCCGTGTCGTCATCGGCGGCACTTTGGCGCGACGCGTCAGCGTCTCGATAACCGTCTAAACCCCTGCCGGGTTCGTCGTCCTGGGCCACGGGACGCTGGAACCCTTTCTTCCCGTGGTCCGCGATGGGAGCTTCGCGAACATTGGAAGGTTTGCCTTCCTCGACCGCCAGCCATGCAGCATGAACCTTCACCACATCGGAGATACCAAGATCCAATGTTTTCTTGTCCTCCCGCGTGCATCGTCGTTGTACCTCGCCACTCTGTCTCCTACCAATACTCCGGTCGTATGTTAAGATGGACGTCTTGCTACTTTGCTGTACATTCGTTTTGTTGTCTTTAATTCTACTCGTCCGCTTGAGGGTATATTCCGTCCGACCCTGAATGTGTGTTAGCATGGCGAAGATCGGCGGGAATCACAATGCCAGCTGCTAGACGTGAGCGTATGCTAACGTTATTGCGGTACTGCCTCCGGTCTTCTCATGCTCGATGACAGCCCAGAAAGAAAAGATGGGTCTTCCTATGCCCAACGGTAAGCCTGGAAAGACCGGAGGTTGCACGCGACGCCTCTCGACTCTGGGCCCATACGGCCACGCTTGTCTTCAGTCAGGCATATTCGGAACAGTAGAGTGTATTTGCAGGTGGTGAAAGTTCTCCGCAGTAGGCAAAGATGTCCGCGGGGAGCCCCGCCAAAACATGCAGTGCATAGTCAACGTCCCACTCCACTTTCTACTGTGTTCCGAAGGATTGAGTGGCTGGAAGAACAGGAATAGAGTTAGATCGCGCTACAGATCATCCGATATCATAGAATTCATGCGCAGCAAATTGCAGTATACCCGATGGCCTGTCGCGCGCGCTTTCAGCGACTTCGTCGTGTGTTGCCGTGGCGCCGTGTTGAGCTTTGTCCCGGAATGGACATATAGAACGTCGACAGGGGGGGGGGCACAAATCTTTTGCTCCGCCACCACGGGGAAGACTGCGTTGTGGTAATTGGCGAGCCGAATGCGAACCCGCTCAACAGCCGGGCAACGTAACACGTGTATATCTTGTTACGTGTTCTTCAAAATCACGACCGGTTCGTTCGCCTCTGGCAAAATCAAATCTCGTATGCCTCTATACCGATATATCCTTCGTTCGCTTGGAAGATCGGCCATGAGTGGGGAGGTCATGCCAATCGCCTGATGGCCACGCCACGTGGAGGAAACGACCTCGTCACCCATTTGTTTCGTGATAGGACAGTAACGGTTCGTGAGTCGTTCGATTTGCTCTGTCATGCGCTGGGAGGGGGTGCAAAATGTTACGACGCCATGTTCGCCGCCTCACTGTCCTCGATGGTGTGTCTAGGAGGTCAACGAGCAATGTCCAACGTCCGGGCCACTCACCTGACTGTCGGTTTTTTTTCTGTGACAATAATGATCTTCCTTTTCTGAAGGGCGGATTCTCCCAATCACAAACGTGCTATTTGCCGAGCCTGGTTCCGTGCCCTGGTTGCCTGAGAGGTCTACGACCGAGCTTACCGAGTCTTCTACAGGCGACACGACGACGTATGAGAGGAACTCAGACGGGAGCCCAAACAACCTGGGCGATTACAGAACCCGTTTCCAGGCATCCAGCTGGACCTGGTTCCCCTGCGGTTTGGGCCAGAAGTTTTGAATTCGGAGCGGGTTCTGTGCGACGATGATCGTGTCAAAGACCCTGATGCTGGTCGATACCGTGCGCCGTTCTGTCCCCACGTACGCGGCGCTCACCGCGTGTTTTCTCGATTAGTACCCCATATCGCTCTGGCATCGCTCTGCAGAGGTGTCAACTCGGGTGTGTCACCCCGATTTATTGATAGGAAACCTCCCAGAGCGATGGACTGGTCCGCTATTGCGCCGTGATCGAGCCACATCGCGTTGTGCCAATCCGACAGTGGTTCTCCCTTGAGAAGGTAAGTCCGAGAAGTTGGCCAGGTTCCCATCCACGATGCGTGAACGGGCCTTGATAACGTTCTAGCGGCACTGGCGCGCATCCTTGTGCACAAATCAAGACGTTCTCGTCCGGAATGCCGGCCTCTTTTCCCGTCCTCGAGGCAAGCTGCAAGATCTTTGGAGGACATGATAATGACAGCTGACGTCTCATTGGTTCGGCACTGCGGATGTTAGGAAAATTCTCCTTGTCCATTATGGTTTTTGGGTCCGAGGATTCCGCCTCCTCCGAGCGAGAGGTGGTGAGAAGAACTAGATATTGGCGACGGACTCAAGACGGGTGCCCCGTGTGCGACCAGATCTATTCTGGGCTTCAGTTCTGAACGGAGGTGCTCCGAAGAAGGTGGGTCAACGGTCGGTATGTTCAAATTTGAAAGCTTACCTCGCGGTGTCATTGTTCCAGTAAATCGAACGGCTTGCCTGCCAACACGGGAGATCAAGGTCATCCTGCGGCACCATGCGGACGAAAACAACCGTATGGGAACTCTTCGGCATCCTCTCACTGCTGTTCCTGTTGGACGTCACGGCTACTGCCCGCTCCCCGCACGCTCGACGGGTGCGGCGCCCGGAATATTGTTATCGAGTCCGAATCTGCGAGCCCCTGTTGCGGCTTGTATCGGAAAGTCCCAGTCCCATGATTCCGCCGCCCCCGCAAGTTGGCGGCCTAACGGCGACAGTCTATGAAGCCGCGGGTCCCGTCGGATTGTTCTAGGCGGCGGCGGCACGCAGCCAAGGATAGCCCCTCTCACAGCGTCCTCGAAAGGCCGGAGTCGGAAAAAAATGGAAATTAGAGCTCAATTGGCTTGCAGCTATGGTACAGTCGTCGGCGTGATGCAAGAGGCACACGGGTAGGTAGCGCGAAGGAGTAACAGCGGGGTAACCCTATCCTAGCGCGTCGATCGCCACAGGAGGTCCACTCAAAATTAACTCCGACGTCGCTGGTTGGATTTACGTCTTGCACATGTCAAAGAAGGGGATCAACAACATCCCCTGCCCCCGGTACCTCTGTATACACAATTCGTAGCATCGTGGGCCATCTGAGCCATCTGCATCATGAAGCAGCGTTGCTGAACCCAATACATCAAGATCCGGTAATTTCCGCGCAGGCATCGAGGCTCAAGTGAATCGGCGGCGGATCCGTTTCGCCCTTCCGAACCAACCCAGTAAGCCGGCCCGCGCAACGTCCATGGACGACCCTGGCTCATCCTCTGCCCCACTGGAATTATCTCGAATTCAGCTCGCTCGACATTAATATGCAAATGCTCCTGTAGCACTCCCGGATCATTCTTCCTTGAACGCGACCACACGACACCACTGCTACTCTGCGACGCTGCTGTCTCTCACCTCCCATTTCGAATCTGCTCTCTGGTCTCACGCGAAACTATCTCCACAACCGAACGAACATGGATCCGTCCACAGCTCCGACTCCGTTGACCATCGGTTCCCCGATACATTTCTATGCGGGCCCGCTGGCGGGCAAGACCGTCAGAGCCGAGCTGTTGGAGCTTCAACACGCGGACAGAGGGAGAAAGGTCCGTCGGTTGCGTTGAGTCCCCCGGCTCGTTGTCGACTAGCTCGTAATAACCTTCCTCCAGTTTGTGAAGCAGGATCGAAGGCCGCTTGAGTGATCGCCAGCCTTTCCCCATATTCGTCGACGTTATCTGACATGCCGCCTGCAGTCCCCCGCCTATCGTAGGTAAGCGCCCATACCATCGACGTATAGTCACAACCTGACGTCGTCCCAGAGCTCCGATTGTATGAGGTCTTCCACAACGGCACACCCCAGCAAGTTGAAACCCCCATCAATGGGTTAATGTCACTCCGCTCAAGCCCAGTCATAGATACCTGATACCTGTCTGCTTGTAGAGTTGACCTGCCGTCGCTCTTCCCCGGTCTGGTTTGCAGTTTAGACCTATTTCCCGTATCAGGCCCGGATATCGAAGCGGCCGCCCGAGCGCCGCAGGACGGCACGCCCGGCGTATGGCATCGGGTCAGTGGTTCGTTCACCAGCTCGAATTTGCTCGCTCACCTCGCCGTCGTATGCAGCGCCGAGACACCGATGACCCAAACATCGTCGCGTATGTAGCGGGTTATCCTATCCATGAGAGCACGCGTTGCACCAGCGCTTTGGTAGGAGAGTCATTCACGCATGTGGCGCCAGTCGAAGGGGTCAGCTCGTCTGCTATATTACTTCCCTCGCATCGGACCGCTCATCATCATTCTTATAAACAGCGATTACTCTTCACGTTCGGAGTATGGTTGTCACCGTAAACGAACATGACAGGTCACTGACAGGTTTTCTGCAGGACATCACGTCGACTATCGAAGGATATTTCATTCTTCGCTACCGCGCCTTCAATATTCACTCGAACCTACCGGGCGAACCTGTGCCTATCATCGCGGAATGCTACGGCCAACCGTTCCGGGTTTATTCGACGAAAGGCGAGCGGATCATTAATTTCACATGCTATGACAGCATCGGTTGAGACGAAAACGTGTCCGGTGCAGATTTCCCAGGGCTTGCCGCATCGACCAACCTGACCAAGGTAAGATTCCACTCCTCGTGTCAAGAATCGTTGCGGAGTTCCGCGAGGCTGAATCGAGTTCCCTTTCCGCTGCCCAGCTCGTGAACAAGTGGGGTGTGAAGACCAACGTACGGGAATTCGGACGTTCCCGCGGGAAGAAGACGACATCAACAGTAACAGAGGGCGACGCTGAGGCGAGTGGATCATCGAGTACCGGCGGCACCAAGCGCAAGGCTGATGCGACGGAGTGGAGCGAGTAGTTGCGATGGCTTGGATTTTGCGATGGCTTGGACTTTGCGATGGCTTGGACTTTTCCCTGTTATGTATCTCCACGACATGCTGCCGTTTAGTCATATATGTAGTACAGTGCTATGTAATTACCCCTCGATTCCAATGGGTTGAAGATTAATTGGCGTTATCGCTCCTGTTACTGGCGATAGTCTAATTCGATAACGACTCTCGAGGAAGACGACCTGTTCCTGACTGGTGACCGTGGCCCCAGCATGGCCCACAAGCACAGCAACCGGCATCGGGGCCATGGACGCCGGCATGAGCAGATCTGAATGGCTTAGAGGACCTCTTACAAACATCCCGGTGGCGCGCGAGGCTGCGAGAGGCTGCGCAGCCGACTCCGGAGCTCTTGAGCCGCGCTGGTGTGGTAGCTTCACCATCATCCCAATACAGCCTTCTGATTGATCTCAACCTGCGTCTCGAAGCCACCTGCAACCGTAACGTGGCGTAAGAATTGACTCATATCAACTGGCTGAATATAAGCACTTATGCTCTCGACGTTCGTGCAGCCGTAGTCCGCTCAATCGGGGCATTTGCCGCCGAAGGAAGAGGAGAGACGCGTGGGCAGGGGTCCTCTAGAAGAATTTTCCCCCATGTCTTTTCCGCTGTGTCCGCATGGCATTGGGCGAACAGATCTTGCACCGGAGCGAAGGAGAAATATAGCATGGAGCTGCTAATCCAACGGCCTCTTGGTCAGGGCCTCCATGTCGAGCACGAGCCTCCCTAAGTACTCCGTCGCGCCCTCCTTTGCCCGCACACCGTCGTATCGGGCCGAGCCGCAGCAAGACGAGCGGCGCATCGCGCAGGCGACAATCCCCCGAGCGCGCCCGGCGACGGAGTTTTCGAAACCGTCTAAGAGCGGTTCTGTGACTCTACGCTTGCATGATCAGGAGAACGGTGCTGAAGCTCCGGTGTACGGATGCGGGGCCGTCATAGAGGGTCAGTTCGTTTACATGAGACTCAAAGGAACGTTCGAAGTGACTCAGGTGTTTGCAGGGTCGATTGAGTTGGCCAAGCCAGACAATATCGTCGATGTTGAAATCAAGGTGAGTTGAAGCGGCGACCATCTACAGGGAAAGATACGATGACAGTTTGTTAGATCGAAGGAGTGCTTACATTGAAAGACTTCGGCGAACAAGGGACATCTTCGAATTGCGTATTGCTCGATCGGCAAACCCTCTTCAGCAATCCGATCGACCGTTGCCCTACCAGCCTCTCGTTCGAGCTCACGCTACCCATGACCTTCTCGGACGGCAAGGACCAATACGTGCGTCGTCTTGCGGGGTTTCCCGGTATCTCTACGCATTGGAAATCGCTCTAACGCTGAAATAGCCATTGCCGCCGACTTATTCAGTGACACTCGAGGGTGTGCCGGGCTTCCATGCCTCCATCGCATATTCCATTACCGCGATTGCCACGAAGGCGAAGAGTTATATATTTAACAGTCCGGTAACGTGAGTGCGCTTTACGAGATGCGTTCCAGGATCATCCTGACGAGGATTTTGCAGCACCGTTTCTACACCCATCACGTACTACCCGCGTTCTCGTCCCGCTATGCCGCTTCCGCCGCCATTGCACACGTACCCTGATAGCCACGGTTTTGTGGATTCTCCCGATTGGCGGCCTTTCAGCTCAGTCATCAAGGCCAAATCTGCGAGTGCTCAGGATATAGTCGCGTCTGTAAGCAAATGACCATCCGGCTCGGGGTCTATGAATGCTAATCTGATTTCAGGTGTATGTACCTTCGTCGAGGATATTCTGCATGACGGACCCGATCCCCGTCTACGTAACCTTTTCGTCTTCATCGTATTCGTTGGCGTCTTTCATGTCATATGGGCCGACTCCGACACTCCTATCCGCGACCAAGCAAGCGACTAGCTTGCGACTGGTGCGGCAATCGACCGTGGATGTCCGGTAAGGCATCAGAGTTCCTTACCAGTCGATGTTTGGCTGATCATATTCCTAGGAATGAGCTAGTGTTGGGAACCAAAACAGACATTTGTAAGCTTCGTTCGTCCTCAACCGCCTTTGCTGTGCTTGACCCTTGTCTACAGGGCGCACGGACGTCATCGGGGAAGGTCAGCTCCAGTTCAACGGCGACGGCCGCGACTTCATCGCGTACGCCGGGCAAATCGTCGTCAACGAGGATGTGAAGGTATGCGGCTTTAAAGCAGGCGGCCTCTTCGTGAAGGTAAGAGAGATCCGGTTGTTTCGCGCCGACAAAATTGGTCTGACGATATTCGCAGGACTACATTGTCCTCACCATGACCCCGCCCGACCCGAAACAGTGCCCGTTCCGCGACTTGAGGCTGGTCATCCCCGTCCGACTCACGACGGACATATGGGACGGTATGGGCGACGGTCTCGCGCTCGGGAGCCTAGGGTACGGCAGCCAGGGCGTCTGGGCGGACAACACGTCGAGCGTGCCGTCCGACCCGGACGACTACGCCGAAGCGCTGCCGCAGCTTGCCGGGATGCCCCGCGCGATTTGAGATTTTCCTCGTGACTAATGCTTGGACTCTCCGGCGGCGACGACGATTAATGCTGTACCTGTAGGTGTAGAGGTTGTGTAACTTATTACTCTCAGATATTTGCATCGTTTCTCCCATACTCGATGAGCTCGCGCGGGTGACAGACTTTCGGCATTGCCCGGTAAACGAAGGTGACGTCATGCTTGGTGCCAGTTATATGCGCAGACCCTCTCCGTTTGCTGCACACCTCACCTCCAGACCTCCGAGCTAAATCCATGTCGCAAGTAAGCAGCTTCGCCATCATCGGTCTTCCGGTGAACTCATGCACGTATTTAGGCTACTGCCCCATCTCAAACCGCTCAACCAACGCGCGTGAGCACTCCACCGCAGCAGGGTGAGTCTATTTATATATCATTGGGACGCCGAGTGGGTAATGACCCAGCCGTTGCAGCCTCCACCCAACCCGGTGATGGCTCTGTGAAGACGGTACGACCCGATGAGGTCGACCGCAATGACCCGAATATAAATGTTGTTGAGCTGCCTCCTCAGGCGGGCAAGATCCCATGGAAAGATCAAGTGATAGGTGAGCTTTTTCTGATGCGCTTGAGTGTTGATCTTACATCTCCTTAGGCCACGCGAAGAACATCCGAGGCACTGTGAGTTCGGCGCTTCATGCCGTGCCATGACGCGCGCTGATGAGGCTATAGGCTGTTGGCAACAAGAGCACGAAGGAGCAAGGACAAAAGATCCTCAACGGCGAGATTGCTCCCGCAGAGACCCATAAGGATGTGTAGGATGCGTGTTCTTGCGACGTAGAAAGGCAACGTCGATGCTTGATGTACGACCTATAAAATAGTGTACCACCATAATCAAATGAATCTTCATACGTGTACTCATGACCTTCAGCAAGTTACATTCGCATGTAGCACTCTAGCTCGGTCCTTCTTCCACGTCCACGCTGAACTCGGCCGCGTCCCACTCAAGCAAGGCACGGCGCCTTATGATGTCATTGTGGCGTGCTACCAGCGTTACCTATTTCGGACATTTTGCCTTCTACTTAGTCTCACCCTCTCCTCCACTCCATCTCCAATGCGGTCCGAAGAAGGCCGGGAGCTTGAAAGGCGCTGCATGTACCACGCAGAGCGGGGGCGTATACGCCTCGACCCGTATCTTACGATATGTCGCGGCGATGACGAGTATGCGGATTGTCGACGTGACGATCCGGTCGCAATTGGTGTCTCCACACTTCCATTCTGCGTTTGTGACCATATACAAACGTTTGTAGTTCGACCTTCCATCCAGGTAGTCGGCGGACCACTGACGCCATAACCCCCACTTCGCCACCTGACTGTAGCTACTTTACGCAGTAAATTTTGCGTCATCCGGCGCTCCCATCCTGCATAAATACGTCGGCGGCTGGAAGTGACCCAGCAACCACTGCAAAACACCGATTTCGCCCACTTCTCTCCTCACGTTTTATATCTGACCATGTCCTACAACAACGACAACAACGACAACAACAACAGCTTCGGTGGCCAGCAAGGCTCCGGTATGTTTCTCTCGTACCCTTCCGTCCATGGCGTGTTGCTCACTACAATATTCAGGTAACTCTGGCTCGAACTACGGTCAGCAGGACCGATTTGACAATACCCAGGGCAGCGGCCTTGGTTTCGACAACTCCGGAAACGGTCCCACTGGGAACCTTCAGGACCAGGGCTATAACAGTTCCAACACCCAGTCGTCTGGCACCGACAATTACGGCGGGCGCCAGAACCAGACCGACATCAACGACCCGAACTACGGTACGAACGCGAACTACGCCGGCTCCACCGGCATTGGCAGGTAAGCTATCCATCTGAACCTTACTTTCGCGGACGCGATATTGACGCGCGGATGTTTTCAGCACCGGTGTCCCCGGTAACACCACCTCCGCCGACAACTGGGACAACAACAACCAGTCCGGCCAGGGCTTCGGCCAGGGCCAGGGCCAGGGTCAGGGCCAGAACCGCGACCGCGACCAGAGCGGGCAGGGGGACAACTACGCCTCCAACCAGTCTGCGAAGCCTTCCGTGGGCGAACGGGTAATGGGTGGTTTGGAGAAGGCTGCCGGCAAGGTTACTCGAAACGAGGGCATGCAGGATCGTGGCCAGGAGCGCAAGGAGGGCGCGACCGGCCTTGGTGACTACTAGACTGGACACGGACACGGACTTAAATTCAATGTAACCATAGTTTCATGACTTCGTATCATAAGCTCGTCCTGCCGTTGACTCAAAATGCCACCTTGATCTCTCATTCCGTCTGAAGAACATGTGCAAGCAGTTCAGTCGCGCAAAAGTCGGTCCAATCGCAGGAAGAAGTCACTGCGGCAGAAGGACCAGTACAGTGTAAAGGCACTGCTTGATGCAGCCGCACTCCTTGATGCAAACGACAATTCCACACGAAGGAAGTGTCTGAGAGTTATGAGATTAAATAAGGGGGTAGATTCATGCTTGAATATACTAGATCCGAGTTTTCTAACGAATCGAAGGACTCTCTGATTTTATAAAAATCGTTCACTTTCGCGAACAGGCTGTTTTGAGTATGTACCATAAGATGTGCATCCTGTTTCGCTTCCAATTACAATCGGATAACCTCCATAAAGCACCAATGCATTGTTTTATATCTTGGGTGCAGTTTTCATTAGTGACATAGGATCATCTGTGGCGGGTAGCAACTCAGAGCCTATCCTGAAGAGCGGAGGGTGATGCACCAACGCACGACGCGCCTTGGGAGCGTGTGAGAGCTTACCGGCATAAAACGACGGTGTGACCCGATGTGATGGCTGCATCAGTTGCCGGGGGCACTGCCACTGCATCAACGAACATTTTCTGCGTGCCAGGCCTCCCCTGGGCGGATCAACCGTCATTGCTAACTTCCGCCCAGATTTCATCCGAAAAAATTTGTGCAGTGTGGAAGTAGTAGCTTACATAGTTGTAGGTGGTCAAAAGAAAGAGAATGTGGCATGTGCGAAGTGTAGGAGCCTGCCGGTTTTGAGTGCATCAACCAGTGCCTTTACACTGTAATATGGCCTCGGGAGTTGCCGACCCCAGTCATCTCGACCGAAGCAGCTTCCCCATCGTTCTCCGCATCGTCCACCACCTTTGCGCACTTCGATGGCGGAGTCGCGCTCACCTACGCCTAGTTCGTCGTCTCAGCTACAGGACGACGACGACCGCTCCGTTACCCTCGATCGCAAGCGACCTGGCTCCCCGGACCTTCAGGATGAAGATACGACCCGCGCCGCCAAGAGGGTCATGACGGGAGAGGCCCCGAAGGTGATCCGAGACAACACTTATTACTTCCCTGACGGAAGTTGCGTGCTACGAGTGGAGAACACATTGTTCAATGTGCGAGGAATCATCCTTATCGTCCGAATCGACGGGAGACGGGAAACGGAACTAACGTACTGGATATGGTGCGGCGGCTCAGGTACACCGGAGCATATTGTCTAAGGATGGCTCGTCGTTTGCCGTGATGTTCTCGTTGCCGCAAGGTGACACCTCGAGGGAAGGCACCTCCGATGACAACCCTGTTATCCTGCCCAGCGATACGGTCACGGAGTTCAGGAACTTCATCTGTGAGTATGACCTACTCATAAGGGTAGTTCATCTAATCCTTCCTTCCTCCTCATCGAAGGGGCTCTATATGCGCTGTGAGTCACCCAAATCCGCTTCCAATGATCGCACCGTGATGCTGAGGCGGACTCTACCCAGACCGCACGAGCTCATGGCCGTGCACACGGATCATTGGACCGATCTTGCCCATCTCATCGACATAGCGAAAGTGTCGAACAAGTACTCCTTCAAGTCTCTCGAGACGTGGGCCCTGGACGCCATCCAGGCCTACCTCAACCGCAAACCGTCTCCATTCTCGCGCGCGTTCGCAGCCGCGTCAGCGGCAGGTGCACCACCATCCGCGGCGACGCTCGGCGCGAGTGGGCAGGAGCTCACGCGCCTCGTCCGCCTCGCGCAGCTCTGCAGTCACGAGAAGCTGCTCAACACCGTCGTTGGCCTTTTGAGACAGCTCATGGCGCTCTCGCCGCAGTACGCGTACCTCGCGATGACGCTCGCTGACGAACTCGATCTCCGCCCACTCCGCGGGCTCGCGTACCTCGAGGTCATGCACCGCGTTCCGTTCGTTGCGGTCAAGCCTGGGTCCGCGTCCGGACTCGTGGAGGGCGATTTAGATGCGGACGGGAAGCTCGTCGTATCGCCTGCACAGCAGCTGAGGCTTCTGCATGGGTACCACTGTTTGACCTCTCAGTGGGAGAAGCTGCGAGGACGGCCGCCTTCGTTTGAGCATGCGACGTCCTGCGGTGCGACTTGGCACCAGCACGGGTGCACCCAGAGCTGGCTCGAGTTCTGGAAGGAGAAGACCAGGAGTGACGGCATCTTGGCGCTTGGACTCGCGGATGTGCTTGGGAGGCTGAGAACGATTGCCAAGGTACGGTCTTTCGGTTGCGTGCATGAGTCAGGGTATGAACTGATGTAACGTCGGCTAGGATTTTGACCGTTGGGGAAGTGCGACGTACATGCATCAGGATTGCAGGCTAAGCGCGAAACGGTCTATCAACGACAGGATCAAGGATATAGAGAATAATCTCTCGAATTACTTTAACCCGGACAGTGTTTCCTAACTTCAGTCGTATCACGCTCATGTTTCCTATCTGTGTCATACTGGTTCATCCGCTTTGGTTTAGTCTCTGTTCATATATGCACACACGTCGCTAGCATTGTCATCTCGTTCACATTGCCGTGGTAATCTGCAATCAGAAAGTAATATTTGCACTCGTGGTCAAGACAGGATAGAGATTGAACGCGCCGGGCACGTATACGTGGCACAAACCGTTGGGTGATCCCGTGCCCACAATGTTAGACGCGAACGCGGTGGTGGCTGACTCTTACAATGCAACTTCCGCTATCGACCACTTTCCACCCTTTCATATCGTGTCTCTGATACCATATAGGATGTCATCTCTCGAAAAAGAACAGCTGCAACGTATTTGCGCAAAATCCGAAACTCGGACGCGCGCTCTTGCCCTCTTGCGGACAGCGAAAGCCCGAACCGCGCCTGGCTCAGGGCACGAACTAGGTGCCGGCGCTACGGGGCTTCTGGCTATATGCGCATTGATTGCATCCGAGGAGTGAGTTCTGCATTGTCTACGTTCTGTGTCGCGCTATAGCTATATATCACAGATTAGGCAACGCAGACGTCGCGCAGAGAGTCGCGCAGGTCGCATCCTGTCTCGCGCCCCGCGTGTTCACCAGCACACTCAAGATCGTCCGCCATGCACTCGCCGAGACTGACACTGAAGGGCCGTCCCGGTCGACGCGGTCCCAAGCCCCACCGATTGTAACGTACCAATCCCTCGTCGACTTACATATGGTCAAGCGCGGAGAGATGGTCGTTCCGTGGATGGAGGAGGCACAAGCCACGTTGTTAAAGGGTGTCTATTTCCGCAAGAGACCCGAGTCTGTGCTTACGAAGAGCGCGGTGTTTTACTGGGTGTGCCAGCTTCTCGGAGTACGTCTACGTACTTGACCTCCACGACGGCGCGCTCACTTAGGTGGCTTTAGCTCAAGCGTATCACACGCAACATGGTTATCGACCAGAACAGACTCACTGAGCGGGAGTTCGACGACCTCGTGGCGCTTATCGATGAGAAGTGCGAGGAACTAGGAGAGCGGATGAAGGCGAAGGTTGCAGACCTTCAGGCGCGGGCGCAGGCGAAGAGTAGATCAGCTTCGCCTGTCAAAGCGAAGGGCACTGCGAAAGCAGCGGAGCCAACTCCGAAGTCCAAAGGGAAGGCGAAAGCAACAGAACCACTATCGGAGCTGGAGGAAACAAGCGAGGTTGCACAAGCTGCTGAGCCTCCGTCACAGGATGCGCCTCAAAAGGCCGGCGTTGGAAGCTCTCGTCTGCAAGTGCTGATGACACCTCGAAAGTCCGCTTTGAGACGTGATACTCCGGGCTCCGTCTCACCATCGAAACGTAAGGTCGCTTTCGATCCAGAAAAGTCGTCCGTGCCAGCGACGCCGACGCACAAACGGCCCAAGCTGGTGCCAGAACCCCCTGCTGTGCAGGACGAAGACGAAGACATGGGCCCGGCCTCAGATCCGAACCAGGAGGTTACAACGCCGCGCAAGCTGGAACGACGTCCAGCAGCCAGCCGCAAACAGACTGCAGTTGAACAAGAGACCGTGGACGAGGACGAGAACTCCTCTGATGACGAGGAAGAAGTTATCCGGACGCGCAGATATCTCCCGATTCTGCTGGATGCTCGACAATGGTATCAACGGGATCCGAGACTTCCACCATACTCGAGAACGTCTTCAACAGCTGTGGCTGTTTGAGATACTACGGTTGCAGGCCGAGGCCTTCTATCTACAGCTTATGCGCTAGTTAGGACTGTTGAGGCAACTCCACGATTTGGTCGCTACCGGGGTACTCCGGCAGGTTCAAACCAAGCTTCTCTTCCATCGCTCTGCCAGAACAAAGACGGTCAGCCACTCGACTCTCCAATCAAGTCCAAGGACCCACTTGGTGACGAATCGCCCTCCAAGGAAGTGTCTTCCCTTGAACTCCTTCACCCCTTGCTTTGGCGCCGTCAAACTAACAAGGACGTCCGGGTTCAGCCCGACCCTGGCTTTGTTGCCCTCTTCCACATCCCACCCCGATGGCACGTCGACGGAGACAATAGGCAGCCTCGACTCGGTGATCAGCTTCAGCACTTCGTCGAAGGGTGACCGGACGGGACCCTTGAATGAGAACCCTATACCCGCACAATGCTCATTCAGAAGGACTCTACGAAGGGATGGGGCCTGGGGCTCACCGAAAATTGCGTCGAGTATGACGTCCGACTTGCTCAAGGCCTCCTTCAGCGGCCCGGTCTCGTTGGATGGGGGAAGGGTCTCGATCTTCATATTATCGCATTGCTGCTGTAGGCGCTGTTAAGTCCGGATCAGCCAGCGCGTCTCGTACGTGCTACAGGGCTGCAAAGGACCTTGTAGATCTCTTTCGATCCCGGCTAAGTGGTCCATGCTTGAGTCATACTCTCGTGTGTCCTCGTGAAATGTGCGTTACCTTCGGATAATAGATGGTGGGCTTGTACCCGAACATCCCCAGATGCCGCGCAGCGACGAGCCCATCGCCGCCTTGATTGCCCGGGCCACAGCATACGAGCACACGCGGGTACTTCTCTCTGCTGTAAACTCGTTGGAGGGTTTGCGCGCAGGCCAAACCCGCAAGTTCCATGAGCTGATCGAGGCTGAAGGCGCCAGCAGCGCCCATCAGCTCTTCATCGATCTATCGTTCATCCTGTTAATTCCTTGTATGACATGTCTCAGATAGCATTTGAGCCGACTTGCTGGGCGAGCTTGGCTGATATGTATCGGATGGACATGGTAGACTAGCTGGACAAGAGGCAACAAGAGGGAATGATGTCATAAATGAACGCGTCCTACATGTACGAGGCGCGTGCGAATCGGGACCGTATACACTGGGAGTGTTACAACAAAAACAACAGGAGTGATTCGGATGAACAGTGAGAGCCGTCGGAGGTACCTGGTATAAGTCAATTTTGACTAGAGACTAAGGGAAATAGGAGAAAAGCTCGGTATACGGGCTAGTATGAACGCCCGCAAATGGTTATCGCCGAGAGAGCAGACAATTTAGGTCGACGCTGGGCGGACGCACACCCGCCGGTGCTCGTCCCAATCGAGCTTCTGGTGCTCCGGACTGCAGTATTTGACGAGTTTGCACTTGCTGCATATCCGGCCCGGGACCCGCGCGGGCGCAGTCTCCGGCGCGTCGCGCCCGTCGCCGCTGCTCTGGCTGCCCTCGCTCGAGTCTGTGCTGCTAGCGGGGGTTTCGTCGAAGCAGACCGTACAATCGATCCAGTTGCACATCTCGCGCGCGCGGACCTTGCGCCCGCCTCTTCCACGGCCGCCTCTCCCGTCCTTGGCGGTCTTGAGCTTGCGCCTGCGGTTGATGGGCAGGATGGCGGCGCCGTCAAGCCCCTTGCGCGGGAAACGGATCATCTCGCACTCGTCGTTGCAGCACGGGTTCGGGCAACCGCTCGGGAAGTCGTGGAAGATCTCGACGCTGGGAACGAAGAGGCGGTGGGTGAAGAAGATCTGCGAGTAGGAGGTCGCCTGATGCGAAAAGAGGATGATGAACGGAGGACGTTTTTCGGCCAGGATCGCGCGCAGGGTGAGGTCGATCTGGGGGAAGCAGGGCGTCCGGCGTTGGCGATTGAGCGTATGGGTCAGTCGCATGTCTGATTGCGAGAGGATAAGATTGGTAGAGCTGATGTGGAGGGTGAACGCAACGCACGTTCGCGTAGAATTTCTCCTTCGGCGCTTGGTTTGATAGGATGCGACTTGGCTGTATGTTGGCAGACAAGTTGGAAATATGCGGTAACGTCTTCCATCTCTTGCCGCTTCATGTCGGTTACTATAATGTACACATCATCACTGCCGTGATCATGCATGCCCCTGTCAAGCATCCATCAGCCTGTTTACGCCCAGGGAGAACTGTCTCTGAGGCAGTACCTCAATAGCATTAGTTCGGGTAACTATACCAACATGTGAGTGGCGTGCTGGTGGACAATCCGAAGGCGCATACCATGGTAAACACGACGGGCATCATGCTCAGTTTGCGCTCCTGGAGAGATCGATGGTGGTATACATGTCTAAATGACGGTTTCAGATCTCCCATCCCCACCGCACTCGACGTTCGCGAAAGGCGTCGTCACGTACGTCGTCCAGGTCCTATCCAGGGGTATCAACCGCCCCGTATCGACCGTGCGGCAGAACACGTTCTCGGGCACGAAATCTCCCTTCTGCCACAACAAGATCTGTTGATTGGGGTGCATCGCGGCGTGTTTGCGCTCGCGCACGGCGGCGAACCAATCCCTTTATACGACAGTAACGGGTGGAAAATGAGGGTCGGCGACCCTGCAGAGGCGAATGAAACGGACCAATACGCGTCGTTGCGGTTCTCGAGCCATTTGTCGATGAGCACGTCGGTCGCGTCGTGATCGAGCGTTTTGCAGACGAGCTCGCCCATGTCGAGGGAGGGCGTGATGAGCGGCGAGTAGCGGCGTGGCCTAGCCATCGTTGATCGGGGGAACCTGCAAGGGCTCGAGAGTGTGTCTTTGTGCGAGGAGAGGGGCCAAGGGGGTAGAGTGGGAAATGTGAAAGGCTCACCTGCGCCGTAAATCTTGCGCGAGGCTGCATATCTATAGCGTCCACACCGCTTTCATCTATACACGGCGCGACACGCGCGCGGATACTTTTCCTTGCTTTTATTGCCATTCGTTCTTCGCCCGCCCGGATCATTCAGATCTCTCTGTCGCGACCGATCGGCAGTGGTCGACGAAGATGCTGTTCTGCCCGACGTGCGCGAACCTGCTCGTCATCTCGCAAGAGACGGGGTACAACAAGTGGGCGTGCAACACCTGCCCGTATGAATTCCCAATCACGAAACAAGTACGCCCCCGTTTCTCTGCGTTGGGGCGCATGGCGTTCCGTCAGGTTCGGGATGTGAGATGAACGCTCGGAATTTGTCAGATGACGTCCCGAACGAAGCTCAAGCGCAAGGAAGTCGACGACGTCCTCGGCGGCGACCAGATGTGGGAGCATGCGGATGCGACGTCTGGTAAGTCTCTCTCGTCTTTTTCTCGATATACGTCCACAAACTCAGCGTCGGATGCTCGGCTCTCCAGCCACCTGTCCCAAGTGCGATCATGGTCGAGCATATTTTTACCAGCTACAGATCCGATCCGCGGACGAACCGATGACTACCTGTGCGCTACCTATGTATCACCTCTGATGCTGTTGTTCTGCGGCGCTGACACTAGACACTACTTCGTTCCTGCTCAGTCTACCGGTACGTGGTTGACTCAACATCCTGTCCAAAGTCATCATCTGACGCTAACGCAGGTGTGCGGCGTGTGGTAATCAATGGCGAGAGAACTGAACGTTCTCCCTGGCGCTCTCTGCTCCGTCCAACCCGTCAACTCCGTCACCATCGCTTGTAATGGAGCTGAAACCAGTCGGGCTTGTCGGGATCATTCCAGTGCAAAGCACCATCGAGCCAAGATACGCCCATCTAACGGACGGGCGCCCAACAGCGGCCTCTTGTGACGTTACGAATACTGCGACAAACATGGACAGCTTTGTCGGCAGCTGGATATCGCGCGTTCGCGGGAATTGCGATTTCATCGCATTTGCGCAGCCTTCTGCGCGGCTTGGATGTCAACATATCAGTCTTGCAATCGCGGAAGGGTAGAACGGGAAGGCAAAGGGGTAAACCCGTCTTGATGCTGACTATTCAACGTGAAAAGGACCGTAGCTATAGTCCTCGAGCTCTCGTGGCCTGCGGCCTCCCTGTATGACACGCGCTCAAGGGACCCTCACTCGCCAACATGTAGTTCAACTATGTGAATGTGCGCATTTGCACGCACACTCAAGAGTGACCTCGGCTCAAAAGCCCGGATCAAAGCGCCCGCGCTGTGAATTTAGCACGCGCGCGTGGAGTCCAGTATGTACGCCGCTGCGCGACCCTCGACCTCAAGCTGGCTGTTTCGAACGACGATATCGTCTCAGAGCTACATTATCATGCTCAAGCAACTGATGTTGAACACGACCGACGTCCATATCTCAGGAGATCGAAAGTCTCGGCATGATAGGCACGGCTAGTGATAGCAGTATCGTAGCCAGGGCGCCGAGGTCGAGGAAGCCCCTCACTATTTGTCGGAAAACCCGAACAACGATGTCTCGGGTCCATCACTTTTTGCGCAGTCCCAGCGACCCTCCAGCATAATGTCTCGTACTTTTTCTGCCAGTGGACGTCGGCAAGGAATGGCGCTAGCGGGAACTCCGGCGAGTACTAGCTATCAAAACAGCTATCAAAACGCGTCGTTGACGGACCACAAATGCGACAGAATCCATGAACTGGCATCGCAAGGTCAGATATCTCCTTTTGGGTCTGATGGATCTCGGGGTGTTCGCTCATAGTCAACTTCCATGATTAGTATCATCCCTTCCGAAACCTCGACGATCCGTACCTCCGGTCTCCGACCCACCTTCACCATCTTCTATCCTTTCCTGCCTGTTCTGGTCGCCGTCTTCAGGTCCATTGCGCTCCTCTCATGACGACGGTATCGCAAGGCCGTCCATCCCCTGCTCCCGATGCGAACCCTATGAATCCGGATCGCCATGCTTCATAAACTCCTGCCAGTGGAAGGGATGTGCCGCGATTGTGTACGAATCAGCCTCTCGACATTGCGCTTTGTTTGCCTCCGAGGGGTCCGAAGCACACTTCGACGCGGCCATAAGCTTATTTCGCCAGGCTGTCAAGCTGTTCGCGCCGCATGACGATGAACGTCTATATGCAATCGCCAACCTCGGCAACTCGCTTCATCACAGGTATAGGCTGTCAAAGCGATTGGTTGACGCGGATGAAGCAGTGGACGTTTTCCGGATGGCCCTGGCTGAATATCCCCACGACCACGGTCTGAGGCCTTACCTCGTTCAATCCCTCGATTGCACCTCCTTCGACCTCTACAAGTGGATGATACACATGTTCCATTACCTGAAAGCCAAGAATCTCGACTTTTTAGAGGCAGCTACCGCTATCGCCAGGGAGAGCCTTCTTGTCTTCTCCTCTCTCGACTACCACGACGGACGATTCAGATGGCTAGTGCAATTGACGCGTATGCGCCAGATGAAGTTCAGCCATACTGGTGACCTCAGCATCCAAGAAGAAACGATGGAGTTGTCGATGAAGGCGCTATCATTGACGCCCCCGGGGCATCGCTCTCGCGCTGTCGCGCTAATGCTAGTGGCCACTAGCATTTGCTATCGCTTCGATCACTTGGGCTCAACACCCACGTCCAGTGACCTCCCTATGCTGGACCGCGCGACAGCCCTGTTGGAAGAGGCACTAAAGTACCGTCCCGAAGGGCACCGCGACAGGGGGGACACGCTCACCATCCTGGCCGACATCACGAGACATCGCATGCAAGTGACGTCTGGTTTCGAAGATCGGGAATATTCCCTGCGACTCAGGAAAGAGACTTTGAAGGAATGCCCACCCGGTCATCCACAGCGACATCAGGCTCTATACGCTCTCGCCGAGGAGATCGTCGGCCCTTCATCGCATGTCCCTTCAGCTGAAGATCTCGTGCTCGCCATGCGATGCTCCACCGACGCCCTGGAGATCATGCAAGGTGGACATCCTGCTCGCTTCATGGTTCACTATTGTTTATCATACGCTCACCTCCGACGTGGCGACTTCACTGGTGCCATAATGCACCTTGTCCTGTTGATCGAAGATAGCTTAGGAAACGTGAAGGACAGACTATCGCATTCGTTGATGGTGATCGCGGAGTTGCAGCGACTGATAGCCTTAGGAGATGTCGCCCTCAACCGGGACGCAATCGACGGACTGCTGGAGGTCTATAATCGCGTGCTTCGCCTGCCACCCCGGATGGCCTTCAGGGCCGTCAGCATCCAAAATCGACTGCGGCAAGTGACCACTTTGGAGACGTTGGCTCGGGACGCGGCCATCATGGCGCTGAAGGTTGGCAAACCTCAGCTGGCTATAGAGTACCTAGAACAAGGACGAGCAAGCTTCTGGGCTCAGAGCCTGCATCTCCGCGAGGACTTCGATCGGCTTCCAGACGAGATGTCTCAAGAATTGACGTTCCTTTCGCGAGCGCTGGAGGAAGGCAGTTTCCAGCCCAATCAGCCTGAGGTGTCGAGGGAATGCTTGAGCGAACGATTCGACGCGCTCGTCGAAGAGGCCCGGAGGCTCCCTGGCATGGACCGCTTTCTCATGAGCGATACCTTCCCGGAGCTTGCTCGGACGGCATCGATTTCTCGGGCACATGTCATCGTGCTCTTACCAGGTGACCACGACTCTTGTCATGCAATCGTCATTGGGCAGGATGGCACTTGCACGTGGGTCCCCCTCCCTGACTTGAGCCCCGAAGAGCTTGGCAAGTACGCGATGGCGATGAAGAATGCCAGTCTTGCGTATAGGAGGGAGATGCCCCAATGCGCTGTTCAGCTTCGTCTGATGATCAAGAAGAAGCCGACGAGTCGGAAGCCCGTAGAAAGTGGCAATGCAATCCTCACGCAATTATGGAATGCGGTAGTGAAACCTATTGTAGCGGCATTGAGCCTCCAGGCAAGTATCTCTTGTATGTTCTGAAGCCCAGCGTGCTGACGGACACCTTCAGAAAGCCACTGGACGCAAGCGACCGAGGGTCATCTGGATACCGACTGGTCCCTTTGCGTTCGTCCCCGTTCACGCCGCCGGGGTCTACGCGGATGGTGGACACGACTGCTGCAGTGACTACTTTGTGTCCTCGTACGCCCCGACGTTGAGCGCCCTTCGAAATGCACAGAGGAAGTTGAAACCGATCGCTCGGAGCTCGACGAAAATCCTTCTGGCCGCCGCCCCTTCGCCGTACGATCCTCAATGGCAGCCTTTACCATATACAATGCACGAACTTGCGGAAATCGACTCTGTAGTGCCTCGAGACGCGTTTCTCTCTCTGCCGCCCGAAGACGACGCAAGCAGAGGGGACGAATGCGGCGCGCGTGTCCAGACTGTACTGAACGAGCTCCCGAACGCGACCATCCTCCACCTCGCCTGCCACGGATACCAGGATCCCAAAAATCCGCTCGCGAGCGGCTTCCTGCTACGAGACGAGATGCTGACCATCGCCAAGCTAATGCCGAAGTCACTTCCAAATTCATTCCTCGCCTTCCTCAGCGCATGCGAGACCGCGAAGGGCGATGCTAGCCAGCCGGATCAGGCAGTGCACCTTGCGGCAGCAATGTTATTTGCGGGCTTCAAGAGCGTCATAGCTACTCTGTGGTGAGCCGCACGAATGCTGTTCTGTACGAAAATCCTCGAAGACTGACGATTCTCGTAGGTCAATGGGAGACGTGGATGGACCGTTGGTGGCGCGGACCGTATATGAGGAGCTGTTTCACGGCGATTCTGATTATTTGGACCCCCAGGTCGTCCCTTACGCCCTCGATACTGCGATGCAGAAGCTGCGAGCAATCGATCCTACCCCTAGTCGATGGGCGCCATACATCCATATTGGCTGTTAGGGCTTGCAATAATGCCTGCAATGGAAGCATGAAAATATACACTATCCCGGTTTCTCACATAATGACCTTATAACCTCCATATGCATATATGCAGTGAAGCTGGCAAGATGAAAACACGCAATTCTCAATAATCCAAAACCCACCCAGAGAGCTCCAGATTTACAGTCTCTGGGTCAACGACGGTAGCACTGTCACCGCTTCAACGTCTGCGTGATCGCCACTCCTCCAACGATGTTCGAACATCATCCCAGACGAAGGCGCCCATTCGGATACACTGGAGGTTTGGTAACGCTTCAGCTTGTTCCACCATCAAGTATCTCACAGCGGGGGGATGCTTACTTTCGGTTCCTGCCCATTCTCCTGCGGAATCCTGAGGTCTCCAAAGTCGCCCGCCCACCCCCCGCCCATCTTGCGCTCGTAAAACGTACACGCCCGGGCGTTCAGCTCGCGCGAGGTAGTCAAGACAGCCCTTCTCGAGCCCCGACATATATTGCCGTCAAGCCGCAAGGGCGGCTGTCGCACCAGCGCCTCCCCCAACGCCGCCGCCATCAGACTTGGCGCAAGGCCTGTTCCTGACAAGACATCCCGATCAGCCGATGATGCGCTTTTCAGCGGTGCTTGCGCCTACCGGTTGTCGACGGGTGCACGAAGAGCATGTACAGCTCGAGCATCATCTCTCTTTCATCCGCATGTTTCGGAACTTCGAGCAATTCAGCAAGGCCTTCATGCTCTTCCTCGTCCCACAGCACGGGACCTGCGCCGGAGTAGCCCAAAATATCGCCGCCGGTGCTGCGGACGGCGACGACGAACACCGCGCGAGGATCTCGCTCGGCGCGCTCGTGTTCCGCCGTGCGCCATCTGAGAAGGAAGTCACGGCGCTCTGGCATAGAGAAGAAAGGATCAACCTTCGCATAGCTGTAGGAGGTCGCGCGTTACAATCATCTGTCGATTCAAGGCGTGATTGACGCGTACAATGTTTGCCATGATTCCCAGAGGAGGTCCACGATGCCGGGAATGTCTGCTTGGGTGGCAACGCGTATCACGGGCTCTTTGGCATCCATGAGTGCGTTAAGGTAAACCCCTCGAGTGATTGCAACCTTGGTGTGGCAGAAGTGACTTATATATGAACATGGCTTTGTGAGATTGCGGACTCAATGCGCAGTGGGTGACCTAATGCGCAGTCGAAACGGCGATGTACGATGAAGCTGGGTTCCAGCTTCCCTGCATCGGAGCGCTCATGCGAGTGGGTTAGACATTTTGCGCCACATTGACCCAGAATCAACGCGAGCGATGCTCCGCGATATCCGGATAGCGATGAGATGGTATAAATTCTGAAGATCCAAATATGTTCAAGTGCTGGATGAAGCTGTCGTTGTCGCATGGCCTAATTGTAACCCGGCAATAATTGCGAAATCCGAGGGGCGATGGGCTGATTATGAATACGGTGGAAGTAAATATGCCAGGTCAATGTCCGCTTGGTTGAATGAACACCATACCTCACCTCGGTCGCTGAAACACCGACTCTCAAATGCCGCCCTATCTCATTGTACAGGTAAGAACGCCTTGACAGATGCACGCTAACATGCGTAGCACGAAAGACGAGATGATTGGCGCCGTCATACTCCATCCAACGATGGCAGAGTACGTAACCCCGCGAGGAGGAGAAGTCCGCGCGAGAGCACGCTGTGCTCCTTCGATCGCAACCCTCGCCCGTGGTACGCCTCTGTTGCTCTTCACGGTGTCGGTGCACTCTGAGGCAGGAGCTCTGTAACAGCATATACTCCTATGATTCAAAGTAGCTTTCATGAAATGGCTCTTTCTGAATATTACGACGTGCGCTCTGCACAGAATTGTCAACAGCACCCTTTAAACCCCCAGAACCCCATTAATCACTAATCACGGCCTGGGGCTTCTTCGACCTCTACCCATCGTCAATATCTGCGCATTGCTCGTGCATGTGTCCTTTTCGGTGTGCAGCTACGCGTCTTCATTGAGTACATCCGCCCTACGACCGAGTCCGCGGCATACCAGTGTCAAGATAGAGATCATCCGCCGTCCGCCGTCGGGCTAGATATTCTCGACATTCCCGCCTCTGCCGTCCCTGAGAGTATATAAGACCTTTGTGTGCTCATTCTACCGCCAACATATCCTCACCCGCTTAACACCCCGCGTTGCTGCAAAGCGATAACAACTCTTTTCATCTCATATCATCCCTCACAAACCATGTCTACTCCCTTCATCGCCGCTTTGAACCTCGCCGGTACCTCTATCATGATCTACAGGGGGCCCGACGATGTCATCGTTGCTTGCGACCTCGTTCATAACGATCCACAGGTACGTCCCTTCCCCTGCTCTCTGCTCAAGACCACTGGCCTAACCTGCTACTTCACTTACAGGCGCCCATCCTCGAGGCCTCGCCGTCTGAAGTCGCATCTATCGCAGAGAGCCTCGGCGAGCGGTCTTCGTTCCGAGACCGCAAGGAGCTCGACGACGCCAAACTCGAGTTCTTTATGCCAGCGAAACGTCAAGCTGGGGACCGCGCCGCCCTCGTCCGCCGGAACGCCATCAAGCGCAAGAGCCCTTCGTCGTCGTCACATGTTACAAAAGAGCTGCCCGCGGCCCCGGTCCGGCCCGTCGTTCTGCAGGCGGCGGTCACCGAATCGTGGTCGGTCGAGAGGAGCTTGAAGAGGCTCGCTTCCTTTGTCACTGGAAGGCGCAAGATACCGGTGGTCGTGGAGATCAAGGTGGAGATCGAGGTCAAGATCGTGGAGGTCGTGGAGGAGGTGGATTGGGATATGGTGCTGGGTGAGGGTCAAGCGTTGGTTGTAAGGAGGAATGCGATGAAGAGATGCGTGATGGGACAGAAGAAGACAACGGTGGAGAGGAAGGGGGCGATTCGGCGGGGCGTCGGAGTGAGGGCGCAGGAGTGGGAAGGGGCCAAGGCGGTAACGGGGAGCGGGGAGTGGGCAGGATGAAGAGAGGGCTTTCGAGCTGGGCTTAGACGACACGGGGTATCTGCACCTGATTGTGAGTCATCCTGCTTCCCCTTACTCACTAAGTTCTTACTCTTTCGTCCGTAGTTTTTATAGATTCGACGGACCGACGATCAGGCTTCCAAAGGACCGGCGACCAGGGCTCCGAAGATGCAAGCACGATGATATTTCGCGCAGGTAAGCATCCTTACAAAATATCCTCGCATATTTTTGCTGATTGATGATTCTTCGACAGGTTCGACTGACCATTTAGTTTCTCTCTAGGTCCTGGACTACGGGGTTTCGAGCTCAGTTCTTGGCTTCGGTTTCAGGTTTCGGTCTCTTACGCTGGCCGCAAGGGGGGGAGCGAGGTCCGAGGGGTTGGAGGTGCTCGGTCATCGTTTGTGCACGGACGATGTTCGGTATCGTCGACTCTCGGCCCTCGTGCTCCCCCATGGACGGGAGGACGCGCGCTCTACTGTGTTCGCAGTTGGGCGTGCGGCCTCACCCCCAAATCATCTTCAAGAAAACACACTCTGTACACACGCATTCACTTAAGCGCCCTCTCATATGCTAAGGTTAACCGGTATGTGTTCAGCATCTCTATGCAACATTGGCTGACCATCGACAGGTTTTCATGGCTACTTTTCTCTATCCAGGTTATATGCTACGGCGTCTCATGTTTCGTCCTCCCTCTGTCATCTTCGGCTTGCTTTCTGGACCCCTGACTGCATAACGAATATGCCTTGTTCTCGATCGGACGTTCTGTAATGCATTATCACCTGTCGGTCAATGATTGTTCATGCCGTTTATGTCTCCCCTAATCTCCTTTCTTGCTCCGATTGTCCAGTCAAGCCAATGCATTCATGATGCATTTGTGCAACACAGATTTGTTATGCGCTCAGGACGATGTGTGTCGATGAAGACAGATTTTTCCTTGAAAAGTTGAGGTGATGTCGTTAACCATAGATTTATACAGAATCCACGGCTAGCTGCATGAGCCCATCTTTCGATGTCATGAATGAGCTCGTAGTGGCCTCATCGACAACAACGTCTGAACTGCCATGATCCACTCCCAAGGCGCTAATGGCAGGCGCATCACCGTGACACCACCCAAGCCCGATGTTACAAGCATACAATATCAAGGGCTTGTAGGAATATGCATGCTGGTTACCGAGCGTCATTGAACCGGGACCATATTGAAATTCTCAAGAAGCCGATGAACATGTTGAATACATGGTAGCGGGCGTTATGAGAGTAAGCGCCTAGTCGAACTAATCACATTATCACTCCGACATTCAGTCATACGAGCGTATTAGGAGCATGCGGCAGATGGAATCCCCGGGCTGTTGTTTTCGTATGAGCATGTGTTGCCGTTCTTGGTGCACTATCATGGAACCCTCGGTCAGAAGAACTCGTCAATAACGATTAGCTGAATTTGCAGTGCTTACAGGCATCTCAAGCCGGCAACCAACACCAATGAAACCCGCGTTTTGGAACAGGCATAGTCCAGAATGCCAACCCGGCGTAGTGAGATCGCATACCTACAAAGGTGCGCGACAGCATCAGTTGGGCGTCGCTGAGCTTCATCAAGGAAGTGCTCACCCCCGTGAGGACGACGGCGGTCGTTGCGGATGTCAACCCTAGCATAAGCGCGAGGACGTGGAAGAGCATTACTGGTGATAGTCGAGAGTGGGCCGAGAGTAATAGTGAAGTGCAGTCGGACTGAGGGCCAAGTTCCCGATGGCTACGCCTTTAAGTAGCCCCAATCTTGCGCCGACGCAAATGACAATGTCATAGACAACATGGTAGCCTCCAAAACGCAGGACACCCTGCAATTACGGTTCGGTGGAATCTATTCGCCGTGGTAGTGAGCCATCATCGAGAAGTAGCTGGGATTCGTCAAGGATGACAGCGATCGACAGTGTTCGTAGGAACACAAAGAATGAGGCAGGCTCTTCAGGACGATTATGTAGGATGCCCGTCGGTCGCTTAAACAGCCGATGGTGTCTGACGACTCGAAGAACTGCCATAACCAGGTTGCAGCGGGCCCGGGTCTGCGCGCGTCGGTTTGGTTGCTTCCACTCGCGGAAGTAGGTCGCTCAGATCACGACCGCGTGAGTTGTCAGTGCTCCGAGGTGCCTTCGTGAGACGTCGGCATTTCGTCAACGCCGATGTGTTGTCGTGCAGACATGGTGCTCACAACATAATGTTAAGTCGGTGCTTACATAGCAGGGGGGAACGCAAGTCATTGAATCGGTGCTTCCCGAGTTGAAATCGTGGTAATTGCTGCGCTTTCAACCATGATCGTTGGCAGATGCGCATGATTCTGCCAGGCATCATTCGGCTTGTTCAAGGAGCTCTCGAGCATCAGCTTCAGGATCGCGTTGAAGGGTTGGGAGTCATAAGGCGTGCAAGTTCCTCCCTACCTACCTACCTCATGAGGTTTTCGAACTTTCAGGTGCGCATATTCTGCTAGGACTCGTGATTGCGGTCGGCACCTCAACCGTGATGGAGCCTTGAAAGCAAGGGTAGTTCACAAGACGGTTCGATCCTAGTACTCGAGCGAGGATCGACTACGCGGCAACGCTGATGAGTGATAGTCGATCTAGAACTGTTCTGGCGAACCGCCAGCCTGAGCAGAGCACGACAAAATAGGGCTGCAATCGACAATTTGCGTGGCCACTCATGCTCTATAACAACGCGTACAACACGCAACAAATCTTGGACCTGGAAATACGGGTACACAGGCGGCGGATAGTATGGTCAACAGGAACAAGCTCCTCAGGAGCACGTAGCCTCGTCGATACCGGAGCCGTACGTACATGCGTTGCCGTTAATCTGGCAAGACGAGGATGTTCAGACAGCATGGCCATCGCATCGCAGCCAACCGTGTTCGCCGTCGTCCCCGCACCACACTGAAGACACGACTGTAGGATACCAGGCATGTCCAGTATCCTCTTCAACTAGACAGATCTGTATGCATGCAGTGCATACATGCTGCTCAGCATGATCCCGATGACTGGACTAGTTCGTGCACTCACCTTTGGAATTGTGTGGGCAGCCGCCATGAAGGTTGAGCGCAAGAAGCGCGGAACACCGGAAGATCATGCACCGGGACCGCGGTGGAAAATGGTCGAGTGCATGGGGTCATCGAGCTCTTGGGCGCACTGTGATCATGCTGGATACGAATCGCTCCGCTCAGGAGCATACGGCGCCCTCGACGCCACTGACACCGATATCGAACGAGCATGAATAGCTAAGAGGCACTGTCGAGGCGTACTCGGTCAATGATGCCTCGCTGCAATGAGATGATATCCGAAGTAAGAAAAGATTACCCACGGCAATCTCACTGGCCGATCTCAACACCTTACACGAACATGCGATCGGGGTGCACAATCCACCGAACTATGCTTTTGCTCAACCGCGTCATTTGTGCGTTGTTGAACATTGTCACCGTTCACATATCAAAAGCCAACCGTATGTTTGGCAATTTACAGAAGCGCGATAAAAGAGCGTGCCATCGGTTGTACCACTAAGGTGTGCTCATCCGCGATATGAGCAGCTTAGGTGCACGCGGCACCTCCAAGAACGCCGGGTACATTGGTCGAACATTCGTTGCCAGTAGCCTCGCACTGTTTGGGTGCATCAGCCAATGATGCATCACTGCATCCGTCAATACTCACACGCGCGGTTGTCGAGCACGCAACAGTGACCGGCACTGGGAGTGCCTGCACTATGAAGGTGGTGCAAAGCCCAGTGGGGTACAGCGGGTTGTTACTGGGTTCACAGGTCTGTGGATGTGTGTGACGGTGTCAGTCGATGGCCTGCATGTCGTCGATGGGCTCGAGCAAAACGACGACTCACGCCTTCAAAGGTCTGGGCCGTCGCCGTGAAGGCTAGTCCGAGCATAAGTGCGAGGGTGCGGAACAGCATGGTGTACGAGGTTGGAACGAGTAAGCTGAGTAGAGCAAGAGTCGAATGCAACTGGGCCTCTGGGGTTGAAGGAGACATGCAATTGCTGCACGACTTATATAGTGCCTTGCGCGAATGTATCGCAGGAGCAAGACAAATTTACAACGTCGGAAATGGACTCCCGCGTGCCTGAAGCCTCACCTGAGGGCATCTGCCAGAGGCATTAGGCAAGGCCTGAATCCTATCGGGACACAACCAGCGAGGAAGTGGAGTTCCATTGCGTACTCGGAATGCATGCTGCTCTCCTGAACGGCCTATCTGACCCGAACAGCGGCTTGCGCAACGGCCATGCGACGCCTTTCATATAGAGCTCGCCCGGCGTCGACGTAATATCGACCTGAAGACCCCTGCCTGTTCGCCGAGAAACGTGTATGTGATGGCATCCACTCGCCGCAAATGGTCGCGAAAAGTCTGACCGCGTCAGTTGTTTGTGCTTTGGGGTGGCTTCTGACACATCTCCAAAATTTCGTTGATGCCGATATCGACTTTTAAGCCTGGTGCCGATATCATATTATTGGTGGCTTGAAGCTTGACAAAGGAGGGTCGATTTCAACTCACCTGATTGCCACCTTGCAAGTATTTAGAGCAGAAAGGCCAAAAGCCTACCGTTCGCTCCCACTGTCTCACTTGCAGACGAGCAACCGATCCCTACCACGACTTGATCGAACGGCACAAGGGCATAGAAGAGCCAGCCCTCAGTCCCAGCATTCAATGGCATCCATGCATACGTATGCTAGAATTTCCAAATGGACGAGCTCCAATAATCTGAGCGAACGTGACTCCTGAGTACGCGGAGCGAAGATATGGTATGGAGCCGACAGATACCTCCGTAGGAAATTGTCTTGCTGAGTATGGAATGATCAAATGAATATTTCAAGTTGAATGTACTTCTTTGTACGATGCGCGCTCATGTATTCGTCTCGTAAGGAGTGGCGTGAATCAGTATTCAGTGATCCAGATCCCGGTCGGCCGGTCGGAAGGCCCGAAGAGAAGGAAATGTTGCGCAGACACTACGTAACAATCTCGATAGCCAGGGCACAGATCTGATAGGTGGCCTTGAATATCATTTGATAGGGATCATATCTGAACAGCATGTCGCCTCATTGGTATGCCGGTGGTGTTGAATGAACATGAGTCGCCGTCAATTGGCGTTATGTGGCAACGGTAGTGGTCAGGGAGGATCACTATCGCGGAGTGACGGCGAGCTGCACTCACCACTCGCGTAATCGCATGGAACGATATGACCAGCGATTACGTTGGGATAGGTAATGTGGCATAGCAATGTAGTATAGCCTGGTTTGGCGTGAAAAACCTTCGCTCACCGAAAGCGGATGGGGATATCCTGACCGGGTCAGTCGTCTGCGCTATGGGGTAGCTCCGAAGCGCGTGGAATTTTTTGTTTACGTTGATGTATCATCATGCAGGACTGATGCAGATGTGTTGTTGACAGTTCAGCGCTCAGTGCTGAGTGGCGAACGAGAATGGAACTAGCTCAGTGGCCGGATTGGCACCTGTTCGCCTCCAAGGGCAGGTGTGCTTGAGTCTAGCACGAAAGGTTCTTCGGAGTAGCTCCCAGGCGTACGCTTCAACCCTGAAGGAAGTCTGAGTGAAAGCGCGCAACACGCAACTTTGAAGATCGAAACGAAATGGCGTATTCGGGCAAATGCGGCCCGGGGCAGAGCTCCGCCTCTATTGCTCTTCGAATTCACTTTGTCGCCGCCGACTCGCCGCCTATTCTGAGGAAGTAACTGTGTACAGCATGTACTCCTGTGGCTTGAAGCGACGTTCGATATGGTATGGTTCTGTGTCGATGAACTAGATCCTTTTCTGCGCGACCAACGATCCAGACGAAGTTACGAACGATCTGCCGCGTCGCGCGACTGTATGACTCGATCCCTTTCCTCTCTCTTCTACATCCTCTACGGAAATCTGCTGTAACATGATTTCTGGGCCGCAGAGCTCCTGCATGGATGCATTGCTGGACTCTACCGGATCTAAACATCCATACATCGATATAGATCAGCATTGGTACCGATTCTGCACTGCGCATCAACGCGCGTCGCGGTTGGCCAAATTTTCAGCATAGTAGCTTCACTGATACCACGGAAATGCACAGTCTTCGCCGTCCCGGTCGCTACCGGTCGAGTTATGGTGCCTCATATTCTCCATGTGCGCTACACACAAGCCTGACAGCGCGCTCCGATTGTAAGGTGTATGCCGGCTGTGTCAGGACGTAGTCTGCGGCTACACGCGGTTGTGGGACACGCTCAATTTGACGTCTCATCCAGAGGCGAGCCGTTTCAAGGGGGGGCGCGCCTGCGAAATGATTCGAGCGCTGGCTCCAGATGGTATGCAACCCCTCGAGATAAACCATCAGTGGATGGATGTTCTGGCGCTCCTGGAGTAAGTCCTTGCTCCTTTCAGCCACGCGACGCTGCCCTTGTTGGACTCATTGACAATCAAGATCCATCCGAACCCCATCGATCCCATCTACCTGGACCTGTTGTGGGAGTCCTTCGTCTTGCTCTTTCTCGAGGAATCGGAGTCCCCCCGTCTGCGCATGCTCGTTCTCAACTTTCCCGACGAGTGCCGTATCATCGCATCCCCCCGCTGGTTTGGACAACGACGCGCGTCGAGCATCTGCGCAGGATTGAGATGAACGCATTTGACAGCTGGCCATGATCGTGTCTCTCGGCCCGGTGCTCGAGGCCCTGAAGGTCGGACCCCTCCTCCAGCGCTCGGAGTTTCACACAGAATTCGAGGACTCGCCAGTCGATATGCCCTCGCTGCGCCATATCTCAACAACCTGGACCTCCTCATTCAATGATTCGCTCCTTCTTCCTTGTCACGCTGATGATGGGCAGAAAGTTCTAAAAATTCGCTTCTGTAGAAGTTGCTCCAAATCAAACGTTGTGGATCATCCAGTACGAGCTCGTGGATACAGGCGGCCCTTACGAGTGGTTGAGGGCCAACACTGGATTATCATGGATTGGTCTTGTCGCATAAGTAGTGCTGCGACTGGCTGACGAGGAAGATGGAGTCTGACATAGGCGAGATAGAAAGTAGCAGTAATACACGACCGATAACATAAAAAAGAATGACATGCGATGACATAACCTACGCCAGCTAATCATCGCTCTTTTTCTCCTTCTTTTTCTTTTTCTTCTTCTCCCCTTCTGCCTCGGCGCCCTACGAATCGGACGTCAGGTCCGGATATCGCAGGATATAGTCCTTGGGGTCACTCACCTCTGCAGCGGCGGCCTCTTTCTTGGCCTTCTTTAAAGCCTTCTTCTCCTCCTTGCTCAGCTTGGCCTTCTTCTTCTTGCCCTCCTGCTCGTCATCCTCGCCGTCAACATCCATGTCCTCGCTCTTCCGCTTCCGCTTGCCCTCCTGATCCTTCTTCTCTTTCTTCTCCTTCTTTTTGGGGCTCGTGGCCTCGATCAGCGGCAACGCCGGTTCTTCCCCATCTGCCATATCTTCATCCCCATCCTCGTCCAATGCGAGTTGGTCGAGCACCTTCCGGATAACGTCGGCATTCTTCGTCGGCGCCTGGCCTTCGGCGAAGAACTTGAGGCGCTCCTCTACCTGGTCCCGGAGGGCCTCACCGAATTTTGATGTAGGGTTTTCTGTGAATAGGTATGGTGAGTGGGTTCATTTCGATGCGTGTTCGTTATGAGAACGGGAGGATTCGACACGAGGGTTGCTGCGAGTCCGTACCGGAGTAGCAGTCTATCCTCGAGGCGATAGAGCACTTGTTGGCAAGGAACCGTGATATACGGCCCTTGTGCTTCGGGCCGGCGCGACCGATGAACGATGAGTGGTACAGCAAGCCGTACTACGGGAGCCAGTGTCAGCATACAGGCAGTCACGTATTCCGTTGCAGTACCTTAGGTGTGTTCCCCTTCGTTTTCAGCGCCCTGAACAACGCCTTCTCCGCACCCAATATTTGGACGGTGCTCGCAGGGTACTTGCTCAAGTTAGTCAAGCTGCCTGCATGGCTGATGAGACGCGCGCCTATGCGCTCGCCAAGGAGAGCGGTGAGCGAAGGCGCGACGAGGTTCATCTTCTCAGCAAGGTACGCGGCGAGCGACTTGCGGTATTCGGCGATGGATACGACGCGGGTGGCGAACGCCATAACGTTCAGCATGTCGATCTCGGACAGGGACGCGCCCATGGAGCCCCGCGCGGCGTCGAGCACGTTCTGCGCGCGTGTCGCGTCGTCGTCGAGGAGCTCGGCGAGCTCGGGCAGCTTGTCCTCGTTCAGCGCCTCCTTGTTGCCGATGAAGCGCGCGACCTTGGCGTATTGGTAGTTGTCGGGCACGATACGGACGAGTTCCGGGAAGTGGTAGCCGTACCACTCCCGGATGCGCATCGAGAACAGGTTGACGTCCTTGTCGAGCTGGTCGAGGAGGGCGATCGCCTGAATGATCATGTTGTCGATCCGGTTCACGTTGAATTTCAGTTTGGCGCGCGAGAAGGAGTGTCCCAGGCCGAGCTGGGCCTTGGTGAGGTCGTCGGCGGCCATTCCGGTGAGCAGTTTAGGTGCGTGTAGGCGGATACCGCGGATGAGTTCCTGCGCGACATTGGCGGAAACGTCGCAGGAGATGCCGAGTTCGGTCTTAATAGAGGCTGCGAGAGCCGGGTCGGAGACGGCCAGCACGACCTTGGACTTTTTGGAGGGCTTGGAGAGAGTGAGCTCGAGGAGGGACTTGAGGTGGTCGTTGACGATGCCTATTATACGGGAGTCAGAAGCCTCTTATCGCAAGATAGCTCGCCCATGGAACACGCACCTTCAGAGACATCGTTTGCGTTCTCCAGCGCATGCGCCGCCGTCTTGAACGGCGAAAAGGAGATGAGCGACACCATTTTGCCGAATTTTGCAAGGTCGTCAATGGACTCCTGGATGTCCTTCGTTCGGGACTCGATGCTGGCGTGCAGCTTGGCTTCAAAAATGGCATAGCCGGAGGCGCTCTCGAATAGTACGTGGGTGACCATCCTGAAGACACCTCCCGAGCGCAAACCTCCAAGGACGAGCAAAAGTTGAGGGAAGGAGAGCGTTCGGCAAACGCCGGCTGCCGAAGAGTCACTTCAGCCTCTTAGGCTCAACCTCCTTCAGCGCTAGCTTCAGCCGCACCCTAGAGTGTCCTTTCCCGCTTCAAGGACTTCTGTCTGCTTGTAGCTACTGAGACGCAATTCAGACTTTTTACCTCGCTCATTCTCTGCTTGTGAACGCTTTGCTGCGAAAACTGGGGTTGTGCACTGGGGAGATGAAACCACAACTACTGACTAGTACTTATCACGAAATGGCAGTGATCCAAGGTCGGTTACCGCTATCCCAGTCATTATGTTTTACGAATTATACGTTTTCACGTAGATGATTTTGGCCCTCCGCCGGTTTTGTCGTGGAATTACCAAAATTGAACCTGGGCGCGCTTCTGTATCGTCCAAGAAGATACGCGTACAGCGGGCGCATACCTCCTGGTCGTTTAGAGACGCTCGCTTCGGATCTTGTACTCGAACTCGGGAATTTGTATCCGCAAACTGGACGGGTGGTACACCAGCATACACGTTTAGCCCAGATGATGCAGTCGGCTTCAGCGCATCGAACCCGCTGAGTGCCTTGCGGCGGGCTGCAGAAGGTGCCATCGCCCACCGTATAGCCCGGCTCGATGGTGCGAGAAATAAATGTCTCGCGCCCGGCGTCGATGAAGAGGCATACTAATAGCCAAGCACTGACCTCGTCCGTCACGCACGCGCCTGTCGTTAGCATGAAGTTCGCCCAGGTCCTCCTCACGCTTTCTCTCGGCGTCGGCCTGGTCAGGGCCTCCCCTTCCCCCACTCGATGGGTCAATCCGCCGCTTGAGCTCATTCGCCCTATCTCCTCTACCGTTTCTCGGACGGCGCTCCCGGACAGCGACACAGAGCGCAACCTATCGCCTACTGCATTGCGTGCGTCTTATCCTTTTTCCATTTGTCCCCGACACTGACGCTGTATCTTAGAGTCGAAACGTGGATGGCCATTTACGTGGCCTTGGCCGCCTAAGACCCCGACCCCGACCCCTTCTCCGACTCCGACTCCGGCTTTAATGACCTCTATCCGCGTGGTTGACCTTGACAACGGCGACGTCGTTCTCGGCTACGTCAACATGACTCTGAACGAGTACGGGGAATACGGGATCGCCACCGACGTCGTTGGGGCGCTCGGAATCACACTCCCGGCGAATGGCCTCGTACCGTCCGACCTCGCTATCACCGTAAGTTCTCTCCACACTCATCTTTCAATCTTTAGCATCTCGGTATCTCTGCTAATTTCCGCCAACAGGGTGCGTTCCCCGCCCTCGGCGGCGTGGTCGGGCTTTCTTCAAGCTCGAGCAACCTCGGGTCTGGCTCGTACAACTTCGTCTACCTCGCCGGCACCCCCAACGTCCCCGCAGGCCCCGCGGTCGCAAACCAGCCAAGCTCGGTCAACACCGCGACCGGGCTACAGACCGCGGTTTCGAGCGCGTTCTGGACTTACGACGCTATAACCGGGCTCCTCTCTGCGCACTGGGTCAACACCGACGGCAGTGCGTCAGAATTACTCTATGTTCCAATTGATCGGTTCCTCATTCCTCTTGCGTCGTAGGTGATCCGGTGACGGAGTTCGTCTACTACATGCCCGATAACGTGATCTGTCTGACAGGCGACGTGAACGCCTTTCGTAACTACTTTGGCGAGGGAAGTCGCGTCGTGAGTTCCCCCCCCCCCCCCCCTCATCCCATATCGCCCGTGACCCTTAACGCCTCTTCTCGTCGTATCACAGGCGCTTCAAGTCATGGAGCTTCCAAACACCTCTTAAGTGCAAGTACTACATGTAAACCGTGCCTAACCACGACTTGAGATTTGAGTCACCTTCAGCTCCGATGAGACGAACGCGAAGGGCTGAGTGTCGGGATGCATGTCCATTTCAGAATTACAGGTCAAGGACATTCTTGTGCTCGTTAGCATTACGCCGGCATTTCCCGGCCAGGCCAATGGAGCGCGTTGGGCTTGTGATGATGTAATTACACGCCTTCGAATTGCACGTCCACCTACCACCAGACCATCGATTCTGGTGCAACAAAGAGACGTTCGGCTCTTAAATCCCAGCAATCGTTATTAAGAGTCATGCACAGATCGCTGCTGATACGTTTCCAACTATTATCTCGCCTCGCTTAGTCCCTCCACCACCGATAGCCCGTTCGCTCTGAGCGTGTGCATGGTATCGTCCATGAGAAATCATGATCTCAAATATGCACGCATACAAGCATGGCTGCATATATACGTGCACCTGAGGTTGGTTATCGCTTCTGAGGTTATTGATTTACGCAGGATGGACTAGGAAACGGAGGGGCGTAAAAACGGAAAAGGTGCCGTGGCCTGTAACTTGAATGACAGTTACGCTGATCCTTTTTATAGAGCAATAAAATAGTTGATGCAAAAATTGGGCCTTGAAAGCTGACCTCTTCGTGCTTGGCAGTCGACCTTACGATACCAACGTTCAAGCAAATGGCCAGATACGCATTACGTCAAGAACAGCTGCTACATAGAACCGTTTCGTTCGATGTACCCCTTGGCGCATAGCGTTTGCAGCTTCCATGACGTGGCCCACTCAGGGGCATGTAATCCGGCCGCCAGGCGGGTCGCAGATGCTCGCTCCGCCTGAGGCATAGCATAGACCTGACCGGACATCAGTACCATTCAGCACAAACAGATAACAGATCAGGACGGGCTCAATAGTAGCAGGTGACTGCTTTTGTTCAGTATCGTGTAGTTTGTACTCACCGTCGCCTTCGCAGAAGCAATAGTTGCCAATGCCGTTGTCGGGATCGGCTCTGCAAGAAACACGGGTTAGGACAATGCGCACGACAGGCGATAAGAGCGGCGTACTGATTGAAGCATGGTTGAACCTGTGCGGTTGCGATGCCCGCAAACAGCAGTGCTGCGACGATGGAAAAGATCTTCATCTTTGGTTTAGACTGGCTCGGTGAGTGCTCTAATTCCTGGGGCGAAATACACACAACTCGACGGCTTATATAGTGCCAGGCTTACCCTGCGTACGGGGATGCGAGCATGGGGTATCATGAAAGGGTAGCTTCCCCTGCCCCTCCTGGTTCACCATCCGCACCTCCGGGGTTGCGATTAGACAGCGACTAGCCTCGCTCGACCCCCGATTTCGCTGACTCACCGCGAGACGCTGCCATCATACAAACTGTCCACAGTACAATGGTCACAGTGCATACCCGAATAGGTCCGATGTGCGCGGGGCGATGCGGCATATCAAGTTATCCTTTGTCTTCTCGGATGTAAGTCAAAATTACTGCGTTGGCGCTGTCCGCGCTGAGCTTCTACTGTTTCAGCGTCCACGGCAGGGCAGCGGCCCGTCAGACCACGTCGATTGTGCCGGAGGTTTGAGTCAGATAGTCCACGTCGCCAGCGGCTGAGCTGGTACACCACCCAAGCCTAATCATGTTAACACGCTCATCAAAGAGCCTCTCCGATTCCGATGGCGTCTGGGCGTCACCATTTGCAAGCTTAACTGAATGCCGCGTTGGTGTGACCTGCCTTGACCACGACGGATCCTACACGATGTATCCGCGGCACCGCGGCAGGCGCCGATACTTGTGCACTCATGGAGTCAAACTCGCTCAATAGGTGTCCGTCGTGCATGTACCGTATACGTTCTAGCATAACCCCGACGCATGGAAGCTGACAGTCTCAGGATGCAGGTCCGGAGCTAGCGATCGTACGCGCTGTTGATGATTGCGTATGCAATGGAGTACCTTCCATAACATCAATCTCGATGCAACAATCATAGGGTTGCATCATCCGTAGCGGCTTTCACTACGTTTTCTCGGACGATGAACAGTTACGTCTCGCCGTCCAACGCCGCCCAAACTACCGATTTTTTTGTGCGGCTTGTCTGGACTGGCGGATCGATACTTTTCCCTTGTCTCATGCACTGCGACCGGAACGACGACGTCTCTCAGAACAAGAGTGATGAAGATGGCACGATGTGCCGGTCTACGCGGCCAACGCATTATCTATGTTGTCGCCGCTTTCCCAGTTTCCGTCATAGATTCCGTGACGTCAAAACCCGTGTGCATGTGCGTAAGCGCGAACAAGTTAGGTCTGCCTGTTCACTTGAAGGTCGTAGCTATCTTAGAATGGTCTTGAGGGCGCATTGATACGCGACTCGCTTCGCGCCTCGGAGACAATCGTGTGACCTGCAGCCAGTTCTGATTTCACAACACCGACAGTGCAGATATGTTAGCCGCAAGGTCTTGAGATTTTCCTGGGGGAGACAGCAAATGTTGGAGCGTCGACGGCAGTACAGCATACGATACACTATTTCTCGAACAACGCGAACACCCATGTCAATATGCATATGCGTCGAAATGCGAAACCCATTACCCAGTAATTCGCGTATCTTGTGCTCGTGATGGTGTGGAACGTATGGTCGATCATCTGCGACGCATGAATAAGGGAGAACACGCGTTACTGGTCACGATATAGCAGGTGGTCACCGTACAACGAAAAGGAGACGCAGTTGATACAACGATAACATACAAAGATTTTTCATCGTCTCCGCCGTCCCGAAGTCTGGAACTTGCTGGTTTCTCTCCGCAAACGCCTGCCAAAAAAAATCGTCAGAAACCACTGTGACCACTCGACGACGAAAGAAGGAGCAGACATACCGACTCGCACGTTCCCGTTCGATCTCTCGCCGCTCGATGTCCTCCGCCGTGAGCTCCTCGAACCGCGTCGCGAAGTCCTCTGCCTCCTGCCAATCCCGCCACACGCTCTTGAGCACCTTCGGTCCCCTGCCGTCCTTCGGTGCGCGGCCCCACGACATCCCGAGCCCCGTTTTGTCCTTTAGCAGGCTCAGGCCGCTCTTGTCCCGCCGCTCGCGCTCCCGGCCTTCCCCGGCGGGTCTTCCACTGTTCGCCAGGGTGTTCGCAGCGGTAGTCGCGTCCGCGAGCTGCGTGCCGTCCACGCCGTCGTCCCCGCCGATGACGCCCCACTCGATTGCGTCCTTCTTGTGCTTCACGATTTCCTCGTGTACGGCGTGCGCGACGAGTGGGACGGCTTCGCCCGCTAGCCCGAGCTCGGCGCAGAGCTTTTGGGAGAAGGCTTCCGGTGTGAGCGGGGATAGTAGGTCCCACTCAATGTGGTCCATGAGATGGTGGTTGCCGATCTGCACGTCGATCTGGACATCGAGTTCAGTACCCTCCACTCTCCTTCACAGGAATGAATGACAACGCACCTCGAGCAGAACCCGACATTCCGGGTAAATTTCTCCGGGCTCTGCCGGTTCCCGCCCGTCCGCGTCAACGCGGTCGTCCACGCCGAGGTCCATGCTCGCGATGCCCTCGTGGTCCTCGAGCTGCGCGCGGATCTGGTTCGCGATCGTCTCTGCCCACGGCTTCTCGGGCAGGTCAAGGTCGGCGCAGAATATGCGCGCGAACCGATCTGGGGTGACGAGGCGCTCGTGCAGGTTCCACACGAAGCAATCGCGCACGCGGTGCGTGTCCGTCTCGAACTCAACCCGCACAGGCACCAGCGCCGTTGGCCGCTCGGCCTGCTGTTCTAAGCCGTCCTGAGTCCTATGAGCCTGTCGCCGTCAGCGGCAGGGTGAGTGGTGGTAGCTGGTGAACTCACACGTATTCGTGGTCGGTCATCGGCACTAGCTTCGACTGGATGTACCGCGCGGGGGGTATCTGCCCGAGATAGCTCTGGTCCAGCTCCCTGCTTTTCGTCTGCGCACCCGCTCCGCCGACGGGCGTCTGAGGCGTCGCGCGGCTCGCGCCCGTGCCCGAGTGAAAAACGCCCATGCCGGTCGACATGCGTGCGGCGCGTCCGCCTTGCGCGTTTCGGATCGCGGTGCGCGTGCCGCCAGACGCTTGGAAGTCCGAGTCGTCCGAGTCAAGCTCGCCCGCGTCGGGGATATCGTCGCCTGAGCCTGGGTCGGCGTACGAGACGGCTGCGGCGCCCCGTCGTGATGCGCGCCCGGAGGATGCTGCGGCGGCCTGGAGGGCGACGGAGGTTGAGAGGATGGGTTGCATGAGCAGCGTCGCGCCGGTGCGCATGCGAGAGGGGTAAGTCGAGCTGAACGCCTGGCGTGCGGGTGGGAGAGGCGGCGGAGGCGGGTACTGGGGTTGCTTCTGATGTTGGTATTGAGTAGCATACTGCGCCGTGCTTGCGGGGGCGGTGGTTGTGGTTGCGGGGGCGGGTTGAGGTGGAGGGGTGTAGGACGGCGCCTGGGCAGCGCCCCCAGAGCGTAGGGCGCGAGTGCGGGGCGCGCTGCGCTGAGAGGGGATGGCACCCTTTGGCGTCGCCTGGGGATTTGACGACCAGCTTTGAAGATTCTGTTGGTATGTTGCCTGGTACTGTTGTTGGCGCGAGAGTTGCGAGATTGTCTCGCGTAGCTGGGCATCTGTCATATGGCCGTAAAGCGAGCCAGACGCTGCTGCCTGTCCGTCGGCCATTGCAAGTCCCTTCTTGATATCAATATCCGAGATGGTATGCTATGAACAGGTAGATAACCGAGAGGAGGTGGTGGAGGTGGTGGTGGCAGGAAGCACGCGAGACGCGTCCGACGCGTCTCGCGGCTAACTGCTCGAAATTATTTCCCTCCCTCCGTCACTCGTCCATGTTGACTCGGTTTGTGCGTCCTGCGACAACACTTCACCATGCATGTCGCTATGCTAGAACAGCAGCCAAGCGTCCGCAACACAACTACAACCCGTGAGTCGCTGCCTACGGCCTCCTTGCGGCCTCCTTGCGGCCTCACGCTGACATGGCCGGTCCTCAGTGCCATTGTAGAGATGCTCACGCGCAGTACGAGTAATCTATGAAACCGCATATACACCATCATAACTGCTCTGTTAGGTCTTGACGAAGAGACGTCGGCACCGACCCCGAACACATTCAAAATTCGCGCCTTCAAGCTCGCCATACGGACCATCAATGCCCTCGAGGATCCCATCACTTCTGGCGAACAAGCCAAAGACGTTCGTCGCACTGGTCGTCGTATCATGCTGTCAACTTGTCTCACGCCCCCACCCATAGCTCAGAGGTATTGGCCCACGCATCGCGGCGCGGATCGACCAGTTCCTGCAGGAGTTAGTGCGTGCCCCATCCTCCTGACCGTTTCCCGTTCTTCCTTTGTGCTCATGGACGGCGCAGAACCGCGACGTTTCTCATGAGTCGCACCATTCTTCGTCCGCCGCGGCGGAAAGCGAAGACGTGATCGCCGACCGGGCTGCCAAAGAGCTGCAACAGATAACCGGAATTGGGTCGGTTCCTTCTCTCTCCTCCTCTGTACCTACATAGTATGTTCATCACCCGTGCCGCAGCCCCAGCAAAGCAAGAACGCTCGTCGCGGCCGGCTGCACCTCGATCGCCCAGCTCCGGGCCAGCCCTGAGCTAAAAAATAAGCTCACCCGCTCGCAGCGGATAGCGCTCGATTTTCATGGCCAGCTCAAGAAGGGTGTCACGCGTGCGCAGAGCGAACAAGCGCTTGTAAGTGATTGTACCGCTCCTCCAAATCTACTTGACGACGTTTCTGTCTGATCGACACAGAAACTCGTGCGCATGTGCGTACCATCGTCCTGCGAAGCTCATCTTGTCGGCAGCTAGTAAGTACACGTCTCGGCACCTCCCTTAACTGACCATATGTTGACATATCGTCCTATATCAGCCGCCGCGGCGCCGCGCAGCCCTCCGACATAGACATCCTCATATTGGACCCGGACATGCCCGCGCCATCCTCCCCAATCCCACAACGTGCGAGTGCCGGCCGACGGCGCCCCACTGGCGTCCTCGCGGAAACGATCAAGGCGCTGGAGCGCGACGAAAGCGGTGCCGCGGTGACGATATCAGGCGGCCTGACCCAATGGCAGGGCATTGTACGGCTTAACAACGACCAACACGCCAGAACACCCGCCTACCGACGTATGGACATATGGTACGCTTCGCTCCACTCCCTTGCCCAGGGCGAACCGACGTACTTACGACGGCGGCGGACAGGGTGTACCCGAAGGAGTGCGCTGCGGCGGCGCTGCTCGCGCGAACGGGCGACGTCGAGTTCGTGCGCGACACCCGCGAGCGCGCGTCTCGGCGCGGCCTGCACCTCAACGACTACGGCCTCTGGCGGAGGGTCGATCCAGAGCACTTGGCGGAGACGACGCGCGAGGCGGAGGACGAGGAGAACGATGACATGCTGGATATGGATGACGATCCGTGGGAGCGCGTGGACACCCCGACAGAGGAGGACTTACTCGAACATCTCGGGTTGGAGAACGTCGTTCCCGAGAGGCGCAATTTCGAGAACTTGTTGACGAAGAGACGGGAGAGGCGGGGAAGACCGAAGGGGTCGACGAAAAAGGCGGCCACCTCGTCATGAAGCGTTGGCGGAGGCCAGGTATACGGTACCATAACATAACATTCCTTAATACGAGCATCGCATCAACAGCGATGGCGATGTCTTCTGGACGTCACGACTCATTGCACGTTGAAGTCCGACATACTACTTCAGCCATTGTTACACCCAGGAATAATGATACTGCTGAGAGTTAGAGACTATATCTGAACGTGTCCGTGTACAGATCTACCACTTCAAATGTCCCAATGTTCAGCTATATACACCATCAATACGCGAGCGTTCACGCCGGAGCTGCGATTTGAAGTCCGGATGGTGCGACATAATATAAAGTGTGTCCCACAGCTGCGCAAGGCCACGTACAATGTCCCGCTACAGCCTGCATACTTCTTGGAACCCGCAGCATGCTGTGGGGCTCGTCAAGTGTGCATGCCATGATTATGTAGCCCCATAGCTCTACAGGCAACGAGGGTGGCGGCGAAGAATGCGTGGTCTACGCTTGAGTGGCACGATGGATGAACCAAGGGAGTGTTATATATCATCGAGCTACAATATGAGTATTTGCAAAGACGGATCAGATGCATCGACAAAAGAATTCTTTGACCGGGATGTGATCTTTGTCACAAAGAAAGAGTCCAGGACCGAAGCCAGAGATCGTCATGGATTCAATATTCAGGTCTCGTTTCGACGTCTTATGTAAAGCATTCTTCGCCTTGACTTCCTCCTTCCGCGACCTTGAACGACGATGACAACATCAGGCGCCGCGATTGATTACTACTCATATAAGGTCCCGCAGCTCAAGGAACTTTGCAAAGAGCGCGGGTTGTCTGGCTTCTGGACTCTCAACAAAGCCGCGATCATTCAGAAACTTCGAGACGCTGAGGCAGCCGCTGAACCCTTCTCGAAAGTCCCGAAGGTTGGCAACGCGAATCGTCGGGCCCCACAGCACGACACTGCAGCATCATCGTCCGGCGCTCAGAGGAAGCACAAGGGGGCCGCAGCAACTACAGGTAACGCCCACACACCTAGCACAACGCTTACGGACGCGCATACATCCACACTCCATGGGCCGGATGGTGCAAGGTCGAGCGAGGGAGCGAACAACTCCAGCATTGCAACTTCTGTATCTCTCCCTGGCCCTACGACGCTTACACTCACCCTGATGCCCTCGCACATCGCTCATGCTGGCGGTTCCTCTGGCTTTACTGGCACCTTTCTGGATGGCGCTACTGTCTTGACTGCTACAGCAACGTCAATCACTGATCCACCAAATGTTTCAGAAGGTCTAGAGTCCTCGCGGACTGAAGGCGTCTCAGCAGGGGCTCCGTCAATCTCAGGTGCTCCGCGAGCTGCCGAGAGGAAACCTCGTAAACGACCTTTGGACCAGTCTGTTAATAAACCTGCTACGTTGCATAAGAAGAAGAAAATCGACACTAATCAATCTCGATCCCCGGCGACATCGGCGATTCACAACCAGCCAGTCGATAGCATGCCCCCAACTGACTCGCGCCAGGGTATCGATCCGCCCCCGATTGCTGCGTCTGCCGCAATCATCCAGTGTCTACCGTCCATGGTTCGCCGGCCTGCTGAACGCGTGAGGTATTTCAAGGTTCCAGAGTTACCAAACAAAGTCACCATCGGTGATAGGGCCGTTGCTGTCAATGTTGGTTCTTCCACGACTCCTGCTTCTGCTCGTGCCCCAGCCCCAGCCCCAGCTCCCGTACCTGCTCATCCTCCAGCTCCAGAGCCAGCACCAGCATCTGCCCGCGCTCCTGCTGCTGCTGCTGCTCGCGCGCGTACTCCCGCTCGTGCTCCCGCGCCTGCTTCTGCACTGGTTCCGGCTTCGAATCTGACATCTGCATCGGTCACCAAACCACTCGAATCCGGATCAGCCAAGACGGCTTCATGGCGGCGGTTCAAGCCGATAGTTCCGAAACGGCCAGGTCCCGGCTTGGAACTGACTGCTGGCAACTATGTCGCTACCCAGCAGAATCGTGTACCTTCTACCATCTTAAATCTGAGTTACCCCGATCTTCCTCCAGCACCACCGCCGCCGGCACTCGTCAATATTACGCTACCGCCGAAGCTTGCTCAACGCAGGTCGATCGATCGGTGGTCTATTATCCTCAGCGGCCTCTCCGACACAGAGAGGGCGAAGTGCACGCATGTCTCGAGGGTGTTTCGATACGCAGGTACGCGAACGCTTCCCGTCATGCGCGCCTCTACAACTCATACCTTGTAACGCTGCATAGTATACCTGTCTGCAGTCGCCATCCTCGAGCGCGAGTGCGCGGGGAGACGGCTCGCTAGCGTCGCGGCATGCTGCCAGCGGAGCCGGACCAATATGTGGCCGTACCTGCGCCAACGTCGCAGAGAGGCCGCGGCTGCGAGAGCCGTCTTTGATAACTCGTTCTTGGGCACGAACGTGTTTAAGGGTGGGCGACCCATCGCAAAGAGGCTCTGGACGAGCCCGGATTACGAGAGGCAGGCCAGCGTCGCGCTTCGGTGAAGGATTCACATACTCCTGTCACATCTCTCGCGAATGCGGGAAGCCCATGAATTCGTGTGCTTACTGTTTTGTTCCCCAGTTTCGTGTTGTCGAGAGTGTGGTTTCATATTTGCATCGGCGAATGGGGAGGCGATGAAGATGCAGCCCAAGCTATGAGGCCGTGGATGGACGAAATGGTTGTGGACGTTCAGCCCGTCGTGAAGGGCGCGGTATGGTCCGTGACCGTCCTGCTGAAGAAGACGGGGGAGACGAGGACCTGTTACGTCCTCGAGGCTACTGCAGAACTAATCGGGCGACCCGAAGATCCTTATCCGCAGCAAGACTCGCAGTTTCCGGTGCGGGAGGATTGGTTTGCTTACGTCCAGGAGATGCTGCGGGACCTGCCAGAGGAAGGAGAGAGGCCGCGAGCGGCGCTCTTGGACCGATTGGCGTGGCAACACACGGCGGAATACGACAGAGGCGTGAGCCGGTTGTGGCTCGTGCGCGTGGGTCGGGAAGGCGCCGTTGGCGAGGCGAAGAGGCAGGTCGCGGAGCGGTATATCCTCGCCAGCGTCGTTGGGAACGGGTACGTCAATTTCCTGGCCATATATCGTCTCATCAGGGCTGACTCGGATTCGCTGCACTCGCTGGAAAAAAGATTGAGCGGAAGGTGGATGTCGAACATCGAGATGGCGCAGGAGTCCGCGTCTTTGTCCTCCGCTGCGGCTTTGAAACATTCGCGTGCAAAGGTCATGCCAAGGGTCAACCTGTTTCTCCCCGCGCAGCATCACGTTGAATCCGTGCATTTCACCGCTTCGCGCGGTGGTGGGAATCTGCACCCAGCCCTCGCGGTGGTGCAGGCGATGGCGAGGGAAGTATTCGTACTCAGGGACAACGGAATGACCGTGGGGTGCGAGGGCGCCGAGGGGGAGGGGGAGGAGGGCGTCGCGCGCATATGGAGGGCGGTGTTGGGGTGTGATTCGAGAGGGCTCGCGATTTGATTGTTCGAGGATGTGGGGCGTGTACGATTGCTCTCTTTGTGAGTAGGATAAAGGTCAGACACTGTATGAAGCACTGTATATCATCGCTGGTTATCAGAACGCTCCTCACCCACAAGAACCGAGCTCGCCGAGTACTCTACACTATTCCTTGAAAGGCTGCGTCATAGATCCGCTACGGTACAAACATTCTTTCGGTCGGAATCCGTCCCTTGACGAGGTAGTATTAACCGTCGGTGTTGTGCGATAGGCGGCGGCGTGAGCGCTGAATGTTGAATATTGAATATTGAATGTCCTCTCAGGCTCTCGTGATCGGAATCGCGTGATGATCACTGACGGGCTGCACCTAAGGTAGGGCTCATTCATATATAGCCACTATCACGCGCTCAGACCTGTCACGCTATGGAGACTTTTGGCGGGGAACGGAGATGGAGCGTTACATTGGCTCACTACTCGTTTGTCCGACTACTTTTCCCAATAATTTTCTATAAAAAAGATAGATGCAGACTGTGCGCAGATATTGTATAGAAAATTTTCTTAATGCGCTTCTCTCACGCCTCGCTGTAAGGGTTCGAGGTGGTTAGATGTCCCTGATTTGGTCACGCTCGGGGCATCGACTGAATTTGAGTATCACATATTCACGTGAGTGTCACTGCAATGTCACTAGTAGCTATGTATGAATGAGCCCTACCTTACACCCAACGAACCTTGGAGTTCTCCGACATGAGTAGCGTTGCATAGTCATAGTCATAGTCATCGTCATCGTCATAGTCATAGTCATAGTCATAGTCATAGTCATAGTCATAGTCATAGTCATAGTCATAGTCATAGTAAGAAAGTAGTACAGGACCGCACAATATTTGGCCATAGACAACGCCCGCGATTCGACGACTTAAGTATTCAATGTAACCACGTGGCGAATTTACCCCGCATCGGACGCTCGCCGCGGGCACCGCGACCCGCGTTCCCTCGCTCATCTCGCTGCTCTGCACACCGGTCGTCTTCTTGAGAACCTTCTTGCTCTCCCCTCCAGACGTACTGTCCCCCCGAGCCTGGGGCTTTGCGAACCCACTACAACGACGGGATAGTCACTTGCACGGCAAACTTCAGATATCGCTACCGCTAGACGACGGGCTACTTCATGGCGATCATCGACGGAGGCGCCGCGACGGGCGGCGGTGGAGGAGACCAGGAGCTGCTTCGCCTATGGGGACTCGTCGCGGAGCTGTCCGAGCAGCTGTCGCTGCACCGCCAGGCGGCGAGCGCGTTGCATGCGCAGGTCGGCGATCTCAAGGTACGTGCGCGTTCCCGTTATCCCTTTCGTAAGTGGCCAGGGGAGGGAGCTCATGAAGAGTTGGGTGTGGATGTGTAGACGCAGGCGATACACTCGCAGACGGGGTTCGTGCTCAGGAGGTGGGTTTCGATCGCTCATACGCTAACGATCAGACCAACCGACCGACTGATTCTCGCTTGTACGGGCAGGTTTAACACGGACAAGAGCGATGGTGCGTCCATCCTCTCTCCTCTCTCTCTCTCTCTCTCTCTCTTCTAAACGTCCGTACGACTTCGGCGAACTGACGATACGGGTATACGTGTGCAGAGGAGTACGAGACGGAGCTGAAGCGGATGAACGCCGCGCTCGGGGAGGAGAACAGCGCGTTGGCGAACGAGAACAAGCAGCTCGGGGCGCTCATCAAGGAGTACGAGCAAACGCTCGAGAACGTCATGGACGCGTTTCGCAAACGAGCCGTACGTTCCCTTCCCCCCACCCCTTTCTCTCTCTTCTGCGTCCTTTTCTCTATGTTCTACGTATATACACGCGATTGGAAAGTTCTAACGCGATCGTTTTTTTTTTTTTTTTGGGATGTTAGCACGAGGTGCAAGTGCGGGAGCTGTCGCTGATACGCGAGTACGAGGCGCGGTTGATGGATCGTGAGGACGCGGAGCTCGGGGCGGCGCTGGGCGCGAGCGCGGCGGTGTCGCAGAGCGTGGGGAGGATGAGCCGGTTGTTGAGGCGCGCGTTGAGGGCGGCGCAGGGCGAGGACGGGTATTATGCGCCGGCGGACGTGCGCGCGCGGGTGATCATCGACGGGGAGCACGACGATATCATGCATACCCATACGAGCGGGGAGGAGGAGGGGGAGATAGGGGAGGAGGAGTGGGCGGAGGCGGGGGTGAGCGAGTGGGCGCTGGAGAGGGAGTGCGAGCTGGCGAGGGTGGAGAGGGAGAACGAGGAGTTGAGGCGGTTGCTCGCGATGAGGGAGCAGATGAGGGCGGTGAGCGTGCCTCAGCAGGGGTCGGGCCAGGCGCGGGGGGCGGGATTGCCGGATCTGAGGAAGTGGATTGGGAGGGGACAGGGGCGGGGGGAGCACGAGCACGAGGTGCAAAGTCAACATGGGGAGGAGCACAGCCAACAGCGGGAGGAGGAGGAGAAGGTGGAGGAAGCTTTGGCAGAAAAGGAGCAACCCGAGGAAGAGGCAGAAGCAGAAGAAGAGGAGGTCGTTGAGCAGGCGAAGGACGAGCCGACCTACCAGAGCGAGGAGGAGCGAGAGGAGGATGTCGCGCCGTCACCGATACCTGTGAACGCGGAACCAGAACCCGCTCCCTGAGATCTATCTGGGAAGCGGATGACGCGTTTCCCCCGCGACGACAGCGGGCAGTCGACCGCAGGCCTATCTTGGATCTACCGGTCTATTCAAGCTCGCAGGCACGGCACGAGAGATGCGATTGATTGTGCGTCGCGCATCAGGGACTCCGGATGGGATCATGACGAGGCTAAGGTTGGGCTACCACTCTCCGCGGAAGCGTACTGTAACACATGGTGTGTGCGGTGCATGTAACTCTAGAATTCATCCGCCTTTGGACTTTCTGCGCCATTGCTGTCTGTGCCGACTGCAATGGCGATGCGCACATCATGTGGTTATCAATTCTACTGTAGTGTATTGCACTTGGGTGAGATCGCGAACAACCACAGAATCTGATACTGCGCTCGGAGGCAATTATAACGGCGGGAGAGGACCGGCCGGTGATCCCGGGCTGGTGCCTGGCCGCAAAATTGAATTTTAATGACGGTTTTTCAGTTGAGGCACCGGTCACCGTTGGCTCCGGCGTCGGCGACTTGGTCCTCAACCCTGTCCCTGTTGTTCTCAACAACAACGACGACAACGACGACGACCGCTGAATGCGCTCGGCGTCGTGCACCCCGGCGAGCACGGAGGCGTTCTAGAAGGCGACGCGGTAGATATATTACCACCACGGCCCACGCGCTTGCGTCGCTGTGAGACACGACGCTCTCGACGGCGAACCCGTGTGGACTGGTCACTAGCGCTCTTGCTGCGTAGGGTGAGTACTCGTATTCAGCTTTCGTCTCGCCCACATCTTATATACGCGTTCGTCACTCGCCCTTGGGCGACGACCGACCGAGCCGTCGCAACTTCCTCCGAGCGCGCAGTGGATTTTCGAGAGAGAAACGTCCGCGGTTGCTCGGGACACCGGGACTGCAACATCATCCCATTATTAATTCCCTCCCCTTCTTCTTCCCCGGCGCATACAGCTTCCGTCTCCTTAGACCCTTCATCAGCACCTTCATCATCCCTCTTTAGCCCGAACCTGATGCAGACGCGCTGACCTGCACCCCGTCTCTCTCCTGCCAGACCGCCATTCTCTCTCCCAGCCCGCGAACGCTTTCTACGCACCGCCTCCGGCGCATCTCGCATCCTGTGCATCTACCGCCCGGGATAGTAAGGGAATTCGAAACAAGGAACCGAGGACCAATCGACACCCGCGGGAGACACACCCACCACCGCGCGCATGCCGTCGTCGAGCACGAACGCCGGTATGAATAACCACCTCCACCACAACGACGCCGCTTCCCGCTCCGCCACCCGCCCCAGCACCAGCGCCGGCGTCAGCTCCAGCGCGCGACCGTCGACCTCCTCCTCCTCCTCGAGCTCGGCGTTCAAGGCCTTCCGCCGGAGCTCGGTCCAGGCCATCCTCACCCGCACCAACTCGACCCGCGCCGAGTCGGTCCTGAGCGACCACCAGAGTACGTCCAGCCGCGCGGCGCGCTCGAACTTGAACCATCCCGGCGCGAGACCGGGCACGGCCGCGAGCAAGCGCTCGGAGGACAGCTCTTTCGGTGAGTGGGCGACGACCCCCTTCACTTCCTTCTCGCTCCTCGTCACTTTCATGTGCTGGCGCGACGTTGCATTTCATTGCGCTGGTGTCGTGTTGGTTGCGTCATCGCCTTCGCGCGCAATTTCCATTTCCTTCCGTCCACCCCGGACAGGCGCGGGGCTGTCTTTTCTCCGCGTCTCCTGGGGCGCAGTTATTTAGGGTGATCCTGGTGATCTTTCTCCGTGCCCGGGCGCGAATCTCATGGCGCACTACCACCCTCCCATGCCTTCCGCACGTCGCAAACATCACCGATCCTCCGTTCGCTGACGCACACACCCTTTCTTTGTCTGCAGACATCATCGACCCCCCGCGGCACTCTCACTCTCCCACCGCCTCCCTCTCCCTCTCGCACTCGACCTCCAACCACATGCAGCCCGACCCCTCCCTCTCCTCCTCGGCCACCGGCTCGGCCACCGGCCGCCGCTCGCGCTCCTCCACCCTCTTCTCCGCCTTCCGCCGGCTCAACTCGACCAAAAAACCACCCCACCCGCTCTCCTCTTCCTCAACATCCACCTCCACTTCGCACTACCCCTCGCACTCCTACCCCGGCTCCTACTACTCCGGCGCCAACGGATTCGGCGCGTTCGGCGGCAAGGGCGTGATCCTCCCCGACGTGATCGAGATCGCGCCCGCACCGTCGAGAAGGGAAGAAGAAGACGCGGAGCGCGAGCGCCTGCGCGCCGCCGCGGCGGAAAGCATCGGCATGCCCGCCGCCGGCCTCGACGGCCTCAACCACTCGCTCACCTCCCACCCGCACCCGAACGGGATGGACGCGATGAGCTACGTGGGCAGCATCGACGAAACCGACGAGGACTGGTACGACCACCGCCGGATGCACCACAACGGCACCGGCGCGTTTGACTTTGAGGACGGCGACGACGACGACGCGCCCGCGCCGCGCCACCCGTACGCGGCGCCTACGCCGCCCATGCCCTCTGCGCCCGTCCCGGTGTCCCTCGCGCCACCGGCGGCACCGGCGAACGGCCGCCTGCGCTCGGGCTCGCTCGCGCAGGCGCTCTCCCGCGCGCGCTCCTCCTCCCGCGCCGGCGCCTCCGCGCCCGTCCCGTCTCCGCTCACCGCATCCACGCTCAGCGATAGCGATAATCGCGGCGCAGGCGACGGAGGAGGGGGCGGGATCCCGCCGTTCCCCGCTACGCCGGCGCAGCTCGCGCGCTTCTCGCAGCTGCAAGGGGCGTTCCCGAAGCACTGTCCGCCCGCGAGCGTGCTGATGCCGTTTGGGAGGCAGTGGAAGAGAAGGTTCGTCGTTCTGTCGGCGCCGCTGCCGGCGGGATCAGGAGGAGGAGGAGGTGGTGGTGGCGGGGGAGGGACGGGGAGGGGGTCGTCGATGAAGAGTTATTTGCACGTGTTCAAGGGCATGGGGTCGGACGAGCGCGAGCTGGAGCGGCTCGCGGTGGACGAGGCGAGCGTCGTGTTCGTTGCCGGGGACGAGGTCGGGCGGAAGGGCGTGCTCAAGGTGGGCGGGCTCGACGCGACCGTCGCACCCGCGAACGGGAATGGGTTGAATGCAAGCACCAGCAGTAGTCAGGGGGGGAGGGGAGCAGGAGGCGGAGCAGGGAAGAAGGATGCGGACCCGGAAGATGAGGGACGCGCGATGTGGTTATTGCAGATCGTGGACCAGACCGAGAGCCAACGTTGGATCGACGCGATCAAGAATGCCGTCCTGTCGCAGCGGTGCGTAACATTTCCTTCAAAAATTGCGCCTACATTCTCGCTCGCTGCCCCCATTTTACGCTGCTTTATATATAGCGTGATGATAGATCGCTGACGCCATCATGTCTGTTTTTGTTCCGGGGTATATAGGACCGTCCGCGCCGGCCTGGGTTACGCGTCGCACACAGCCCACACGTCGGGCCCGTCAGAGCCCAGAGGAGACATGGACGTCCAATTCACCATGCGCAAAACCGGACTGCTACCCTCGTCGCTGGCGTCCGCCGCCCCTACGGGTACAGCGGCGTACGACCACCACACGGCCTCTTCCCGCGGCTCGTCCGCGACACCGCCGCACTCGGTCCGCAGCGCGCACTCGAACGCCGCCCTGCACGCAAACGCAAACGCGCCCGCCAGCCCCCCGCCGCTGCACTCGAACGTGAGCTCGATCTCAAGCGCGGGCGGACGCCCGCTGAGCGCGCCGAGCGCCGTGCTCTCGCTCAAGGGCCTCTTCTCCGTGCGTCCGCGCTCGCCCTCCGTCGCTTCGCATGTCGTCACCGTCGCGTCGGACCCCGACAACGACGCCGCGAGCTCCTTCGGCGTCGCGGGAGACCACATCCGTGGCTTCCACCGAGGGGCCGGCTCGACGCTATCCTCGCCTACCTCGCCTACTTTCTCTACGGCGATGAACCCGGCCGGTTTCGCGGACGCGCCTGCGCCCGCGCCGGCCATCGACCCGCAGGCGCTCGAGCTCAAGATCGTGCAGCATCACCGTTCGGCTGAGTGGACGCCGCGCTCAGCGGCAGATGGGTTGAGGGAACGTGAGGCGTCGGACGGCAGCCTGAATCGGAACCGCGCCGGTTCGCTGTCCCTGCTTCCGCCGCCGCGGCCGAACAGACGACCGTGGACATCAGGGAGTGTACTGACAGCGCAGGATCAAAGCGGCAGCGGCAGCGGAAGGTCGACGCCGCGGAACATCCATACCCGGGTGGATGGCGAAGATGGAGAGACCAAGGCGGACGGCGGGCACGGAGAGAACCAGAGCCCGCCGACGAGTGCACGCACGTCGCTCGAATTCGCGCCTCGCAGCGCCGTCCCATCGCACAGCCCCACGCCGCAATCCTCGCCTCTGCCCGCATCTACCCCACGCTCAAGCGAGGACGGCTCGCGCCTGTCGCCACCGAGCACGGGCCTCGCCGGCTTTTCCTTCTTTGGCACGCCAGAGCAGCGACCGCGGGCCCCGTCCGTCTCGTCCGTTTCCACCCTCGCGTCTGGCGAGCAACAGGGCACGAGCCGCGGCAGCCGCCGCTGGTCGCGCCACGCACTTCCGAAGATGCTCACGCCTCCAGCGGGCCCGCTCCCGCCCGTGCCGAGTGCAGGCTCGAGCTCGGGCGGCGGCACGGAGCGCGGCGCATACTCACCTTCAGCGCGCTCCCGCGCGTCGTCAGTTCATTCGCCGGCGTCGCCAGCAAGCGGGAGCGCATCGTCGCCGCCTCAGCGAAGCACGTCCTTCTCGAAGCGCGCGAGCGTGTCAGGAAGCTCGGTGCGCAGCGTCAACACGATGAGCACGTCGCACTCACACGGCGCGCACTCCTGGATTCATTCCAACGGGAACGGGAGCGTGAACGGGCATGAACCGGGCAGCAGCCCGCCTGCAGATCGGCAATTGAGCGGTCCGCCGACGACGCGCCTCATGGGCCTCAAGCGCCTCTCCCTACCGCCTCCCTCACGCCCGCCCAATTCTGCGCTGCCGCCGACTCCCGGACACCGTGGCAGCTACGATGCCTCTCCCGCGCCCGTGCGCCCCTCCAGCTCCGGTTCCGGCAGCGCACCCCGCTCTCCGCCGAGGAGCATTATCCCGCCTTCGCGCGCGCACCGCGCGCTCAGGCTCTCGCTCCTCCCGCCGACGCTTCCCCCGAGCGCCGCGCTCCCTCCGCGACCCGACGAGCCGTCGACCACCGGGCGCGGCTTCCGGGGCCACCATCGCCGTTCCTCGAGCGTGAGCAACGTGCCGACCCTGACGCCCATCTCCGGCTCACCTGTCATTCCCGCCCCGACGCACCCGATGCCTATCGGCAAGGTGACCGCGCCGGTCCTCTCTCGCGGGGCGTCCTTCAAGCAGCGCCTGCGGCTGCTCAGCAACCCGGGTTCGACATCTTCGCCTACACCGTCCCTGCGCGACGTGCCCGCCCCGCCGCCGTTCGTGCCCGCTCCAGCCCCGGACCCACTCTCTTCGCGCTCGTCGTCACCGATGCTCGCGCCATCGACCCCCATCGGCGAGCCGATCATGGTGCTCTGCAAAGATTCCGACTTGCTGGCTGATAACGAGTCGCGCTCCATCGCGCTTACAGTCCCGGACAGCTCACCAACGATGCCGGAAACCACGCCTCTATCGCCACCTCCACGACGGGGATCGAGACAGCTGGAGATGCGCATCGTGGAGCACGACCAGGAAGACGCTGCCGCTGATCCTCCGCCCGAAAAGCCCGCCTATCTCAGACTATCTCACCAAGACTCAGCATTCTTCGGAGCAATCACTCAAGGTTCTTCACCACCGCTTTGATCCCTTCCCCCTGCATCTGGTCATCTACGCGTCTCCCGTTTGGTTTCTGTTTCCTGGTCTATGCATCCTCACCTTAGGTATTTCGGCATATCTGTTTCTACCTTTTCGATGTACATCTATTTTTGGCTCTCTTGCAAGCGTACCGCGGATTCAGGCAATCGGATTATACTACCCTATTGTATCATTCATACAAAGCATTTAGAAGTACAAGAACATTGCTGATAGAGAGGGGGGTCCAGAATGAAATCAAGCCAGGGCGTTTTCGACGTCAGCGCTGTCGTCTCCGGTTTCGAGGTTGGCGAACTAAACGAATCGTCAGCCACGCGAACATAGACCACATGAGGAAGACTTACGCTCAAGAATGCGGCCGGCCGATGCTCCTCCGCCCAGAAGAGTAACGGGGTGTCCAGAGTCATAGAGTAAGGCATGTTTGGTGACCAGATGTTGGTCAACCCGATGCCATAATTCCACACCTTGCCCTCCGGGACAAGAGTCATACCGAGAATACGGTCAGAGAGCAGGAGCTGCACGCGTTCCGACATGTTGGGGTTGAAGCCCTGCAGCGGGAAAATCACAAATTAGCGCATGCATGGACTAGATACGATAACTCGATCTTACCGGCGGGTTCACCGAGTTATCATTGTTCTTGCGACCCCACTCGAAGCCGGCGACGGTCAACGAATGCGCGGACAAAGACACCGAACCGGGTGTGAACGACACCGTCAGACAGATCGACGACGGACCCCACTCTGGGTGGTCGGCCATGATCTTCGCCTGTGTGGTGACGTCCGTTGGCGAGAGATGCGGCAGCTCCAACGCCTGCGTCTTGATCCAGCCAAGGGGCTCGAGGTCCTTCAGCAGATAGTCGTCCTTCGGCAGGCGCGAAGGGAGCTCAACCGTGTTGTTGTTGCCGCGCTGAGGTGCCCAAGCGACGGCCTTGATCTCCTTGACTTGCTTGTTATCCGGCGGCGATACACCGTACAAAAACGCGGCGACCTGAGTGCGGAGGTCGGCCGCTGTGACGAAGGCACGGAGGATGTTTTTCGGCAGAACGTAGGTAAAGGCGCTCGCATCGTCCTTGACGTCGTCGTTGGAGACGTAGATATGTTGCAGCCTGAGTGGCAGGTGCGTGGCGGAGATGGCACGAACACGCCAGTCGGACTTGCTGCTGAAGACCTGCTGCTCATAATTCGTGGTAGTGACGGTCTGGATGGTATCACCGTGGACGTTGGTCGTCTGCGTTTGCACAGCCGTAACCTGACCTTGTGCCTCCGAGCTCTTCTCGAGCTCCGCCATCTGCTGCCTCTGCACGGACGGAGCGGCAATCTCCTGACCAAGGATGATGTCCCTGATCTCACTTGCGGTGAGCGAGGCGATGTTCACGCTATTACGCTTGCCGAAGTCCGCAAGAATCAGGTCCTTCATGGCGACCTCAACCTTGATCCACTCCTCGTCCGACAATGACGGCCAAACGAAGTGTGGCTCGGTGATGGTGTTCTTGTCAGGGTGGAGGATGATCTTCGCCTTCTCGTTGTTAACGTGCAGACCACGGAGCAAGAGGATGAGGCGCGAGAACGCGGTGTAGCTCGAAATGGACTTGAGCCAGTCATCATACAGACTGAAGAGGACCATCTGGGGTTGAGTGGCACGAAGGATGAGATCACCGAACTTCTCCATCTTCATGCAGGCCTGGAATGGCAGTTGCAGCTCGCTACCCTTGATGACGATGTTCGGGAAGTCGAGCAAGTGGACTTCGAGCGGGTCCAACATGCCCTTCCGGGTGACGATGACTTGCTTCGGCTGTTCTTCGACCGGTAACGAACGAACTAACGCCGCGACTTCTTCGGCGGTCTTCCACTTCGCAAGCTGCCCGAGACGCTTCTGGCCAGCCCACACGCTGGTGTGAATGATCTTCAAGAACAACTGGCCGGAGCGGGGGTTGAAGATGAAGATGGCGCCGTTGATAGGCTTCGTCGTCAAGTTACCCTCGAAGGTCTTGTGGATCGTGACACGGTAAACGTTCGTATCGTCAACGAACCAGATGATCTGGTTCGAGAACAGCTCGGAATAGTTCTGACTGTTGAGGTACGGCTCCGTCGGCTCGGAAGAGTAAAGCTGGAGACCCTTCCGAATACGTTCTCGAAGGACGTGCAGAGCCGGATTGGCTTTGACGATCTTCGCCATAGCCTGCTGAATGAGGGGCTTCATGCCAGGGAACCAGTTACCGTACGCCGACCACAGGTTGTAGGCCAAATCCATGCCGATCATGACACCGGTAGGGGACGGATAGATACTCATCGAGTCCGAGACGTAGTCCAAGAACTTGGCGCGAGTGTATCGGTCGATATCGTGCGAGTCGAAATCGCCCCAACGCAGCTGCACATCGATCCAGTACTTGTTGGACGTCGTACCGTCGAGGACGTCCTTGCCATCGGCCACGAGTGACGGACGAGTAATGTTCCACTACGACAGCGAGACCGGTCAGTGTCGGTACGGTGGACGAATACAGCGCGAACATACCTTGTATGCAGAGAACAGCAGGATATCCGCGCAGGATGAGTTCATCTTGTAACTCTTACGAGGGTGAATGGTCTCCTTTTGCACGGTCTCGATTTGCAAAGGCTCGAGCTCCTGGTCGAAGACTTGACACAAGTCCATGACGACACTCTCGTGGACTGTAGACCAAAGATTAACTACGATGCATGACATAGGAGGTGAATGTGTAAACCCACTTTTCTGCCACAAGTGAGCACGGAAGATCTGGATGAGCGAGATCTTCAGGGTCGGGATCTTGCCGTGCATGAAGATGCCCGTCAAGTCGAGCTGCACTTGGAAACCGACGTATACATTCGCTCGGTTGATAGTCGGACTCCACCAGAGCGTGAACCGACGGTTAGGGATCTGATTCAGACCGGACCGCTGAGCGTTCGTCAACTTCTTGTATCGCATGGATTCTTCGAAACCGGACGCCTTCTCCCAGAAGAGACCCTCCCATGTGGGGAAGTAGGTACCCTTGAACAAGGTGTGCTCGAGGATGGTTTCGACACCGCCAAGCGCAGCGATGACATCGACGCGGTAGTTGTTCAACTGCCAAAGCTTGCCGTCGTGGCGCTGAGACGTCCACCAGAACGGATTGTGCTTCAGGAGCTGGTACTGCTTCCAGTCCGTCCGTACCCGCCAACCACGGTCGTATGCGAGCGTATGCCGATCCTTCTGGAACAGGGTGTTGATGCGAGGAATACCGCGATCCCAGCTGTCCTCCAGATCTTCCAGCGTCAGCCGGCGGTTCTGCGCGTTCGCCTCCTTCCGCTTCATCGAGTACTCGGACCATACGCGGGCAGAGTCGAGGAATTCGGCCTCCCACGGCTGGAGGTAACGGTACAAGTTCGGGATAAGTTGGTCCTCCTCGTGCGACATGCCGGCCCGGAAGTGGGTAACGCCGACGTCGGTCTGCTTCGACCACCGCAGATCGCTCTGGGGGATGAGCACGTGGCCCATGGAAAGCATACCAAGACCACCGAGTTCCTTCGGCGTGTAGAAGACGACGGGCGGGAAACGCGACGGCATCTTACTGTTGAGGCCGATCTTCACTCGCGTCTGGATCTTGTTCTCGGCCTTAACGAGAGCATCGAGCAGCTCGTTGGTGTGGATGACGGCCTCGCGGTAGTAGGTCATCAGACCGATGAGCGCCGTGTTCCACTTGTTCACGATCTTCGAGAAGGTCGTCGAGCCGGAGCTCATAAGGACTTGACGAATACGGTTGTTGAATTGCTGAACACCTTCGTCCGAGACCCGCAAGAAGGCCTGCGCCGTACGCTCCTTGGTCTGCTCGTTCGTGAGGTTCCACACCGCATCCTTGAGCGAGTACTGCTCGCCACCCATGGTCCTGATCTTCGGCAGGATGCGAATCTCGAAGCCGCACATCGAGAAGAGGAGCTGTGGGTTATCCTTGGAGTAGACGCTGACGAACGTGTCCTCCCACTCGATAGTCGTCAACGATCGCGGCAACGAGTTCTTCACGTTCCAGAACACCGCCCGCCCGAGGTTGACGTCGTGCTTGATCAGCCTCATACGGCAGTCGCGCGGCCAGCAACGCTTGTTGTTGTAGCCGATAACATTGTTGTTGGTCGGGTCCGGGTTCGCGCTGAGGTACCGCTGGATGAGGTCTCGCGACTCCTCCGCACTGAAGCGGAAGAGGATGTGGAGGCGGTCGACGTAACGCGAGTACAAACGGATCGGATGCCGGGTCTCCGTCGCCGAGTCGCGGTACTGCAAGAAGTTGTTAGGCATCTGCGGAGGTCCCGCCATCTCGCTAGCCCGTTGCAAGCCGAGTATGAGGATATCGAGCACGAGACCATAGTACTGGAAGACGAAGGCCGAGAACTGGAGACCACGGATGAGACCGTACGCGTTCGTATGAGCCATATCTACGGAAAGAAGGTCAGCCCTAAAAACCGAAGACGAACCACGGAGGCTCTCGCACCTTTGTAGGTCAGGACCGTGTTGTTCTTCGCCGTAATGTAATCCGCCAAGTTATGGTCGAGGATGAGACGGAGAAGACGGTTGAGCAGCGTCAAATCGATCTTCTCATATACCTTCGACAGCACGGTCTCCATCATGACGACGCACTCGCCTTCGTTCGTCTCCCAAATATCCGTGAGGTTGTTGATGCCCTGACACCACTTGTACACCAACAGCGGCGGCGGCTCCGTGTCGGCCGGCTTGATCCACGCGGGGAACAGACCGCGCTTGTCCGCCTCGAAGAACAGGAACTGGTCCAGATACGCGTCCGTGATCTTCTCGACGGGCTCGATGTCGTAACACGGGATAAGCTTGTCGTACGTGTCGAAGAACTCGATGCCGGCCTCCTTGAACGCGCGCTGGGTGAGGAGCAGCCGCTTGATACGCGACAGGCACTCGTGCGGGTTGTCGTACGCCTGCTCGATGAGCGCGAGCTCCTCTCGCTGCGACTGGTTCAGGCGGCCCTTGACGGAGTACGCCTCCTTCAGCTTCTCGAGCGCAAGCACGAGCAGCTTGGTATCATGCTTGTACGAGAGCGGAGGGAACGGGATGGGTGCAAACTTGCGGCTCTCCAGCCAATGCACCGTGGCCGTATAGATAGCCACGGCCTCCTCGGCGCTGATGTACGGGCCGTCCTTGAGGTACGCGTGCTGGCGCTCCTGCTCGGCCTTGAGGTACAGCCGGGTGAGACGACCGAGGTTCTTCTTCACGACCGCCTTGTCGACCGTCGCTCCACGCCGTATCCGCTCACGGTTATAGTGCGCGACCGACGTCCACCAGTCCGCCTTGCTCTTGATATACCGGAGGATGATGTTCTCGATCGCCGTCGGCATGCCGGGCACCTTCCACGGGATGTTCGCCTTCCAGCACCGCCACGCCTCGGACAGGTGCTGCAGGATCGTCTTCGCCTTGTTCTGCTTGATCGACTCGGGCATCATGTCGAGGATGTCGTGCATGACCGCCGCGCGGAGCTCGAGATCGTAGTGCGACTCGACGCGCTGCTTCGTCACCGTCTTCGCGACGCCCTTGCTGTTGCGGCCCTCGAACTGGCGGGCGAGCAGGTTCCCGAGCCAGCGCTCGAGCAGCGGCACGATGCCGCGCATGAAGAAGAGCCAAACGCGCCAGCCGGGCGCCCAGAAGCCGCAGCCGGGACCTTTGCCGACGGGCCCGGTGTTGAAGCGATAGTAGATCAGGTGCTTGAGGTCCTTCGTCATGCGCACCTGCCGCATCAGCTTGTACTTGTAACGGTACATGCCGGTGAGCGCGCCGATATGCGCGAATATGTATTGCAGCGCGTCGGCGAGCTGGAAGGCGTCGACGTTGCCGAGGCGGTATTGAACGTTGGCGTCGACGACGAGCTTGGTGAGGCGTAGGATCTCACGGCACAAGTGGAACGCGTTTCCGAACCGCGACTTCTTACGCTCCTTGGTCGTGAGCGTCTTGACCGGCTTCAGGTTCAAGTTGTAATCCAAATGTAGGTAGTTCAGGTTCTTAGGAGAGAGAGACTGTCAGTATACCAGCTACGCATATAGGCGATTTGCGAGCAAACCTTGCGGTGAATAAGCAGGTTCAGCATGTTGTATCCCTGCCTGCAAACCTGCAAGCCGGCCTCTACCCAATCAAGCCTCGTCGTTTGGAAAAATTTGGTCGCCTTCAACTGCCTGAACAAGTTCTTCTTCGTCATGGCCTTCTCCGGCCTCGTGTGCAACTCATTAAGAACGAAGACCTTCAGCAGCTTCTGATACGAAACGCGAACCTTCACCGGCTGGTTCGGCGGGCAGTGCTCGAGGTACCAGTTCTTGACGAGCGGTATATCTTGCGCACGGCGCATGCGCCCCGAGCGCCGGCAGTACGGCTCGGGCGCCCACCACAGCGCGATGGCGTCGGCCGTGAGGTCGTTCTCGAGCTCCTTATCCTCCAAGAACGGCGCGACCTCCTCCGGCAGCTCAAAGTCGTCGTCGTCGGCGCCGTTCGGCCCGAAGATGACGTCCTCGTGCGGGACGAGCGGCGCGCCCTTGTTTAGGCCGCGGAGGGAGATGGGATTGATGAGAGGGTCGAAGTAGAACGCGGGCAGGTCGGGGTCGTCCGTGCGGATGTAGACGTTCTTCGGCGCGTGGTAAGGGGAGAGCTGGACGGAGCGCGGGAGCGAGTTGTACAGGTGCGGGAACGCGACGCGGTACTCGGTGCGGATCTGCTGGCGGATGATGACCTTGCCGATGTCGTTGAACTCGTTCCAGTCCTCGTCGAACGTGTCCAGGTCGCGGTAAAGCGGCTCGAACTTGGGCCCGCCCGGGATGGCCATGTTGAGCGCCTTGGCGGTAAAGAACGACTTCTTGTCGAAGAGGTATGACGAGTTGATGTCGGTGCGGTCGGAGAGGAGGGTCCGGCCGAAGCGGTAGAGGTTGGCCATGACGGGCAGGTCGAGCGACCAGTACCTGTACGATGGGCCGTTGACCGCCGGGGTGTCGATGAGAGGCTTCGCGTCGTAAAACCAATCAATGACGGCGGCGTCTTCTTCCGGGTCGAGCTCGAGCTGGATGGCTTCTAGCGGTTCCACGTCCAAAACGTTGTCGCCGTAGTCGAGAGGTGGTTCTTCGTCGTCGAACGGCGGGAAACGCATGCGCTTGAAGTGCCGTCGATCGCGCTTCTCGCGACGCATGGCGAGCCACATGGTCGCCCACTGCGCATGGTAGACGGGCTCGATGACCCGCGGGATGTCGTTGACGAACGTGATGGCGCCCGTGATGTGGTAGAGGACCGGGACCTCGCGCACTTGCTCCCAGGGGAAGGGTAGGTTCTCCAACAGCTTCATAACGGCGTGAGGCACGTACTTGAGCGCGCCGAGATGCACCCGCTTGTCGTTCCTGAACTTGCGGTTGCTCATGTCGCCGTGATCCTTGATGATCTTGCGAACGTGCTCGGGCGGCAAATCCTGCGACACGGCAAAACGAACGGATAAGCCCGCTGCTTCAGCGCAACATGCGAAGCGAACTGGGACTGACCTGCTTCCCTATGTCCACGTATCCGCCCTTGCGCTTCTCCCCGTAGCGCCTGTTCTGCATCTGGATCCACTTCTGCGACTTTTGCTTGAGGACCTCCGGCGGCATTTTCGAACCACTCGGCGCGCCAGGTGGCGGCGGCAGCATGCCAGACGGTGCGCCCGGAGGCGGAGGTGGCATTCCAGCCATGGAGGGCACGTAGCCCGGGGGAGGAGGCGGGATGCTCATCGTCGGTGGTGGCGACGAAGAGGTTTTGGCGTGAGATGACCAACGACGCGGACAGCTGAGAGGTGCGTCGCCCAGACTCCTCCCAGCCCGGTGAATCATCCATCTTTACGCTCCGACGCGCGCTCCGCCCGAAAAAGCCTGAAGCTGTGCCGCGTGCGAAGAGCACTCTCGGCACAAAAATCACGTGACTCGGCGCGTGTTCGACGCATGCCCCCGTGGGCCGTTCCCATCGCGGGGAGCGTCACCGAGACCCAGCGCCACCGTGGTACAAGCCCAACTGGCACGCCCCGCAGCGTCTGCCATTGCACGACGACGACGACCTCGACGACCTCGACATGCCTAGCAGACGGGTCCCCGCGCCCAGCGTCAATCCCCACCAGTACTACGCCGTCCCCCAGAGCGCCCAGAGCGCGTACTCGGCGTCCCGCTACACCGCATCAACCGGCCATCCGCAAGGCCCACGGACGTCCCGCCAGCCGCAGGCGTCGCCCTCGCGCGCGTCCTCGAGCCGGAGTCAGGCCAGCAGCCAGGCGCCGCTCGCCCCCTCGCAAGACGTCTATCGGGGCGTAGCCACAGGCCAGATCGGCAACGGATACGGGCCATACTCGGTGAGCGCATTCCTCGTTCAATGATCCTCTCACGCGAGCCCATCGGCTGAGACGGAGCGCTTGCAGTACGAGCAACAGGCCGTCCCCGCCGCACCGCCCAACACCTACGCGCACTACAGCGTCGCCCCCAGCGAGGGCTCGTCCCACGTAGAAAAGCCGCCCGTGCAACGGGTGAACACCTCGACCGTGCCCGCCACGATGTGGGACACCAAAGACTCGGAGCTGGACGACATCCTGCACAACCCCGACCCCGTCCGCGACGCCGCCCTCGACCGCCACTTCGACCCGTTCTCGCTCCGAGGCTGGATCAACGCCTCCGCCATCTTCGTCCTCATCGGCGGCCTCCTGCTGCTCTTCGCGGGCTACCCCATCATCGCCGAGTTCCGGAAGCGCCATCTGACGAGCAACGGCTTCAACCTGGGCGGGATCAACGCCACCGGGCAGATCCCCAAACTACCCAACGTTCCCTCCCTCGTCGACGACGCCACGCCCTCCGAATTCCACACCCGGGTCGGCACCGACGGCAAGACGCAATACAACCTCGTCTTCAGCGACGAGTTCGAAACACCCGGGCGCTCGTTCTACCCCGGCGACGACCCGTACTGGGAGGCCGTCGACCTCAACTACTGGCCCACGGGCGACCTCGAGTGGTACGACCCCGTCGCGGTCACGACCGAGGACGGCAAGCTCGTCATCACCATGGACGAAGTCGAGAACCACAACCTCAACTTCCGCAGCGGGATGCTCCAGTCCTGGAACAAGTTTTGCTTCACGACCGGCTACATCGAGGTCTCCGTCAGTATGCCCGGCAGCCCGCAAGCGCCCGGTCTCTGGCCAGGTGCGCTCAATCTCCGCGCTTCTTACGTTCGGCTTGGTTGACTTGCTTTCCTCGACAGCCGTATGGACGATGGGCAACCTCGGCAGGGCCGGCTACGGCGCCACCACCGAAGGCATGTGGCCCTACAGCTACGACACCTGTGACCTCGGTACCTTCCCCAATCAAACGACGAAAGACGGTACCCCGAACGCGGCGGCTACGGGTGGTTCAGATGGAGGCCCGATCTCCTTCCTCCCTGGACAACGGCTCTCCGCTTGCACCTGCCCCGACTCTGACCACCCCGGCCCCTCCATCGACACCGGGCGCGGCGTGCCCGAGATCGACGTGTTCGAAACGCAGGTGGACGTGAGCAAGTTCGAAGGCGAAGTTTCGCAGTCGCTCCAGACGGCGCCCTACAACTACCAGTACACGTTCAACCAGGACGGGGCGACGATCTACGACGACACCCTCACTAAATACAACACGTACAAGGGCGGGCTGTACCAGCAGGCGCTCTCGGGCGTGACCGAGATCGACAGCGCGAACTACAACGACAACGGCTTCGCGACGTACGGCTTCGAGTGGTTCTCGGACCCGAGCAACCGGGACGACGGGTACGTGACGTGGTTCAGCCAAGGCACGAAGGCGTGGACGGCGACCGCGAGCGCCATCGGACCGGATAGCACGACGCAAGTCAGCGCTCGCCTCATCCCCGAGGAGCCCATGGTGCGCAGGTTCATCTCGATCACCGTACCTTCGGCTGACCTTTTTTTTTCTTAGTACATCATCTTCAACCTCGGCATGTCACCCTCATTCCAAGGACAAGACTTCAAGCACCTCCAATTTCCGGCAAAGATGTATATCGACTACGTGCGCGTCTACCAGCGCGAGGGCGCGAGCTCTGACGCCATCGGATGCAACCCCCGCAGCCATCCAACGTCAGACTACATCGAGAAGTGCGTCGTCTCTGACCCAACCAGTAAGGCGACACTTTTTTCTGACCCTTGGTCCCTTCTAGGCATCTCAACGCGTACACGAACGCGAACCTCACGACATGGGCCCAAGCGGGCTACTCTTTCCCTCGAAACTCGCTCTACGACGGATGCTTCTAGACGACCCTGACACCTCGCTCTCCAGCTTCACGATCTCGATAATGACCCCCGACACACCCCAACCTCACGCTCACCGGCAGCTCGCGCACCACGGACATCGCCCCTAGCATGCAAACCTCCCTCACTTATTGACCCGCGCACTGTAGTAATATCCTACGCAATCTTTACTCGTCTCGTCGATTTGACGGCCCCCTTCCCTTAGCCGCCCCCCTTTCTGCATGCACCCTCGCGACGCAATGGTACACACAGACTATCCATGATTACCCCCCCTCCCCCCTTCCTGACGAAATCGAGCCTCTTCTTTTCTCCGCGTGGATCGTGTTATTCGTTCATTCTTTTCTTTGCTCGATCTCACGACTTTTTGAGCGGACGGTATCGATCCCCTTTCGCTAGGAGTACAATAGAACCTGTATCATTATATGATGCTAGGAGACGTTTTTGCTTCCATTTCACCACTTCACAGAGGGAGATCGAGAGCCTGGTGCAGCTCGATCGGTTGCTGTGCCACCCGGTCTCCATACCGGCTCCGGCAGGAGTGACGTCTCCGCGAACGCAGTTCATCTTACAGCTTATTGGATCCTTGCCTGCAGGTCACCAACCCTCAAACCCTGCTATGTAAAGCCTTCCGCTTCGCAATCGATAAAATACCTGCGAAAGCCCGCTGAGCACAAGACCTGCCAGTGGCGCTCGAACTCGAAGGGACAATGCACGAGCCCCGTTCGCCGGGAGCCATTTGCCTTATTATGTTCGCCTCGGACCACCAGCCAGCGAACGTCGATCTAAGCGCCCTGCCGCAGCCCTTTACAACCGCCCTCTCCAAGTCCGGCACCCCCTCGGAAACTCCCAAGCCCGGGTGGAAACCCTCCCTCATAATGGTTACGGGACGCAGGGATCGAGGCCCCCCACCGCCCACCGCCGTCGTCTGCGGCGGGGCGCCCTCTCACACTCCATTATGCCTGGCACCTTGAAGCGCACGAGGCGACGCGAGCTCGTGCTGAGCCCGTCGTTCTTGAACACGATGAAAACCACAGTGTACGGGACGCGGTGAGTCGACGCCTCACGAGCTGTCCTCGATATGTGACATTCCATTGACCATCCAATCGACCTTCAGCCTACCTACCCACCGTCGTCGCGTCGAGTCCGACCGATGGAGCTCGAAGAGCCGCGACTCCAGACGATGCGGAAAGCCGCAACCGACCCGCCCCAAATCGCTCACCCAACACCCCGTGCTGACCCTCCCCGACGAAATCCTCGTCGACATCTTCCTCCTCGCCACCCACTCCGACCCCATGGCCCCCGTCTCGATCTCCGGCGTCTGCGCGCACTGGCGCTACCTCGCCGTGCACGCCAGCCCGATCCTCTGGCGGCGCGTCCTCGTCGACCACCGGACCGCGATGTGGGCCGAGCGCATCGCCCGCGCCAAGCGCTGCTCGCTCGACGTCGACTTCTCCACGCGCATCTGGCCGCTCGACGCGCGCTGCGTGCAGCTCCACACGCACGCCGTCACGCCCTTCATCCGGCGCTGGCGCTCGCTCCGCATCCGCCTCGACGAGCGCGCGTACGCCCCGCTCCTCTGGAACGCGCTGCTCTCGCCCTGCTGCGGCGACAGCGCGAGGGTCGAGGCGCCCCGCCTCGAAGCGCTCACCCTCTGCTTCCCGCGCAACGACGACTCGAAGGAGTTTGCGCTCTTCAACGGCGTCGCGCCCCGCCTGCGGACGCTCAGGGTCCAGGGCCTGCGCCTCGCCTGGACCCCCTCCCTCTACGAACGGCTCACGTACCTCGACCTGACCTTCCACGGGTTCACCCGGGGCAACGCGGCGGTGGCGGAGGTGGCCGAGATGCTCTCCGTCTCCCGATCCGTCCGCGAGCTGCACATCATGTTTCCGGACGAGCGGCCGAAGACGGCGCAGGCCGATCACGACCACCGCTCGGGTGACCTCTGCGGGATCGTGCCGTTACAGCACCTGCAGATCCTGCGCGTGCGCGTCTGCGGGAGGGATGTCCCGTCCGAAGTCATCCAACTGCTCGCCATGCTGTCCATGCCCGTTATCACGACCTTCCATCTCGTAGATCTAGGCCGTCCAGGCCGACCCTTTCGTGCCCTGCCGGCCTTCCTACCCGCCGTGCACCACATCTCCACTCTCGATTCACTGCATGCGGAAGGGCGATGGTGTTCGCAACGTTTCATCCTGGGCCTTTCTTATACGTCGCCGGGTCTTCGGAAACTGCAGATCGTTGGGCCAGCGGTGCCTCAGGGCCTGTTAAGGGAGATCGCCCGCCTGCGTAACGCAGACGTCCAGGCACGCTCCGAGGTTACACCCGGCGGGATCAGCACTTCTATAATAATGACGGGGCGCGTACGTCGGGGCTAGGGGCGCGGGACGGGCATACAGCGGAAAGCATATGAAGCCTAAACCTTATTGCTTTTGATATTGGATCATGGTGTACTGTTAGGAGACCTCGAGGGAATGTATACTGGTACTGCAATCGCAAACAGGAGCATGTGTCGTCGCAAGCTTTTCGGTGCCAGAAAATCATGCTACATGTTCATGCGGCAAACGGTGGCGGCTCCCGTTGAGCCGTCGAAGGTGAGGAAGTTGGCGATGGGCGGTTCCCGAGCGGCCAACGCTTTCAATATATCTTGAGCGAGCATGCCTCCAATCACCGCGCATACCGGCGAGAACTCGTGAGCGGCCGTCGTCGCCATGGACCTTACCGTGTCGTTCAGGTCAGCAGACGAGCGCGTAGAACGAGCGGAAGGAAACACAAGAAAGCGTACGTGGTCAGTTCCTCCGGTATGGCGACCTTGGCTTGCGTGTTGAGCTGTGCCGCGGCCAATAATGACGTCGCGAGCGTCTGCAGTTCTGCAGCAGCAGAGACGTCATCGGGGAGCGTCTTGTGCGCGGCCTGGTACTCCCATAGAGCTGAAACAAAACAAAGAATGGGGGGATCTCCGTTCGAAAGACGTTTCATGAAACCATGAGCAACAACCGATGTCTCACCCAGCACGGTGAACACGACATGCAGGTTCAGCTCTTTGGTCTGCCGCCTCGTCATCCCGCTCCATTTGTGTTGCAGAGCGACGTTAAGGGGGCAGTAGTTCACGGTCGCTCTCGAGGTCTTCGGTGCATCTTTTTGGCCCGAGCGATCTCTGAATAGTAGCAAATTAGGGGGTCCCTCGAGGTCGGCTTTGCGCATTGAAACAAAAAGAACTCACGGAGCGATATACTCATGTTGTAGTAAGTCGCAGAAAATATAGCCGAGCAATCCATAGCTTCCGCCGGCGTAGAACGGTTTGTTCAGCCTGCGGCAGGCCTCGTTGAGCTCGAACTGTGCGCACCAGTGAGCCTTTAGGGGTGTGTTCCACGAGGGGGGATCGACCGACCAGACTCAATTTGTCGAACTCGGTCACACAGACGAGGTCGACGCCTTGCAGCGTCGCATCGATATTGCTCGGCCGCAAGACGTCGTATGATGTGATCACTTCGACGGTCACGAGCGGGTTGAGGCTCTCCACCCTCGGCTTCGCGGCCTCAGCCCTCTGCAGAGCACGCAAAGCGTCAGTTGTGTCATGTTTATGCGCGGGGAAGGTTCGAGAGGAAAGAGCCGCCCGGTGCAGCCAGCCCCGAGAAAACGAGGAAAAAAAGAAGAGAAGGCCGGATTGAATCGTCGTCGATCGTGAGAGCCGTTATCGAGCTTGATACGATATGAATACAATTGACTGCAGAAGCCAGTCCGTCGAGCCGCACGAATCATTGCGCGATAGGTACCGCCCAATTCAAACGAGCGATCCTCGAACGTTTTGACTGGAACACCGTGTGGCAGATGCCATCGTCCTTTTCGCCGAGACATGTGGAGGCGGGAGGATCCCCCACCCGCTGATAGGCACCAGCGGGCGGGCGCAAAGTCACTCCGAAGGCCGGGTCGGGCGGCGTCGATCGTCCAGAGGTAAACATGTGGTCGCGACCCGTGGCAGCCGTGCTCAAAAGCCAGGCGAAATATAGCAAGCCTTGACAGGAGCCCGGTATGGCGAAGGATATTAGCGACGATAGGCCGAACGTGTGCGGGGGGCAGCAGGGGTATCGTGCATCGCCCGGACGGAGGATACTCCCGAGGATCAAGCGAGCGGAAGCATGCCCCGACCTGCCATATCGGCCCAGCGCAGACGAGAATCCAATGCCAGCGAGGGGCCACCGGGAAGGCAAAGAACAGCGCGCCATCATCACGCGACCCGCGTGGTATAGGTCGGGCGAAACGAGAGACGAACGGAAACGGCTTCTGCTGAGCTCACCTTTTTTCCAACGTCCTCGTCGCGCAAGAGGAAATTGCAGCCGAGGTCTTCCGGCGCGACGTCGTCTTCGTCGACGATGACGAGCCTACCGATACCGGCCAATACAATATTTTTCACCGCCTCGGTCGCGACGCCCTTGAGCTTGACCACTAGGATCGTGGCATTGCGCATCCTGTGATCAAAGCCCTGATAAGACCCTTTCGTTCCCCCCCCAGCTATGATGATGCGAATGCACCCGCGATACGGGGACGTCTCTGCGCTATGCTTGTGATCCGGTCCCAGGACCACTTACGCAAACGCGGCGCGGCGGATATCGCGGACGCAATGCACGAAAGCCACACTGACCTCTGTTGAGCCTCGAGTCCCCAGAGACGTATCTGCCGGTCATACACGGCCGCTTCATCTGTACAGGCGCGTAAAGTTAGGAACATCACGCGCAGGCGTTTGGACAGCTGCGCGCGTCTCTCGCGCGTCCCGACAAAGGATGCCGCGAGGCTCGTACCTTCGGTGATTTGGACCGGGACGGACTTGGATCCGGCTTCCATTGTCGTTCTGTGGGCGGAGTCGGCACCGGTGACGACGACGTGGTCAGAAGTCGGCTCCAGGTGTTCGTAGCGTAACTGTATTAGAGTACCCTAGAGCTAGACGCGTATAGGTCCCGGGGTCGCGACGGGAGTTCTTCTGTCACGCCCGCCACGCGCGCGTCACCTCAGGTCACCCGCCCACGCTCCTCCATGCTCCGGACGTCACCCGTAAGGCCGCACTCGCCACATTTTCGTTCAACGTCACCGAAAAAAAAACCCCGTTCTCATGTGTGTGTGACAATGCCAAGAACGGCGCGCGTGTTATAACATTCCGAGTCTCAATCGAAAAACGAGACGTGAATACATTAATGCAGGGACGCTAGGACTACAATTGCGGCAAGTTTGGAGGAGGCAGGGCAGGGCAGGAAAAAGGGGGAGGGGGGGTATTCTTGAAATATACAGACCGAGGGGGTGCTGCGGACCGTGGACGCCAGCATACAGAGCCCTCGTCGTTAGGAAATAAGTATCATGAACAACAACACCAGGGAAATAGATAACGGCGGGTCCACCCATAGCAAGCACGAAAGCAGACGAAAAGATAAACACGGTCGTCGTCCATGGATAGTATGTAGGAGGAAGGAACCAAAAAGATAAAAAAACAGCGCGATGGGAGTAAGCCGCAGAGCGCCAGGATGGACGCGGGACGAGCGAGCAAGCCGTCATGGGAGTCCCGCTGCCGGATCGCACCGCCCGTCGTCTCAGCTCGCGCCGATGCCTCCCACCAACGACAAACCATCGCCGCTCGAACCGGTGTCCCTGTCATCGTCGAGCCTAAACAAGCGCGCAGCGCCGCGTCAACGATGACGTGTCTTGGCGGTTACGAGAGGAGGGGGGGGGAGGGGGAGCGAAACTCACAGGTAGTTGCGTTCGATCTCCGATAATATGGACAGGAAGTCCCATAGATAAGCGTGCGCTCGCGCGGCGGACGCGGGCGCCGTCTCAGCCTTCCGGACCGTATCCAATAACGTCGATGCGACGAAACGCACTTTGTGGACCTGCCCGCGGAACAACACCCAACGTCAGCGTACAAAAACAAAAAAAAGGGGGGGTGAGGAAAGAGAATCTGAGGGAGCAGCTGACCAGGGAGGGTCCGTTCGTGGCGATGGACTGAATGGGGATGCTGTGCAGTATATTGAGCAGCTCGCTCGCGACGGCTTGGCGGTCCTCGGCGACCCTGTTCTCGTCGAGCGTGCCTTGCAACGACAATATAAGCTCGTCCCGGTACTGCTCGATGACGAATCGGACCAGTTGCTGGTAAACACGCAAGAACGCCAACGTCAGCACCCACGCCGGAGAGACACCCCAATCGACCAAAAAAAAGAAGCGGGCGACGCTCACCTGGGTGACATACAAGTTCGCGCGCATGACCAAGAACGGGTTGAGCGCGTTCGCCCGAGACGCGTTCGGGTTATCGAAAAAGTCCTTCACCTCCGCGAACGTGCTCTGCCTGAACGCCGCGCCGCCGTACTCGGCCGGGTGGCTCGCCGCGAGGCGGAGCGGCTCGGGGCAGTGCACGAGCGCGGCGAGGATGCGCGCGTGCAGCGTCTGCACCTCCTCCAGCCGCGCGGTGGCGAACTGCCCCTGCGGCGGCGACCGCTTGTCGACCCGGATCCGGACGAGGATCTCGCCGAGGAGCGCGAAGATGCGCGAGATGTAGTTGAGGCCGGAGACGAGCGCCGTCTTGCCGTGCGGCTGCGGGAGGTACGCGCTCGGCGTGATGCTATCGCAGAGAGGGAGGTAGAGAGAGAGAGAGAGAGAGAGAGAAGGATGGGGGGATGGGGGGGAGGGGAGGGAAGAGCATCGACGATACGTCAGGACGGTCTGTGATGGACGACGAGATCGATCGCGCTCCGCGCGTTGCTCACTATTCGTCGTCGAGCTCTTTCGGGAAATGCACCGTGCAATCCTCGTCGCGTAGACATATCGGGCGGCCGAGCAAGATCGACATCGACTTGTCCGCTGCATGAAGCCAAAAACAAACAAAAAAAGAGCAAAGGGCACGCCCCGATTCAGTACTTCTGCGGTCCGAAACGGCCGGTAGAAGAGTAATGCAGACGCACCGTCGAAGAGCAACCAGAAGGTCCGGCGGCGGACCTCGCTCTCGATCGGGTCCAAGCCCTCGTACGACGCCTCCTCGTGCATCCGGAGCGTCACGGCGATGTGCGCCGCCTCGCCGAACGCCGCGTGCTGCGTCGCATCGTGACCTTCGCAGAAGTGATACACGCAGTCGCTGTATAAATAGAAAGGGGGGGGGGGGCGTGGCAAATAGGATGATAAAGGAGAGGGGGAGGGAAAAAAAAGGAAAGGCACGGGGATGAATATAATATCGCTCATCAGGATGGGGCCGCGTGACGGAATTGACATATCGAGACGGGTACGTACAAGTATCGGACGACGACGTGCATCGACGTCGGCGGGTCGTAGGTCGCGACGGAGATGTGTCTGCTGGCCTCGTAGCACGTCTGCGCGAGCTTGCGGACGGCGGGGCGGTCCATCGGGACGTACGAGCGCGGGACCTGGACCAACGTCGAGGCCACGGTCGACATGACGAGCGCGAAGAACAGCGGGTCGCGCTCCTCCCTGCGCGCGTGGAGGTCGGCCATGAAGGACGGCTTGTGGATGCAGGGCGTGAGCGGGTAGACGAAATCGAAGAAGAGCGCGATGATGAGCGAGATCGTGTCCCGGGGCGCGACGTCCTCGAGCCGGTGCGGTCGGTAGTAGTACGATAGGGGCGGGATGACCTGGGGCGAGGGCAGGGGGAGCGCCGTGTGCTGCTTGTACGACCAGTTGTGGAGCGGGTAGGTGTTGTACTGGTCCGACGAGGATGGAGAGCCGAAGCCGTTCTCGCCGCCGCCACCGCCGCCGCCGAGCGTCGACCGGCCCGACGAGTCCGAGAGCGAGAACGCGGAGGACGAGATGTGGAGGGACGGGAACTGGTTGAAGGTGTCGGCGACGATCGGGTACCGCGACGGCGGGAGGTTGGGCGAGATCGAGCCGAGGGAGGCGTCCAAGAAGGGCGAGGTCGCGGACGCCTGGGTCGCCGTCGTGAGCGTCGGGCTCGGGAGCCCGTTCGTCGACTTGGGCGACGCCGAGCTCTCGGTCTTGCCCCCGCCCCCGCCCCCGTCTTGCTGCGCGGCGGCCGCGGCGGCTGCGGCCTCTTGCAGGCGCCTCAGGTATCTGGCAGACGAGATCGTTAGCCCGGTCTGGCGCCGCTGCGCGGATTCTGAGATCGGTGGGCGAGAGATTCCGTACAGGTTAGGCGGCCCGCGCTTTTTGGGCTGGTAGTCGTACGTGCAGGGGATGCCGAGGGCGATGCAGTGCTTGCAGGACTGCTTGGAGTCTTCCGGGTTTTCGCGAGCGCATCGTACCTTGCGAGCGCGGCACGCGTCACAGCCTGGAGCGACGAGCGATATCAGACCCCGGTCCGAACGCAGCGAATTCAAGGAGTCGCTTACTCTGCGATTGGCGCCTGAACGAGGGGAGGGGGGGCAAACAGAAAAGAACAGACAGTCAGCGACAGGTTCGGACGACGGAGAGGAGGAGAAGGGGAGACGAAATACAACATGGGCGAGAGGTGGGGCGGGGAATGTCGACGCGAAGGTCGGGACGGGTGTGGGGCGTCGACGCGCGGGTAGAAAGCGAGTCGGGCCTGGAGGGTGGGGACGGAGAAACCCCGGGGGGTCGCGCGGCGTGGGCGGTGTGTGCGCACGCATACTGACTTTCTCTTAACGTGAACCTTGTTGTTTTCGGCGTCCTTCCCAGTGTCGTCGGACGAAGAGCCGTCTTTTTTTGCGCGCGAGACGGGCATGGGCAGCGAGGGCCGTGGGTGGGTGCGGTGATGGCTGTCGGCGGCGGGGGTGTGGGGGGCTTGGCGGAGAAGGAGGTGGTGGTGATTTTGAAGTGTGCTTGTTGTCTGTTGCTTGCCCGTCTCGCGGAGGCTATCGACATAGACTCGTCGCTTCTCGCCCGATGCAGCATCGAAGGCCCAATCCGGCCGACGCCCGTCAGGGCCTGCGCGCGCGTCCGACCCCAGGTCACGCGCCCCAGACAGACGTGCGCTCCCCCGAGTTTCTCCCGGGCCGGGATCCCACCTGGTCCGGGGCTGATTCCCCGCACTCTCACGCCGCCCATCGCCCCCATCGCACCAATCACGTCCGCGCTTCTATTGCCCGCGAAAATACACCAGCCACTACACACGAACGCCCAGCCCCTCCAGCTCCAGCAGCATCCCCTCCGCCGCACCCGCACCCATCCGTCCCGCCGACACGTGCGCCCGAAGCCGCGTCGCAATCGCCCGCCGCTGCCCCACCTGCTCCGCGTCCCCCTCCTCCGTCCGCCCCGCGATCAGCATCTTCCAGAACCTGAACGCCATCGCCGGCATGTCCGCCTCCAGCGCCGTCGCCACGCACAGCTCCCCCATGTTCGCCGTCGCCACGTACGGCCCCCCCACCGCCGATTCGATCAGCGTCATCGCGCTCTCCAGCGCCTGCCGCAGCCCCTCCTGCCCGTTCCGGCGATCCGAGAGCAGGCCCCGTATGTACGCCGACATCGACTTGTTCGTCAGCTTGCCGTGCCCGAGCGTCCGCGCCGTCCTGAGCAGCCACTCCACCAGCGCCCGGTCGTCGTGCGTGAACGCCTGGTGAATCACCGTCCCGAACGTCACCTCGTCCGGCTCGACGCCCCTCCTGATCATCCGCTTGATCCACGCCGCCGCCGACCGCGGGCTGCCCTCCGCCATCGCCGACAGCGCCACGTTGAGGTCGCGCATGTCCGGCACCTCCCGCCGCCGTAAGACGACCCGGAACAGCTCGAAGCCGCTCGGAAAGTCCCCGATGAGGAAGTACGCCCGGGCGAGCGCGTTCAGCGCCGCGTGCGGCGCGTCCCGGATCGGTTCCTGCACCTTGCGGAACTCCGCGGCGACCCGTTGCGCAAAGTCGAGGTAGTCCTTCATGAGAGCGACCTGGTCGCGCACCTCCTCGCCGTAGCCAAGGAGATCGTCGTCGTCCGGCATCTCCGCAGGCGGCGACGACGCCGATTCCTTCTTCTTCTGCGAGTCGTCCTCCGCCTCGTATCCTATAACGTCCGTGTCGAGACTTTCGGCGACGACGCTTTGGTGTTGCCTGCGGGCAAGGGCGGCGAGACGCTTCTCCTCCTGCTCGGCGCTAGGCGGACGGACGATCGCCTCGCCTTCCTCCGCGTCCAACATATCCACCACGCCCTCCGGCAAGCGCTCCTCGATCCGGCGCACCTTCGCCATATACAGGCTCACCAAGCGCAGCATCGCCGGCGCGTACCCCGCCACCTGCCTCCAATCCCTCTCCTTCATCCACCGCTCCCACACCGTGCGCGCCGACCGCCCGTACCCGTTCTCCGCCGCGATCGCCACGATCTTGCCGCGGCTGTACATCGAGATCGGCGTCTCCTCCTGCTGCTCCGCGAGCCGCTCCACGAGCACCCTCGCCAAATGCACGTTCTTCTCCTCCACCGCCAGGTGCTTGAACAGCCACAAAAAGCTCGGGCCCGCCGGGACCGGGAACCGGTGCTCGCGGTCGCCCGGCACCGTCGCGGAAAACACGAACGCGGCGACGCTCGACAGCCTGTAGTGCAGCGCGCGGTCGTAGAACAGCCGGAAGAGGCGGTCGGGCGGAAACCGCCGCGTGGCGTACCCGCGCCGGACGATCTTGGCGAGCACCGTCGCCGCCGCGCGGACGTGGTTCGGTTTTCCGCCGCGGAGGAGCGAGTACATGACGTCGACGATAAAGTCGTGCAGCGCGGGCTCGATCGCCGACACATGGTCCGCGCGGTCGTCCAGGAGCGCGATCGCGCGCCCGAGCCAGCCCCAGTGCAGCGCGGCGCGGACGAGGCCGGCGAGGACGATGGCCTCGAAGGACGTGCCGGATTGCACGAGCGGGTCGCGCGTCGCCTCGGGCGGGACGTAGCCCGCCTCGGTGAGCGCCTCGAAGAGCGCGAACGATTCCTGGGGGAGGCTGCAGTGCGCGAGCCGGACGACGGCGGCGAAGGCGGCCCAGACGAAGTCGGCGTGCGCGGTGCGGGCCGAGCGCTGTATGAAGGAGCGGGCGGAGAGCTCGTCGTCGCGGATGTACGCGACGAAAAGCGGTTGGATGAGCCGGAGCACGGCGCGGTCGACGCGCGTTTCTGGGGAGGGGGCCCGGAAGATGCCGTCGAGGAGCGCGGCGAGCGTCGTTTGCGACAGGGTCATGGGCACGTTGGTGCAGAGCTGCAGCGTGCGCAGCATGGAGAGGATCCGAAGGCGGGGGAAGTCCGGGAGGCGGGCGGCGAGGTTTATGAGATGCCGCAGCTGACGGGCGCGTTCGTCTTCGTCGCGCGCGAAGGCCTCCACGGCGTCCTGGGCGACGTCCGCCAACGCGGCCACGGATTCGAGGCTGAATGCGCTCTGGGACAGGCGGGTGAATACGGATGGTGGAAGTTGGAGGATGGTGCCACGATCTCTGTGTCGGAGGGCGAAGTACGCGTCCAGCGATTCCGTGTCCGCCCCTGCCGATCCCTCCGTGTTCCGAGGGACATTCTCCGCTGTACCCTCAGTCGTTGTATCCTCCCAGTTGTTTGACGAATATGAGTTGTTGATCCGCTCCAATAAGGTAGCCGTGGGCAGAGAAGACCCGGAGACGGGAGGTGCGTAAACCTCGCTTTGTCGGTCGCGTTTTGCGACGACTTGCCCATACTTGGAGATACCTTTCGAATAGGTTCGCACTCCATATAGCTTGATATGTATCTGTTGGCGGCGTTGGATGAGCTGTATGACACGAATGTGAGGAAGGACTTGAGGTCGAAGGAGGTTGAGTCGCGAAAGTGACATAAGTCAGCTACGAACGCATATGCTCAGTATCGCGTCTTTCTTTCGACGGTAACTGCTCCTCACCGCATTTCAACGCTATTTTCTGCGCGTTTGCAGCCTATATCGACCAAGAACGCGCCTCCAGCGAAGGACGTCTGCCGTGCCAGCAAAAAGTCGGTGTGAAGCCGGGTGTGTTTTACGTAATACCTCCGCGCCTCCTCTTCCGCCACCCGACCGCCGTGACCGACGCGCGCGCTGTCCTTCCTCGATCATAGCGACGCGAATTTCTTCAACAGATTCAAACCCAGGCAAGTTCTCGCATTCATTCACCGTCCAAATCATGTGAACACAGTCTTGTCTGGTATATCTTCCGGCTGGACAGGCCTGGGATCCCCCTTGCACGGCAGATGTACTCGGTACATATGATATTCGACCCCATTACTCTTCGCTCCTTACGCATCGATGCGGTGTGCCGTCTCCGCTCGATTCCGAGGCCTCGTCATGGCGAACTCGCACGTTTACATGGTCTCCATCCACCTTACTGCGATCTGGACCGTGATGAAGCACGGAGTTGATAGATCGAAATCGGTGTCTATCGGGTCTACGCTGAACAGCAACATCAGCTGTCGCGACCTTGTACGCCGCTTCACATGCTGCCAAGATTCTTTTTTGGTGCGATCCCTTTTCTTGCCATCTACGCAAACCCGTCGCCAGTCGTCACGCTGGTGGCTTTACCGTCACTTATTTGGTACGCCATCGCCGGCCTTCTCCTGTCGCCTGGCCTTCTCGCTCGTACGGCTTGCCCTATGACACCGCGCGTGTGTTCACGCGCCCCCTGATTCGTGCAAATAGCCCGCGATCTCCGGATCGTGTTCCTCGACGCGGGCCTGTTCGCAATTATCCGACGGCCTCGTCCCAGGTGGAGCAACGTCGGTTGCACCCTGGATGCTCCCCGGATGCAATCGTACTATGCTTCTTCATCGCGTTGTTCGCGTTGGTCGTCCAATTCATCGATCGAATTCTCTGGGGTGTGGTATAGGGTCGGTCGCTGAAAGCATAACCCTGCTATTTATTTGCGCATCATGTGGAACTTTGACGCGAACCCAGACGAGGAAGAGGAGCGCAGCGTGGCTTTACATTCATCACCGCTCGCTCAAGACCGACGGCCGCTACGCTGCGTTTCTCGTACCAGTACGCACCTAACTCTCTTGCCCCAGATCCGGGGAAGAAGGAACATCCTGATCTCGCCGCCTTGCATATTCTAACTATCCGTCTTTACTCCGAGCTGACGACGGATGACGCAGCTTGCAGAAGTGATATGTGGGAAGCCGGCCGTTCCTTCTCGCAAAAGCTTGCCAAGGGGCTCCTTTGCGCCCAGGAGCGGAATGGCAGCTGATCCGAGCGAGATTTTGCCGAGGGCTTCTCTCTCGACCACCGCAGGCACGAGCTATAGGTCATCACTGCTCGAAGCCTGTTTGACAAGCATCACGCATGTTCGCATGCTTGTAGCCTAAGTTGGCCTTGTCCGAACGCCGTTGACGAGCATCAACGTCTCGCCGGACTGGTGCGCCCCCGGAGGTCGAAAATACAGAGCGGTGATGAAGCCTCTGACGCGTGTGGCGTCCCCATCTCGAACCTGCATTTTCACTCTTTACGGTCACGATCCGTATTTTTACTGATTGTCCGGTCCTCCGGGTGTCTTCCACACACGCATATGTGAGAAGAGATAAACCGTTTTGCGTACGGTGTTCACCCTCACCGCAGTGGACTACGCGTTATTCTCCCAGACCAAGCAACGGCGTGCGTCGGCGAGACCGTCATACATGTTTATATGCGTTCGTCCACGGATTTAACGGACGACCATGACGCTCGTCTCTAAATACCTCCATTGCTCTTGATGCTGTAGGGAAATCGATGAGCATCCCTGTCAAGCAACCGGACCGTTGACGTTTGCACCTGACTCTTGTTCCATGCTTGTCGGAACCCTGCTGAAACTGGATCACTGCATCCGAAGGAACGTCCTCCTGATGATGCCTGCGGTCTCTCAGATGTTGAGCTTGAGTTATGATTTACACGCCGAACGCCGCGGGGCCTGAAGCTGACGGGGTCATGCCACGCGCGCCCACGTGGTTACGAGCGCCCCCAGTCCCGACTCCCGAAGTCACCGTTGCATCCAACGCACTAGTTCCATCTGCTGCAACTTTTTTGAGACTACCGAGGACTTTGTGGGGAACATGGGAGCAGGATCCTCCTCGCTGACGAACGCCTCCCCGAAATCCGGCCTGCACATCCTGCGCGTTACACCCGCTTCACCAGCCTCTCAGACTAGCATCGAGCCGTTCTTCGACTTCATCGTCGGCTTCGATGAGGACACATCACACAACATAGATGCTATGGGATCAGAGCTGGAGAAGATTGTTGAGCAGCATGAGGGTCAGACGTTGCGACTGTATGTTTGGAACAGCAAAAGCCAGGATACGCGAGGTAAAGCCAACTTGAGCTGGCCTTAGACGACGTGTTGCATGCTGAATATCTTGTGTCTGGAAGTGGTCCCCATCCGTCCTTCGCGCGAATGGACCGAGCTCTCGAATGGCGCGCATCCTACGGAGCCGGAAGCTGACGCGCGCCCGTCTCTGCTGGGTTTGAGCATGCGAATATGTGACCCTTCTACTGCATTGGACAGTAAGTGGCTTCGTATATCCTTGTAGATGCATCTTCTAAGTAGCTTATATCAGATGTATGGCACGTCATGGACGTTTTGGAAGGCAGCCCCGCAGAGATGGCTGGCTTGGTACCCTATGGTGACTGGGTAAGTGTTGGCCCTTGTGAAGACCACACATTAACAAACGAAGTTTGATTATGCTAGGTCATTGGCTGGTCCGGTGGAGCTTTGAGCGCGGAAGGGGACTTCTACGACGTGGTCGAAGCAGTAAGGAGCGCTCATCATTGCTCGGTAGCACTGTCAAACTAATGCAAGTCATAGCATATCGACAAACCGCTTAGGATCTACGTTTACTCTTATGACTTTGAGTATGTTCCTTTTCGACGCATATATCCTGTCGATGTGGGTGAAAAGTCGTGACTAATGACCCTTTTGGCTACAGCACTATAAGAGAGGTCGTTGTGATCCCCAATCGTCATTGGGGAGGAGAGGGCTTACTCGGATGCATCTTTGGGTATGTTTGGAACTTTCTGCGACATAGTTGCCCTGACGCGTGCAAACCTCAGCTTCGGGCTTCTTCACCGTATCCCGCCTCCTTCCGCGGATCGACAGCCAGGGTCCCTTCCCCTTGAACTCGAGGCGGGCGATGAACCGGAGAGTCTCTTCGTGCCTGCGGATGACCTGCAGCCGCGACCCGGCTTAGCAGAGACTATATCCTCTGCAACGTCTCTACCTGCGTCTACGCATATACGGCACGATCAGCCAGGACGGCACGCCGTACATGGAGGCCATGCCCACCATCATCATTCACAGAGCAGTCATGAGGAGGACAGACACGCGCACGATCATGGGCACGACCACGAACACGACCACGAACACGCGCACGATCATGGGCACGATCACGATCATGACCACGACCACGACCATAATCACCACCATGACCACGACCACCATGACCACCAACCCGCACATGCTCATCGCCATGCACACTCGCCTAGTCCTGCAAGCCGACCAAGCTCTCCATCCCCTCTCACACGTCCGGGGTTCCCCCGCGGTTCCACACCCCTGCGGGCTAGCTCGTTCACGTCCCAGCGTCCTGCTTCCCCCGGGTTCTCCCATGGCGGTATGTCAACCACGTCGCCGCTTCACAATACGTTCTGACATTTATGTGCTCAGGCCCTGGCTTCTCAGGATTGCGGTCGCCTCCGCAGAACCTACCGCGGTCTGACTCACTCGTTGGCTCGAACGGAAGGTCACAGTCACCGAGGATCGCATCTTCGAGCCGGAGGTCATCCGAGGGCGGAAGGGAAGGAGATGCATCAAGCCCCACTAGTCCCTTTACCTCCCAGGCGAGCTTGTCAAGCGTCGAGTAGTTTTCGGTATGGTCATCATGTTGCCTAAGCATCTTCCTTGAGGAAGGGTCGCGCATGATGTTATAATTCTCAACGGAGCTGACGCTGCAATCGCGAGGAGCTCCGACCACGATTACGCACCGGTCGGATTATACAGACGGCGTGAACAACCAAACGAGTGAGATCTGAGAATTGCGGATACATCCGTAGTATATGGACAGAAACAAGCATGCTCATTGTAGTACCTGGACAGAAATATCCATGCGTAGTATGTTAGCCGAGACCATTGCACACCCGTGAGCCTTGCGATTCGGCGTAGTCAATGGGGACATCTGAAAGAGTGACTATATAGGACCGGAGCCCGTTTCAGAATGATCATATGCTGGTGGTGGTAGGCCATCGAGCAGATGGTTGATGTGAGGTTGGTCCTTCGCACGTAACCACTCCAGTCGCGTTCACACCGGCTGCCTTGCTGCGCGTCCGCCATCTTCGGACAACGCGGCTTGCCCTGCCCCACGTCCAGTTTCGGGGTTAGGCTCCCTCAAACCGCGGGATAGCCCAAGGACACGAGGCTTTAATTTGAGCCGTGATGATTTGGTTCGAGATGGATGCGTGCCCATACGCGGTTCCGATTCGTCCACAACCCCGCTGACGTTCCCTTGTAGACTTTGCGTCTGGGGATTGACGGCGCGATTCCAGCGGCTGGAGATCGGGCCCAGATCTGAGTTCATTGAATGGATGAATGGCTCCTTCCCAACTGTAAAAGGTATTCAATTTGCGCCATGCAGACCTTAATCTGGTTGATCATACCCGTCCTTCGCCTTCGACGTCCGATGTAAAACGCAATTGGAATACCGCAGAATAACAATGCGCCGATGGCAATGCCGAGGACGACTGGAAGGGTATTGCTCGATGTACGCGAAGCAAGGGTAGAGCTCACCCGCGAGGGCGAGACGCTGGTGGTGCTAGCTATAGTGGCTAGAGCCGATGACCAAGTGGTCGTAATGGTCGTCTGGCTCATTACGGACTGTGGTAATGAGGTGGGGGCACTGATGTTGGACGATGGCGAGACCGTAGCTTCAAGTGGTAAGGTGTCGTTTTCAAAGCTGCGAAATATTAAATTTCAGGTGAACGACAGTGTTTAATGGCATTACATACGTGTAAATGGCATAGTCAAATGCAACGTACGATGCATTCTGGACTTCGAAAGTAAGGATGTGCGGTCCAGGGTGCAGACCTTCGGTACTGAACACCCGATGGCTGTACAAAAATTCTGAGCCGCTTGGCACGTGGACAAAGCTTTGGACCTGGATTCCATCGAGGATGAAAGTCAGGTTGGCCAATGTCAACACATCCGCCTTCATGGGTGTGATGTTATTAGGCACTATGCAGAACACCCAAATGGCCTACAAAAACGGATAAGCACAGATAGTTGCACTTAGCGTTCGACCAACAGCGAGTACTTACGGAGCCGGCGAAGTTCACCGTGACGGATGGCAGCTTTGGCCATTCAGGATTGCTGATAGGATCGTTGGTGGTCTCGTGCCAGGTCTCATCAAATATCAGGTCAGGGTCAAAATGAATGCCGCAAGAAGAGCAATTGGGCCCGAAGTTCCAGCGAGTACCCTAAAGCTGAATCAGTTTTGTGAAGATTCTGCTGAGAGGAAATTGTGGCACATACGGAGTATATCACAGGCGATCCGGTTCGAGTGTCACCATTTTCGTCATCAATCGCTCGAAGCCTGTGCAAATAAGGCGAGACACGTATAGAATGAGAGGAGAAAGACACCCCGTCCACCCCAGTACCGTAACATGTCCTAGTGAAATAGTAGGGAATGGAAAATGGGCAAGACGAGGAACTCGGAACCCGCTGTACGTTGTTGCTGTAGAGAGTGGCGGCAGGAATACGGGCATGAATGCGGAAGAACAGCCCAACGAGGCCTAAACACTCAGAAGGCTTCACTGTTATTCTCCGTGCTCATGGTCATGTCTGATTGAAGCGTATGGATGTAGTTGAGGCGGCAGCTGACACGATCGATTGCGATAACGCCGCCGCAAGCCTGCGCCTGGCGGTATGGATAGATACGCGATGGCTTCACTGCGAGCATTGCATATGCCAGAGCTGCTGTTTTCCCGATCCCTGATTCTTGGCTACTCCAGTTCTTCAGGAAGTGGACTATGGCGTGGTGCTAGCCGAACGGGATCCTTCCATCTGGCGAAGCGTGCCACAATCATCAGCGTCGACGTGCAGAGCCCTCAAGCAATTTCCGTCCTTCGAACCTTATCCTGGGTACATCGGCGAGGCGTTGGGTGCAGAGACCGAAGACGGACAATCAGAAGGACAATCAGACGGACAATCAGCCGGACAACACAGGATTGCCCCAAAAGTGGCCATAACTGCGCCAAGTCCGACGCATGACTCGTTTCCGGCCAGCCCTCTGTCTCGCGTTTTTTGGGATATGAGATTGTCGTATGTCCATGTCGGGTACAGGATCAGTATCGGTCGTTAACATGTCAACTCTGTTTCCGATCCGTTGCCTAGAATAACACTTGATTTGACAAGGCCGCCATCCAATACAGCACGAAATTGGGATTCATGACGCCGTTGCTGATCAGACCAACGGTGGGCGAGAAAGATGGGTCAAAGCGCTTAGAAGTGAGCTTGAAAGAGGTGAAACGCGATGACATTCTGGAATGCCGGCGCTAATGCCGCCGCGCATCGGCCTATTGATTGGGACTGTATCCTCTTTCCCGCTAAATCCTCTAGGCCGTCCCACTTCCTACGTTTGCCCCGTGCATGTCATGCGTACAGGATGCTTGAACTGGTCATTTTGACCATTCATCAACTCTGGAATCGTGGGTCTTTTTATACAGACACCGCCCTCCTATGGGCCGCCAAACATGGTGGTCTGCCCTCGTTCTGAAGCTTTGGGACCTAATGTATCCATACACGGCTGCAAAGCTTGTTGAGGATAACCTAGAATAGTGCGCTGACATTTACCAGGAGGTCTGTGCAACGCGGGGCTTGACGAAAACTGGACAACCTACCATACCACAACGGGAGACGCACAGTTAATCCACTTCCGCTCTCTCAAGTTTGCTGGGCGCTATCTACAGCCGACTACGTCTTCCCCTCATACACCAGTCTCATTGTTGCATAGCGATCACAAGTCTATTTCTCATACATTCCCCACAGAACCATGCCCTCTACTCTCACCGTCGCTGTCCGTTCGGCTGGCGCCTCCGTCTTCAAACACATGAAGTTGGATGGTGCGCTGGTCTTCTAGAAAACGTTCGCGGAGATATGCAGGTATGTGCCATTGCCTTCATTTGCTATGAACGACGAGTCTCGTGAACCATATATCAATCACACCAGACGCTTACGAACCTTTCGTCGTCATCAGAAGTTGAAAAGGAGCTGCCCGCGGCCTTGGCCCGGCCCGTCGCGGCGGTCACCGGCCTGCATTCGATTGAATGGAGCTTGAAGAGGCTCGTTTCCATCGCCACTGGAAGGCGCAAGAAGCCGGCGGCCATCGAGGTCAAGGTCGATGTTAAGATCGAAGTCGAGGAGGAGGTGGACCGAGATATAGTGTTGGGTGAGGGTCAAGCGACGTGTAGAGGAAGAAGGCGATGAAGAGGGGCGTGATGGAGGCGGGGAAGGCGACGATGAAGAGGAAGGGTGCGATTAGGCGGGAAAGTCAAGTTGAGGTCTAAACGAGTTGGGGGAGGGGGGCGCAGGTGGAGAGCTTCATCCACGCGCTGCGTCGAGCTTCTCACCGCAAGTCCTTCCGCCTTTCGCTATCTACTCAGGCCTGAACCTTACATTTGCAGCTTTACAGATCCGAGAGACCGATGACCAAGGCTTCAAGGGCTCGTCGTACCGATATTTGGCAATATGCATTCCTTCGACATCTCCTTGTGTATCATGGCTGATCCTTTTACAGGTTATCCTGATCGCTTTGGTTATTTTCTATGTAGTAGCTTGGTCTCGGCTTCGGTTTCTGGCTTCGCTCTCTGGCTTCGGTCTTGTGTGCTGGTTGCAAGAGGACCCGACTGAAACATGTTGTTCGTTACAGTTGCAAAGCTGCCTGCGGAACCTTCGGCACGGGACATGGACTGGGATGACATATGGCGATGGAATGATATAGCGGCACCATGTATCTGTATTTGTCGCATCATCCCGCAATGCATCCATCCATAAGTTCAATGGCATTGGATGGAATGTTGTTTGGGTGCAAGCGATAGCATTCCTCGGCGCGCGACATAGTACATGATTGTGCAGACACAAGTACAATGGGTAGGGCAAGAAGCCTGATGTTCCACACCATGGGACAAGCAAAGGAAATCTGAATCATATGTCCGCCACCGAGTTGTCCCTCTCGTCGTCACTCGCGCCCTCTCCCTTGCGGGGCCTGAATTCCAAGCTAAGCGCAATTGTAGGCCAGACTGGCAGATATGATGCGAAATCGCAATCCAGTGAGTACTTTTGCGAGATCAGCGGAGGAATAGATGATCATACCTTCTTCGAACCCAGGGTGCCGACCCATTCTCATCTGTTGCCAGACGCTACGCATCGCAGGCGAAGATCGGATTTCGGCCCAATGTTCGAGGAAGTAGTTAACTTCGACCTACGGAACCAGCCGAGCATCGAGGTGTAGGTATAAAAAACGACATCAGAAGATATGCAGATAGCCCACCTTCCTGACTTGGGAGAACGTAGCGGAGAAGTTGGAAAACACTTCATGGGGCACGTTATCTATCGTCAGCGATTTCGCAATGTGCTGGTGGGTGGAGAAAACGGTCAGATGGTAGTGGCAGAGCTATGAGACGTGAAGCCTACCTGGAACGCTCGTTCCTTCAATTCTAGCATATCCAGACCTGTACGGCGACGGCATGGATCAACGCTAAACCAAAGGCAAACCCATTAAGATACTCACGATCTGCAAGTCGATACACGCTCTTGGCGGAGCACGGAGTGGGCCGATCCGGGTGGTTCTTCATCCACTTAGCGATCCAATCCTTCCTGCTCACGTCGCCCGACCTTTGCCCGTCACTTGGCTGCGTGTGGCGTGGAGCTCCTGGTCCAGTCCCTGTGCCATTGGCGGATACCTCGGCCGTCCCACTGGGCCTATGCGTGGCGGGCCGAAAGGAAGCAGCATCGGCTGGAGGCAACGAGGTGTTGATGAACGACGAGGAAAGAGGAGCAAACTTGATTGTGTCCGTATAGACCTGTCCATCCGTCAGTCAGCGATTGCATCACGAACGAAGACATGCCCTACGTAATAGAGGACGGCTTTGTAGGTGTTGTAAGCCACGTCGCGCACGACAATGCGTTGATGGGGGGCCTTGAACCCGCTCTCTGGTGAGTTGTGCGCATTGCCGTCCGTTGGAACGCTCATCACGAGTCCTCGACTGCGTGGACTGGACGGATGGTCTAATTTCGGACGGACGTTGCGATAAGTTTGCAGTTCTTCTTCTTGAACTGGAATCCTCGAATCCGTCCGAGCAGCAACCTCAGAACGTTCCTCTTCCTTCGTGGCAGGTGCAGTCCCATCGTGGTCTTGCGCGGCGGCGGGGGATTCTACCATCAGATCACTCGCATTCATCTCCGTCGTCTCTGATGGCGCGGGAGAAGGTACGAGGCCCTGCATAACCTCTTGACTACTGCCCGGTGCGGGTCGAAACGTATCCAGCTCCGCGTTTTGATCCGAGTCGTGCTCAAGTCCCTCGTAGTCCGCGTCATCCTCGTCCTCCTCATCTGAGTCATCGAATGATCGGAATATGCTCGGCTCCTCTGCAACTTCCGTCTCATTAGAGAGACTGGCGCGAGGAGTTGTACGGGAAACTGCATCGACGGGAAGGCCCTCGGAGAAGCCTGAGTCGAACACTGCCATGCTGTCAGATTCACAGGCAGCATACATGGCACTAGTTTAGACTCACTGGCCCGGAAATAGTCAGCGCGCTGAAGTAACCTCTTGGCAGCATATATGCGCTTGGTGCCACCCCGCTTGGGCAAGACGAACTCGATGTCGGAGTATTTTGGGTCGTCCAAGAGAGAGCCCACGGCATCGAGAATGGACGGCGGCACAAACTTTCCAGGTGGCGGAGAGGACAATGGCGCGCTGGGAGTACCGGTGATATTGCATTGAATTACGAAGGCATCCGCTGACTTGACAGCGCTGCAGTTGTAGAAGACCAAATCACGCCGAGCAAACTGCGCCCAGCCCCAATTGGCCGTCTTCGAGCTGAATCTGTGCGAATGCGCCTCTTTCGTGTTGAAAATTTGAGCCTTGGGACCCAAGCTGCAGAGTTCAAATGAGAACCCAGAGTGAATGACGGTTGGTTGAACTTACGTCTTCAGGATGAACTGAAAGTTATAGATCCCTTGGCGAGTCCACCTTCAAACCATAGTGAACAATGTGGCTCATTGATAAAGACAAGATCGTTGGGTACTGACCTGCCATCTACACCAAGTTCCAGTTCCTCTGGCGTGGGTTCACAGGAAAGATATATGCTAACCCAACCTTGGGATTCTATGTTCGTTCCGGAACCTGCCGTCACACTGGTACCAGAGTTGGCATAGAACAGGATCTACCAAACGTTTTGAGTGCTGAGGGGAGAACAGAGGTGCCAAGCAGAACAACCTGCCATCGTCCTTTATCAAATTTCGCGGATTTTATGACCTAGAATACAGATCAGGATATGGCCTAGACATACTCCCAAGATGAGTTCTACCTTCGCCTTCGCTTCGCCTTTACTGCAAGATTGTCATGACATCGAATATATACGATGTCTCAGAGCCTACCTCGTTTCAAATATCTGTTTAAGGCCTTTCAGGGTCCATTCGAATGTGAGCGATGTCGTTTCTTGGTATTCAGGGATGTCGACCATGGTCACCGTAGCACGCACGAGGACAAGTCGTGTCGCGTCGCGCTCCGTCGCGAACTAAATAGGGGCCTTTACCCGTGACGTCAAGTTCGCCACTTCCTTTGTGCCACCGCAGCCATTTGGTGGCCTCTGACACATCAAAGTAAATGGTATAGGAGAACAAGTTGTCAAGCACATATATATTCTGGTTGATCAATAGGTGGTGTCCAATCAAAATCTCCTCTGCAATCTACCGACATGGACCAGCATCTCTAACCCAGCATCTTCCTGAAATCATCTTGTCCTTTGGGAGGTTGCGGCTGCGATGCAGGCGCACCAGCTCCAGCAGATGCGGTAGCACCCGCAGGCCGCCGTGCATGACCAAGCCCTGCGCGTGGCCGAGATGCTGCAGCACGCGGTACAAACAAGCCAGCGGGGGCTTTGGCTGCTTTGCCTCGAGCGCCTGCAGCGCCTCTGGGAGGTGGTAGATCCTCAGAGAATTGGAGTTCTTGACCATTGAAGTTGATTGGTTCCACAAGAAGCATAAGCTTCCCTGCTTCCTAGTGAACAAGATCATACATCAATTCACTCGTTCTTCGGTAAACGAAGTGCAAGAAATCGGACCGCGGCATTTTCGAGCTCGACGACAGCTTCGTTACGGCCCTCGAAGACTTCGACTCGCTTGACACGAGCATGTTTCTCTAGCGCTTGTTGCAGGAGGCCTTCCTGGGTGCCGTCGGGTAGGTTGCGAACACGCAGGGAGCGGCTCCGGGCTTCCGCACGTTTGCCTAAGCCGGTGCTTGCGCCCTCCTCGCTTTCAACGATACGTCAATGAGCGGGAGTACCGGCAATTATCGTGCGTGAGAACTAACCGGTTGCGCGCCCTGAAGCGGGAGTCGGCCAAGGTAACGGCCATACGGCGGCTTTTCAGTTCATGATTGTTCGCAGCAAGGGCTGCCGATGCCGATTTCTGTGCAAACGCGTGAGATGGCAATAAACTACGAAAGGGTCAGACCATACCTCATCCTCGAACTCGACGAAGGCGAAACCCTTGCAATTGCCTTTATCGTCAAGCGCCATCCGGACATCCTTCAATGTACCGTACTGAAGAGAAATCGCATGCCGTGAGTGAATTATCGCTAGGATGGCTATATAAGAGTACAGCTAACTCACTGTCTTAAAGATCTTCTCCAAATCCGCCTTGGTCGCGAACTTGCTCAATCCGGCAACGTAGATCTCCCGATCGTCGGCGTTCGCGTCAGTCCGCTCCTTTCTCCGTTCGGGATTCGAGATGAGTACGCTCAAGGGCATGCCTGGCTCTAGCTCGCGACCATGCAGCTCCAGAGAAGCTTTCGCAGCGTCCTACGCATTGTGATTATATCAGTACACGGCGAGGAATCGTGCAGTTAGAAAGCATACCGGAGAGGTGAACTGCACGTAACAGAATCGTCGTGTGCTCTTGAACTTCTTCGAGGGCCAACGAACATCGAAAATAGTGCCATACTATTATATGCATGAACATCAGGGGCATAGATGACGAGAAACGATGCAATCTACCTTGGAGAATAACCCCCTGATAGCCTGGTCGTCCGTGCCCTCGGGGAAGTTGGTGATGTAAAGCGTCGACTGCCAAGCGAGGTGCACCGCGATTTCTTCTCCGTGAATGCGCTTTTTGTCCTTGGTCAACGCTGCGGGAACGCTTTCCTAGCAGGATCTATCAGCAGAGTAGAAGGATAAAGGCGCGAGACCAAGTACTCGTTCGTTAAATTCGACGGTAGCCACTACAGCATTAGGCAATTTCGTGATCTTGATATCCCGGATGCCACCGCACTGTCACGAAGGATGAGTTCGTGCGTAACCTGGAAGTTGGAGGAGCGACAGACGTCTTTGAATAATGCCTTTAGATCGCCTTCCGCGGTGTTTACTGGTAGATCAGCGACGAAGATAGTACAGTTCTCGCGGTCCCTAGTGACACGTGGATGAGCGGTCTGATGGTTTACTGGAGTTAGACGTACCTCTTCAGCTGCGCCGGTGTAGTGTCTAGATCGCAGTGTTCATCAGCTACGACCACCAATGCCAGCGTATACACGCACCCAACTTCGGCTTCTTGCTGCTTTCTGCGTCCGGCTGATCCTCAGCCTTTCGCTTTGCGTTCGACTCCGCAATATGAATACTCGGAGCTGAATCGACGTCCATCGGCGCCTCCACATACTGTTCCGGATGGATGACTTCTGCCACCGGTACGGAGGCCGCCTGTTCCATGGCGACTTGCAGCGCTTGATATGACGCCTTCTCTGCCTCCTGAAACGCGAGCGCAATCAAGTTCAAGCTTTCGGTATCGGGACTGAACCCTGAGTCCCACCTTTGCCCTCTTGAAGTTGACGTTGGACTGCGCCCGCTCCACCTTATCCATGCATGCTTCAAGTTGCTCCAACGATCCATGCAGATGTTCCATGCTCAGCCACGCTTCCCAGATTGCCTCGGGCCAGTCCAAGTTCTTCAAGCAGACATCGCTGAAGACAGCGCGAGCCGTCTCGTAGTCATGTTGCTTGACGAGAAGGTCGGTGTACGCCGTCCAAGCGATATAACTGTTTTTGTAGTGCTTCGTAGCACCTTTCCAGACTTCCAGTGCTGCTTCGGGCAAATCGACGATGCTCGCGTACTGAACGACACGATCAGCCAGCTTCACCATATGCGCGCCAAGTAATACTTACAAACTGCGCGAGGTACTTTTCCAACCTGAGACGAGGATCTCCGTCCGGGGACGCTGTCGTCGACCGTGTCAGAATTAGACGCTAGGATCGGGTCGTGATAGTGCCCACCTTTGCGGACCATATTTATGCCATCTTCAAGGGTCTGTACGAGGATACCGGGTGTATCCTCATCTGGATCGCACTTAGCCTATATAGAATAAGGATAGGCCACAACCACGCACCCGCACTCCCGCTTTCGATGCGCCTCGCTTCGTATCCAGCTCGCGCCAAGACCAGTGGTATAATCTGCTCTACGTCTTGCTGCACGAGATTTGTCGAGAGTGCTTTCGCGTATACATCTATCGCATGGGAGATCAGTAAGAGATCAATTTACTTCGCCACCGGAGTACTCACCGGATACGCTCTCGGAAGGCTGCATGGCAGCTCCATTCCCGTCAGAAGGTGCGCTGGAAACGCGTTCCTAATAGGTACTCTGAATCGCTGGTAGCTTTAGCAGCCTGTAAAGGAACATACGATGAGCCGGATGTACCGCGCCCACACTTCTCCCGATGCCGGAACGCTCCTGACCGCCCTCTTCGCCGCCTCGAGCATCTTCGACGCGTCAGCCACCTGGGAACTTCTCTGCGCCCGCCAACGAGAAAATCAGGGTCTCCCTCCGGATGTATGACGGAACGCGGCCATACCAGAGTATCGAGGTACTGCGCCCAGAACGCGCGCAGCGCTGGCTCCCCCTCGGCTTCTCCATGAAAGCGGCGCTTCGCCGCTTCGGCGATGGCGCGTTCGAAGACGCCCGAGGCCACGAGCAGATCTAGGTAACGAGCACGCCGCTCGTACGTGATATATTCAGCGTACGCGTGGAGCGAGTTGTTGCTGGAGGTCTGGATGCAAACATCGCCGTTGTAGTGACGTTGGTTGATGACTGGGGACTCAAGGACGTACAACAGCGTTTTCAAGCCTTTCTCTCCGTTCGTAGTTCTTGGTCGCACGGCCGCGGAGCTTCGTGGCAGCGACGAGGGTGGATTCGTAGTCCTGCGGTGGCTTGTGATTGGTCGTGAAGGAAGAGTATGACTGGAAAGTCTCCTCGTGATCTAATGTACAAAGGTTCAGTACGACTTCCAAGACTAGGGATAGATACGAACTAGAGTGAGGTTGCTGAAGGCGTGCTTTGTGCAGAGATTCAAGGTAGTCTATCCAATCCTGCCTAGAAAGCCGCGTCAGCCAGTGATGCAAGATGTGCAAAAAAAACCCCGGGAATATGCGCACTTTTCTTCCGCGGATGCATTCTCGAGAGCATCCGTAGCCCAGTCCCTAGCGGCATCCCATAATACGTGACTCTACATGATATTGGATGTCAACATGGTGCTTCAACTAGCTCGTGTAGGCACAGCACCTTGATGAGATGACCCGAGCCTTTGCTCACCACCTCCGAGACAGCTTGGCGCGTCCAAGATGAAGTGAACAACTCTCCCAGCGGTTCCGGTCTCTCAGTCTGCTGCCGGAAGTGATCGAACGTCTCCGTGAGGAACTCGAGATGACTTTGCAGCACAGGCACAGCTGAGCGTCCCTATGAGCATTTCACCAAGCATTCCTTAGGCACACGTACAGAAGTAGTCGTCTTCCGCAACGGCGTAAAGCGCGAGCACGTCCGGGATTCCTTCTGCAGTCTCAACGTTGACCGATTGCCGCTTCGCGCGTAACAGAGGGAGCCAGACCTCGTCGCCCGCGGGCCAGTACGCGGTCATCATCTCACGCGCAGCGACCGCTTGCTCGGCGTCGCCACTGGCGTCGGCGAGCCGGATGTGCTGCGCGTGCAGATCAAGATCATACGGGTTTTCAGACAGGGTCGTGAGGAGATTGGAGAGTGCCTCGAGAGCTTCGTTTGCGTCCATGCTCGCGGACGACGAGGCGGCGAGCGTAACGCGCTCTGACGCACGGGGCTCGTCAATGAATCAATGACGCGTGACTCGTAACTTATCAGTGTCGGCGCGTTTCTGTGTGGCGGTGAGCACTGATGACGTCTTTCCTCTGAAACCGTTGTCGCTCACAAGCTCAAGCGCCGGTGTCAAGCGCCAGCGAAAGGTTTGCAACCTTGACGGCGATGCTCCAGGGAATGGACGGTCTCACTCACTCCGCCCCTGTCTCTCGATGGATACTGCCCTACCAGGCCGTTACCAATGCGGGTTCCATTCCGGTCACCGGTCAGGGTTCAGCGTATGAACGCACAGATCGCATGCTACCAGTCCGAGGATGTCATGCGCAATCCTCAAACCATCTGTTCCGGGCCGGGACTCCGGCAGTACCCTCACCTTCAGCAGGTCTGGGCTTCGACTAATTCGGAACGCCATATTACCTCTCTTTTCACTCCACTTTGCTCTGAGCGCCGATCATGAGCCTAAACACGATGTTCGATCTGAAAGATCGCATCTGTCTCGTCACTGGAGGAGGAACGGGAATCGGTCTTCATATCGCGCGCGGATTGGCATCGCACGGAGCCAAGGTAGTTGATTTACCTGCAGGACATCCGATCATGAAACGTAGTGAATGGCGGAATCAAAGGTATACATCACTGGGAGGAGGCAGGAAACCTTGGAGAAAGCTGCCAGTGCTTGGAAGAACGAAAGCTCCAATGGCGGTGTTCTGATCCCGTATGTTATCACCAAGCATCGAATTCCGACCATACAATGATTTCTTGATCCACGGAGACTTCAAATGGATGCCACGAGCAAAGATAGCATCTTGAAAGCTCGCGACGTCGTTGCCAAAGAAGACGGAAAGCTTCATTTCCTCGTTAACAAGTTGAGAGGTCTCTTGCCCTTCCTAGCTCCTCACTCACGTTCGATTCTGATATCGCCAGCGCGGGGCAAACGGGCCCCGTTTCCGAATTCCTCAACAACACTTCCGCACCGGAGCACAAAGATCCCGAAACGCTTGGACGAGCGCTCTTCAACAACGAGAGCTTCGAGACTTGGTCAGACCTGTACAAGATCAACACTTTTTCCGTCTTCTTTGTGACGACGGCCTTCCTCGGGCTTCTAGATGTCGGAAGCAATGACGTTCCCGGATGGACGTCCTCCGTCGTGAACGTGACGTCCGTCAGCGGAACGCTCAAGATCGCTCAGTGCCATGTGAGTCTCCCGATGTCCATATCCTCTCCATGACGTGGAATCTAACGTCGACTCCGCTTACAGTTTGCGTACAACTCGGCGAAGGCGGCGGCTTCTCACCTCACAAAGATGGTAACTTCTTCGCCTTCCAAGTAGCACGCAGAAAGGTGCCGACCCAAAGCCTATAGATGTCCACAGAGTTCGCGCTCAAGAACATCAACGTGCGCGTCAATGCCATCTCCCCGGGTGTCTACGCAACGGAGATGACGATTCCGGTCAACACCCCAGAAGACGTGCAGACGATCTCCCAGGCCCTGGTCCCGGTGCCTTCTCGGAGAGCAGGAACGTGAGTAACATGCCCTGGGTTTCGCCGTATCTCGGTCTTGACGTGGGTCTTGACGTACAGGGAGGAAGAGGTGGCAGGCACGGCGGTGTACCTCGCCTCGCGCGCGGGCGGGTACGTCTTCGGGCAAGAGATCGTGGTCGATGGCGGATATGTCGCGGTCAACCCTGCAACTACGTAGATGGTCGTCAAATGCATATCATGTCATATCATAGCATGTTCGTGAGTAGAAATACAAGAGAATATATACCATACAGATACAATACGCTTGCATTACGAGGTGTCCGTTTGTGTGAGGGAAGGCGGGAGAGTAATAACGTACATCAAGAGCGAGCAAAGCACGGAGAGTCCATAAACTGAAGGAGTGAAAGATGTGATCGAAGAGTAGAGTGTCCATAACCTGAAGGAGCGGTTGTGTTGTCGTAGAGTTCACCGAATCGAGAGTCGGCGCCGCAAGGACCCGTACGTCGCGCGATCTTCGCTCGCCCTCCTCCGCCTCGCCACGCTCCCGGCGTTCATCACCACTCTCGAGAGCGCATCCAAGCTCCTCGCTTCCTGGACGCCGCTTTGCGCCTTGCCGGCGGTCATCCCGTCCAAGCCCCTTCCTTCGGACATCGCGCTGGCCTTCCGACCTGCCAACCTCCGAGGCCTCCCCGCCCGTATCTTCGCCACGTCCGCCATAAACGCATCCGTGACCCGCGGCCCCTCGACCACGAGCTTCTGCACACGCGGCAGCGCGCGCACGAGCGCGAGCGCCGCCCGATGCTCGAACCACCCGTCTTCGATCTGCACGCTCGTCACCGGCATCATCGAGTCCGCCCGCTCGCGCCCGTACGTGAACGCCTTCACGAAGTCGTGCACGCGCTGGAACGGCCGGCGCGAGCGGCGGGGATCGAGCAGGAACAGGGCGGTGAGGGCGGGGAGGTGCAGGTGCGCGACGAGGTGGACGAGCTCGACGGGGATGTCGCGCGTGTGGCAGGTGATGCGGAGCGTGCGGAGGGCGGGGAGACTGAGAAGAGAGGAGCGGTAGGGAGGTACGGCCATGGAGATGAAATCTTCCGGGCTGGCGGGGAATGTGATGCGGAGGTGGACTAGGCGGGTCGAGATTTGCAGCATAGAGAGGACCTCTGTCACGGCGGACACCCCGCGGGTGAAGCCGTGGTGGGTGCTGTAACCAAATGCTCAGTTCAGATACCTCTCCTATCAACCTTAGCGAGTACGACGTACTAATCGAGATGTGATAAGTTGGCGAAGGCGGAAGGATGCCATGCCAGCCTGACACCCAAGAGCGTGACCCGCCGCAAGTGCGGCACGACACCGTTGAATATCGAAAACTCCGTCGGGTCATCGTTCCGAGGGTAAATCAGGGAGAGATCTTCGAGCATGGGCGCCTGAGCCCGTGCGGTCCCGAGCTGGCCGAGCGCTGCCGCCATCAAGTAGGGCGCGTACGTGTAGAATGCGACGTGCAATTGCCGCCAGCGGTACATGTACGGCGCGACGGAGTGCATGTACCACTGGACGCTGACGTAGTCCTCTTCGGCGATGTATCGGTAGCGCCGCGGAAGCCGCGCGGCGCGAGTTCCGTATGGGCGAGTGATCAGGGAGATTGATAGAGGATGGTGCCTTGCACGCCGTATGCGCTCCTGCCACATCTCGATGCGCGTGTCGAGCGCGATTCGGGTCCAGAGGGCGGGAGTGCTCAGTGCGAGCCAGCGCCATACTGTGGAACGACGATGGACGATAAGTACCGTGAAGTCCTCGGAACATACATGGGATAGTTACCTGAGCATACATGGGAAACCGTGACTGGGAACCCAACGTCGTTTCTGCTACCGAGAAGGAATATATGTGCGATCAACTCGAGGGGAAGCCTGTGAATGGGATGAGGTGTCTTGCGTTTCCTAGAGCCCAGTCGACGAAGTGAACCTAGGTCAGGGTGAGGAGGGAACTTCATCGCTGCGACGTTTCGAACGTACGGGATGCACCCCTGTCAGACGTACGCCCTCAGTATATATACACGCGAGCAAAGCAGGGGTGGCAGGGTCTAGTCTCACCTTCTTCGAAAGATCCTGAAGACGATGAGGTCAAAGAGCGATCGACGGAGGTGGGCCCCCCGCCAGGTGATCCGTCGCAGCAAACGGGGCATTGCGTCGGGAGAAAGACAGAAGACGGGACGAGCAGGGGGCGGGACAGACGGCTGGTTCCATAGGGGCGCTCATATGCTGTTTCACTCTCCGTGCTTGGTCAACGAAGGCCGGCGACGATCTAGGTTTGGGCACACGGGGTGAGCGGCCACTACATGCTAGCGCGCAGAGCTGCCGCCTAAGCGCCATCGACCGCATGCGTATCCTTTCGCGTGTTGTCCGGGACCCTTGGAGGGGAAGTACGAGCCCGTCGGCGGGCTGAGAGCCTGAGACAACGTTAAACGTGCATCGCTGACATCCCCGGGCAACGTCAATGCGACTGAGAACGCCGACTTCGGTCGCGGCTGTCTTCTCGAAGCCTTCTCCGGGCGTGTGGCTGTACTCTACTGAAGGCGATGACGACACAGCGCGGTCACCGGGAATGTCCGGGCCGGGACGTGCGATAAGATCGAGATGCGCATCTTATCTGTGGGCTCGATCTCCAATGGATCATGGCCTGACTCGAACACGGAACGATGTCGAGCGACACAAGCACCAGCCGTCGCGACAACAATGCATCAATGCCGGAAGTCGACTACGACTGCGTCGTAGTGGGATCCGGCCACGCTGGGAGCTGCGCGGCGTATGCAGCCGTGGAGTCCGGCTGCAAAAACGTCCTGATCGTCGACAAGTGCCCGCCGGAGTGGGTAGGCGGAAACGGATATTTCACGGCGGGCGCGCATCGAACCGTTCACGGCGGCCTACATGATTTGCTCCCCATAGTCCGAGGGGTGTCCCCGGAGCAGGCACAGAAGATCGATATGGATCCGTACACCGTCGAGGACTTCACGAGAGACATCATGCGACTCGGAGATTGGAGATCTGATCCTATCCTCGTCAAAACGATGGTCGAGGGATCGAGGGATGCGGTGGGTTGGCTGGCGGAGAAAATTCAAGTTCCGTATGTTTTCTCGTTTAATCGCCAGGCGTATGAGGTCGATGGCAGACATGTGTTTTGGGTACGTTCCCCTTGCACCATTCCATGACATGTTACGCGGATGACCCGAATGCGAACATAGGGCGGTATGGTGTTAGCCACAGAAGACGGCGGGAAAGGCTTGATAGCAGCCCATCGGCAGGCCCTCCAACGCATCGGCGTCCAAACGTGGTTCAATTGCCCTGCCACCAAATTGATCGTGAAGGAGGGGAAGATTGAAGGCCTTGAAGTGAAGAAGGAAGGCCAGAAAGTACGCTTGAGAACCACAGCAGTCGTGTTGGCATGCGGAGGGTATGAATCGAGTGCCGATCTTCGCAGGAAACACCTTGGTCCAGGATGGGCAAAAGCGAAGGTAGGTTCTATCGCAGTCAAACGACGGAGGCGTACTTCATGGACACCAGGTACGAGGGACACCGTACAATACGGGTGATGGATTTAAGCTCGCCGAAGATGTCGGCGCAAGGTTGGCCGGCGACTGGCAAGGATGTCACAGGTCAGCATGGAGCAGGTTCATTGCGATTCACAAAGGTGCTTACATTGGATGCCAGCACGACATGGGATGCGAACGCACCATCAGATGCGGGAGATCGCACAGTAACAAATCAGTTTACCAAAGCAAGTTTACCCTGTACTCCATCCAACTCTTTGCGCGATCCTCATAACTTTCCCAGTCCGGGTACCCACTCGGCATCATGGTAAACGCAAGAGGATTGAGGTTCGTCGACGAGGGAGAGGACTTCCGCAACTACACCTATGCTAAGTTCGGGCGCGCGATTCTGGAGCAAGAGGACGGGTACGCCTTCCAGATCTACGATGCGAGGGTCACTCCGTGGCTCCGCAAGGAAGAATACGGGGACGACGTCGTGGAAAAGATCCATGCCGACAACTTGGACGAGTTGGCTGATAAGCTGGTAGAGATGGGAATGAAGGATCGTGAGCGATTCGTACAAACAGTCGTCGAGTACAACGATGCGGTAGGTCACCATCAGGAAGAGAAACCTGACGAAAAGTGGGACCCAGCCATCAAGGACGGGCTCTCCACCCAATCCACCCAGGCCAAGCTGAATCCACCCAAGTCGAACTGGGCGCTTCCGCTGGACTCGGCGCCTTTCGTGGCCGTCAAGGTGTGCGGCGCGATCACCTTCACCTTCGGTGGGCTCGCCATAGATCCGGACACGGCGAATGTGCTCTCGCGCGATGGCACGCCGATCCCGGGGCTGTTCGCCACGGGTGAGGCCGTCGGCGGGCTGTTCTTCGGCAATTACCCCGGCGGTATGTCGCGCCTTCTTCGGGGACGATCCGCGAGCTGAGGGTTGAATGACAGGGAGCGGGTTGACGGCCGGCGCGGTGTTCGCACGGAAGGCCGGTCTGGAAGCTGCGAAGTTGTCTGGACGTCAGTGAAGGTTTGTGTGTACAAATAAGCTTGAACGAGGCGTACAGTACCTCAGATTTCGCTGTCTCGACGGTGTCTGCCATCACATGGGATAGGTACCGCACAATATTGTGTCGTACAGCGCGCACGCTCGCATATTCAATCACGTCGTTGGTCAGAGTCGCCCTCTATTTCCCATCAAGCGATACAAGTCGGCAACCAGGTAAAGACTACCCGCCACGATGACCAATGGCTCCCCTTCCTCATGCTCTGCGGCCCACTGGAGAGCGTTGGCAAGCTGCCCTTCGACCGGATCTTCATCGCCTGGAGCCCAAACGTCGGTCCCTGGCGCCAGTTCCTCGACGACACTACTGAGCGTCGAAGGAGGCACAGACTTGACCCAGGGCATCCCCTCGGGCGGTGTGAAGCGCAGCACCGCGACTTTTGGGTCCGCGATTTTGAAGGCGGCAAGGGTCTTAACTTTGCGGAACAAAGGCTGCAATGTCTCCTTCGGCGTCTTAGGCGGCGAGTGAGATAGGCCGAGGACGTAGATGAGGCGGAAGGGGGTGTTGCGTCGCAGCTGCAGCCACTGGTGGACGAACTTGCTGAGCGTCTCAGCTGAGGCGGGATTGTGCGCGCCGTCGGCGAGAATGGTGATCATGTGTCCTGATTCGAGGGTATGCGCGTGGAAAGAAAGACGACCCGGCCAGGTGGTCTCCTCAATGCCGCGGGTAATTGATAACGGCGTGACGCGCGTCCGGAGTCGCAAGGATGCGCAACGGGGGTGGGTGAGCAGCACGTCGACGATCGTGATCGCTACGCCGAGGTTGTCGAGTTGGTGGTCGCCGAGAAGAGGGAGAGGAGCGTTCAAGGGTTCGGGGAATGCAGACATGGTGAATTGCACGCTCTGGAAGGCAAGGGTGTCGGAGTAAATCATGATCGAGGCCCGTTGAACGTGGTAGACATCGACAAGCGTCTCTCCAACAATCTCTGCAACGATTTGCGTGACCTCATCGAAGCGCTGGCGTCCTAAGACAAAAGGGACGTTCGGGCGCGCGATTCCCGCCTTCTCTCTCGCGATGGCCGAGGGGGTATCGCCGAGGAACGCTTGGTGGTCCAAATCGACGGCGGTCAGCGCAGACACCATCACCCACTCCGTCGGGATCACGTTCGTCGCGTCCAGCCTGCCTCCCATGCCCACCTCCAAGATGACAATGTCCAGCGCAGCTCTCTCGAAGATGAGCAAGGCGGTAGCGGTGAGCAACTCGAAGCTGCTCGCTCCGACAGCATGTGTCCTGTCGACGCTTTCGACTTCGTTCCGAGCGGAAGCGTAGGTGGCCTCGTCCACTGGTTGACCGTTGATCACGATGCAATCGCGAACCGAGATCAGATGTGGACTGTTGAACCGCCCGACGTCCAGCTTGGGCTCCGTCGCGCGTAGGATAGAAAACAGCAGAGCGGATACGCTCCCTTTCCCATTCGTACCCGCGATATGTACCGTTGGCCGAGTGTATGCGGGTAAAAGTGCGCTCAGGGCGCGGATTCTGTCGAGAGAGAGGTCGATGGACATCGCCGTCAGACTGGTCGTTGGTACACGAGCGTGAGACTGGCTTTTCCGGTCATGCTCCTTCGCTTCGTACCATCCTCGTCGTCACGGTGCACTCGGCGATCGCTCATGCCTATCAATGAGCGGCATCATGAGACAGGACAGAGACGCCATCGCCAGAATGCACGGTATTGGGGGTGGTTCCAGCTCAAGGGCAAAGTCCGTGAGTTCTTTCCAGATGCATTTCTATGACTTATTATCGCTATAGTGGCCACCTCTCTGGTAAACCAATAACTGCTCCAATGAATGTGTGTACACCCGGAGCTCTGTTGGCTCATACTCACCTTCGTGGTTCACGATAGACTCCATTTTCCAAAGGTCGTATGGCGGACACTCTCACAGCGCCGTCCCAGAAATTCCGCGTTCAAGATACCGTACTACCGTACACCCTTCGCGCCAGTACCTTCGGAAACAGTAGCCGAGTTGCGAAACGGCGGAAGCTGAACGATTCGGACGCGTCTGCTTCCGACTCGCTCCTGCCACCACGCGCTGCTGCGCGGAAGAACGATCCCTCCAGTCACTTCTCCCCCGTGTCCGCCCACATCCCTGACGGGAAGGGAGTAACTGTGATTGAAGATAGTGAGGACGAGGGTGACATGTCAAGGCCCAGACGACCTTACGCAGACAAGAAAAGCGAAGATGATCCGTTAGATTTTCTAAGCGGACGTTCCGACGAGGTTATCGAGCCAAAAGTTACTGCTCCGTGGAATGTTCCCGGTCCTGAAACCATCTACGTCGACGAAGAGGATGATATCCAGTCAGCGAGTGGATGGGACGCTCATAACGTTGCTGCTCGCGATGAGGAGGGAGGTCAACAGCCACACGCCTCTACCAGCAAGGTCTCCACAGAAATCAGGTTGCAATCACCCGCAAGGCAATCCATCAAGCCTGGCTCAGTCGCCCGAATGAGAACGTTGTTTCCCTATGAGGATGTTCCTCGACGCATAGACCTCAACAACCCCCCGAGAACGGAACGGAGAGGCGGACTCGCGAGCGGGATGAAGTCACGCAATCCGAATGTATGTATCCGTCCAGCATCGCAGCGGAGTGCTAATGACCTTCGTTCGTAGGCCCGTTCCAACGACACCGGCGCGTCCAGCGCTAAGTCTCGTGCACGGCCTGATTCGCAACGGTCAAAACCGCGATCGCAAGCGCGAGGTCAAATATCCGAAACCGCTCTTCCTCTGCAGTACTGGTACCGTGGTCTCGAGCGGAGGAACACTGAAGGTGATCACAACTGGTGGCTTGTCTTGCAAGCCTCCGGGCGGCTCGTTGTCCAGAGTCGGTCGCCGGAGTCCCAATTATCAAAGGAATCGTTCGAATTTGAGTGCGATCGCGAAATTGTTCATATCGAGGTGAGGTCCGCAACTGAACATCGGATGCTTTGTCATTAATCACCTATTTAGTACTGTGAGGGACCGAAAGTTCCATTCATCTCGATGCAAACGCTTCCTTCCGATCAGCAACGGAAGACCCCAGGCAAGTTCGTACCGGGTGAGTGCGGACAATCAGACGGCGTGAAGCCAAACCGTTGATCAAGCGTCGCAGGCTCGCAAAACTGGGTTGGCCGACTAGTCTTCGTCATTGAAGAGCGACATCCGAATACTACGGAATTCAATGCCATGATCAGGAAGCTCGGGTCTTTCTTCGAGAAAAGATCAGTTTGTAGGATCAAGTGAGTGCAGCACAATGTTCACGCAGTCCGGTATGCATCGGGCCAACCCTCTGTCATCCAGTTTCGTGACGGTGAAGTCGATGCTCGAAGCCATACAGGCGACAGCGGAGCGTTCGAAGCCGCCACCGGGGCTCGAATCGGATAACCTCGGAGGTTCGAATCACAGGGCACAATCAGCGTCCCGGAAGGCGTCTGGGCTGGAGACTGAAGAACTCGACTCCGAAACACCAAGACTGGTCCCTCCGGAGGCTAAGCGGCAACCAAAGACGTAGTGAGTACGATCTGCGGTAAGCCGTGGCCGAGCCTAACATAGGCATCAGCTCCAGTGACAGGGCCAGAGCGGGGGGTAGTGCCGCAGCGCAGCTCACACCTTTGCGTCGTTCAACTCGTCATTCATTACCAAACGGTAGACAAACCCCTACACCTGCGGTTGATCCTGAGGAGATGTGAGTGCGGCGTTACAAAGAGCCGAGGATATTTTGCTGACTGCACGGTGACAGTATCCTGGTATACCCTCTGAACGGCACTGGCGCCGGCAAAGTTACAATCACGCGAGGTGACGTCAGCCGACTGAAGCCCGGAGAGTTCCTGAACGACACTTTGATCGAGTTTGGTCTCAAGTGCGCATGCGACTATGCCGACCTACTATCATACTAGATGCTTACTGAAATGATAGGTTCTGGCTCAACGAGCTACGAGCCAAGGATCCGGATCTCGCGGATCAAGTTCATGTCTTCAGCTCCTTTTTCTTCAAAAAGTTAGACAACAGACGGTAAATCCCGCAATATGACTGCGCAAGCACACTTTCTGACAATTTCTAGCGCCGAAGACGGATATTCTAGCATACGCAAATGGACGTCGAAAGTCGATATTTTCAAGAAAAAGTACATAATCGTGCCTATCAATGAGAAGTATGTCTGGTTCGCCTATGATTGTGGGATGTCATTAAGATCCGTACAGCTTTCATTGGTATCTTGCAATTATCTACCAACCAGAGTACATTCTTTCGCCGCCTCCGCCCACGCCTCAAAAGGTTGTTACCCGCGCCCAAAAGCGGAAGTCAGACGCACTTGAGGTCGAGACAGAAACATCTATCACCACGGATTCCCCGGAGATTGAGATTGAGAAGCCTGAACAGACCGATGACAAGGACGAGTCCAAACATCAACGGTCCGAGTCAAATCATTCTCAGTCGACGCAGTCAACGCAACTTGCGAGCGAACAAGACGTACAGGAATTGCTTGGCTCCATGTCGTTTTCTGAGTCGCGCCCCGACGCATCGCCGATGGAAGACCAACAGGATTCCTTACCCCAGTCACCGTTGGAGACACCTGGCATGGAGCTTGACAAACCTGAAGCTGAAGAAGCCCCGGGTCCTGTCAACAATGATGGAAGTACCATTTCTCCTGTCTCCTTCTATGGCAAGGGACTGAAGAGGAAGGCGCCGCCGAGCGAGGAAGAGACCCAAACGAACGTCACCACCTCAGCCAACACCGAGCACCCTACGTACGTTGTGGGTTCGTAGTATGATGAATGCTTCATGACTGATACGCTGTCTTCAGTACATCTATTTTTATCTTCGATTCGCTCCGATCAGCTCACCCGAAAGCTGTGAGGATACTTTCAAGATACTTGGAGTTGGAGGCGCGGGACAAGAAGCAAATCGAGAATACAAGCAAGCCCCGCGCACAAGTAGCACAGGTGAGAGGAACACCACAACAGTCCGGAATGGAACTGATTGGTCATTCTTCCAGGTCCCTGTTCAACCAAATTCCTGCGACTGTGGTGTTTACCTACTGCATTTCGCGAAAACCTTCATGGAAGACCCGGAGAGGTTTGCAGCACTGATATGGGTGAGTTTGCAACCTATGATCAATAGTCCTCGCACTCATGCGTGTGTCACGCAAGGCACCAAAGAAGTCGATCACCTACAAGGATAGTTCGGAGCATTGGCAAGGCGAGGCTGTCAGTACGATGCGAGAAGAATACATAGCGAAGATCGAGGCCCTGTCTGAAGAATGGCGGAGGATTAAGGACGAAGATGCGAAACGGAGAGGGGAAACTACTGGCGAAGACAAGAGGTCCGGCGGGGACGGTGAGACCGTGGACAGCGATTCCGACATCGAGATCGAAGAGGTCAAAACCGTTGAGGAAGCCAGGCCTTCAAATTCGCGCAAACCCAGACATCGTGCGAGGCGAACAGGCGGAGCACCGAAGCAACGAGAACAACCTGTCCAACAGGAAGCTACTCGTTTACGTGGTTGATGCAGAATGTCCGCACTGCTTTCATTTCACTTCTTTTTGTTGCATGCTATCTTGGGGTTCTATTTTCAATCGCATCTCGTGCGTTTAGCACCTTCACTCTTTCACATAGTCAATGACATGATAATATATGCATCCTCTCCTAATGTATATTATCGATGAATGTAATAACATAGAGGTGTCATGGCCATGGGTGTTCACGATTACGCGTTGCCGAAATTCAGCTGAGCTTGGCCTGATGCCCTTGATGGTCAGGGGTCGTCGCGCTCGGTGAAGTTCGGATTCTCACCTCTCTCAGGATCCGTCATGCGATGAATGCGGACGGTTTTGCCGGCATGTATGTTGGTCATGTCCTGGGGCGTGATGAGAACATACTGCTTTCGATCTGAGGTGTTTGCGACCTCGATCTACGGTTTCGGGTCAGGTCAGAAAACTCTAAACGTCAACGCGATGTTCTTACCATCATCTTCATGCTAATACGTCTATAGAACAACAAGAAATCAGGAACGGCGGAGAACTAACAAAACTGTTTAGTTCATACCTGTTGACGGCATCCATGAAGACGTCGAACTCGTCGAGGCACCGAATGGGGCATCCGATTGCTTCCCAAAGCGCCAGTAGCAGGCAGATCGTTGAAAAGGACTTTTCGCCTCCACTAAGCGACCTAGGATCCTTCTCCTTACTCTGCGTCGCTCCGACACCGACCAGGTCCTCCGTTTGGACCTGCAGTATATTAGGAAGGGAACAACCACGAGCATAAATGAACAAGTGCCTTCAAGGTTAGCGTCTCTCTAAAGTGGTCGAAGAGAACCTTTCCGAAGTAGCCTCGCTGGGAGAGATGATACTGGAAGATAACCTTGGTCCGAAGGGCGATGTGGCGGCGGAATTCTCCCCAGCGCTCCACGCGGACATGAAGCGAGTTTCTGAGAGCCTACACGATGTTTGTTGAATGAGGACAATCGCAAATGCATGAGCCAGCCGGACCTTGTTCAAGGCGACCATCTGCCTAAACTCGGTCTCGACACTCTCAAGGGTCGCTTTAGCTGTGTTGACTTCCGTCACCACTTGTTCCACAGTTGCGCCTTGTCTGTAACAGTGTCAGCGGGATACGAAACTCCAGGCGGCGAGGCCGTTACCTCTCTTCACGTTCCTTTAGAGCCGCCTGCACGCTATCAAGCTGACGTTGCACGTCGGCGGTCTTCCTGGGCCTCTCAACACGCTCACAGTATTTTTCGGCCTTGGCGGTCCATTCCTACGGGGATATCAGTGAACACGTCTGTGAGACCACACAGCCGAGCCTACTTTGAACGTATTTTCAGTCTCGTCGGCTTCGGCCTGTGCCTGCGCAATTTCTTCTTGCAGTTCAGCCTTCTTCGTCTCGTAGTGCTTCACGTCAGCCTGTGTCTGGATGCGCGCGAGGCCGGCTCTCTCCGCTCTTTCCTATATCGTACATTGTATCTTCAAGGAGAGGCATGGGACATGACTGCTACTCACCATGATGACTTTGTTCTTCTCGTCAAAGTCCGCGATCTGTGCTTTGATTTTGTTCTGCTCATGAAGAAGAGGTATTTGTTGTTCGTTGAGCGATTTTTTGGCCTTCTCGATCTCTTCAAACTCCCTTGACAACTTGGCTTTCTCCTCCTCTTGCTCCTGCATAAGACGGTAAGTGAAAGTGAAGGGCCCGTGACTCGTTTCCCGTACCGCTTTATATTCCTCAAGGCCAGATATGTTGGCCGGAACATCTTGGTTCGCCTCATTCCGGATGTTATCGCGTGCGAGCTTTGCATGGGTTTTGTCGCTGGAAGCCTTACGGGCATCGCCCTGTCGAAAAACGGGTTACTCAGTACACGGATAATCGGATAGTAGGGGAGTTCCGCGGTGACAAGGCTCACTTCGAGTGACCTGATGATCTCCTGGGTTTCCTGGTACCGCCGCAGGAGGTCTCGTTCTTTATTGACGGCTTCCTTCCACTTCGGTTCGCATTCCTCGCGCTTGTTCTGGAGATACCTGGAACGGAATATCAGTAAGCGTTATAATAGCAAATCCGAAACTTACCTAAGCTGTTCCCCTGGGTCCCTCCCGGTGAACAGTTGATGCCTGTTGTCCTTGGGACCCAACGCGTTGAGCGGTTGGGAAGCTCCACCTCCGTCGCTGAGCGAACGTTCTTGATCAGGGCGATGTACGAGCGAGGCGAAAAACATACGGATATTTGACGACACGGAAGCCGTCGGCGGACCACGCTTGGCCTCCGCCGTTCACACTCCTCAGGAGCGAGTCTGCCTCTCCACGTTTCTCTGTGATGAACGTGCGTTCGATCTGAGCAGCATTGATCAGGACACGCAAAACATAAGGGTCGGAGACCTGGAAATGATTTAAGTCGATTGTCATGACGGAATCAAAGCGTAAACCCGAACCTCTAGCTGACGGAGAACAGTTGGCAGACCTGGTGCAGGCTCACCCGCAGAGTAATCGAAGAGATCATACTCTGCAATGATGATCTCGATGTGAGTGCTGCAATGGTAGCAGGGCGTCAGAAAGCACGGAATATGCGGAAAAGTGGATCCTACGCACTTGTTACTGTCCTTAAGTATCTTCTGCAACGCGGGACGATCGCGGGGGTCGGTGACCGCGAACCGGAACATGAGGTTGCCCAGCTGCACTCGCATGAGCCCCGCCCACTTCTCCGGATCCTTCACCTTCACGTACGCGCCGAACGGGCCCACGGGCACATTGCCGTGCCAGCGCATATTCTTGATGCGTTCCAACACGGCGTTCAAGTTGCGGCCGTACGGCGCGAGCGCGTTCATCTGCGCTTCCTTCGCGCGCGCAATCTGCTCGTCGAAGCCCTCTATCTGCGCCTGCACTGCGTTCTTCTCGTCCTGAGCCGTCCTCCCTTCCGCCCGAATGCGATCCGCCTCCTGCCTCTTCTCTTGCATCTGGACGTTGAGCGCGTGCAGGTGGTCCTCCGCGGCGCGGAGCGCGACGTCGGCGGCCTCGAGCCGGCGACGGACCTCGTCTCGCTTCTCCTGCGTGTTCTTCTCCATCTTGCGCGTCTCCTCCTCGATCTGCTGCGCCGTGTCGGCGATGATCTTGTTGATCTGCTTGAAGGTTGCGTTGAGCTGCTTCCCGGACAGGATCGCCTCCGCAAGTTCCTGCTTGTTCGTGTTGAGCTTCGCCTGCAGCTCGCGTTTCTTCGCGTGCAGGTGCTCGATGTCGCCGAGCTGGTCACGCTCGGCTTCGGCGGCCATAAGCTCTTGCTCGCATATCGCCAGTTTCTCCTACGGTTTCAGACAGTGAGCGAATTGCAGTCCAAGGTCATACGGGCCCGAACGAAAGAAAAGCGTGCCTTGGCGTCGGCCAGCTTCTTGTCGAGCGACGGCAACTTGGCCTCCAATCGCGCGACCTCCCCGATCTTCGCCTCCAATTCCTGGGGTAACACGATTCAGCATCCTTACTTCATGGACGTGTGCGTCGCGCCCACCCTCTCTTTGCCCTTCACATGGCTCCATGCGAGCTCGCGCTTCAAATCGTCCACCTTGTTGCGCATATCGAGTGCTTTGTTCGCCTCCTGGAAGCGTTCTCTGGCGCGCTTGAATCGGTCCCGTAGCTCGGGGATGATATCCTTCTTCTTGTCGAGGATGCGCTGAGTTTGAGTGATGTTCTCCAAGCATAGAGTGTATTCGTCCGAGAGCTGCGAAAGCTGTGTGCCGCGGAGGAAGAACTGCGTGCGAGAATCGTTGAGAAATCTTCCTCCAAGGCCTGGCGATGCTAAGGCACGGTACCTTGTACTTGTCGCTGGCAGTGGACGCGCTCAAGAAGGCCCTGGCAGCATCTGAGAATGGGCGACGAGAAGAATCAGGAAATTAGGTCCTATGGATCATATGCGCCAAATGAGACCAACCTTGGGTCAGCACGTTCATGGGGTTGTCCACCTGAATGTTCATATGGTCGCAAATCGCGCTCAGCTCCTCGCGCTTGGTCGAGATGATCTTTCCGCTCGCGCTCCTGATCTTCCATTGCGACGTGCCGTTCTTGTCGAACTTGCGCGTGATGGCGATCGATTTACCGTAGACGTCGGGCCGATAGGCTTCGTCGCCGCGGTTCTTGAGGACGATGGTCACCTCCGCTGCGCTTTAATTGGCACGCATGAGGAATGCAGCCATCATGACAGGTAACGTAAGGAACATACTTTTGGCCTTCGCGAATGAATGATTTGAGGCCGGATCCGCGACCTGTGGTAGTGGCTTTACCGCCCAGGGCAACGGTGATAGCAGTCAACACGGCACTCTTTCCACCTAACAGTCCAGAGTCAGTTCATGGGCATGTATCATGCACACAATCAGACGTACTGCCATTATGTCCGATGATAAAGTTGATCTGAGGACCGAATGTGAAAGTGAGGAACTTGTGACACATGAACTGGTGCATCTCGATCGACTCGATGATCCCGCTCTCCGCGACCGACTAATCAAAGAAGTCAGTCGGACATGCATCGCAAGAATGTTTACAGACGACTCACGCCTGTGTGGCGCGTGCGCTCTTGCACTTGTTGACGGATCTTCTCCACGTGCGCCTCCTCGAACTTGGCGTCGTCTTCATCTTGATTTTCTTCATCGTTATTGTTGTCCTCTTCCTCGTCATCATCGCCCTCTCCATCATCATCGTCTTCGTAGCCTGCCTGCTGTGCGCGGCTCCTTGAAGCGCGTTGAGGGGCTCTACCGTTCGCCTCGCCGTTCGCGAGACGCGCCTTCTTCGACGTAGAAGGGGGCGTTGCCTGAGATGCGCCCTCATCGTCGCTCGAAGCCGGCCTCTTCGCCATGATCTATACTATGAACAATGAAAACCCTTGTTCGTTGAACCTTTGTGCAGACAAGATAGGAGAAACGCGCGAGTGGCAACTGAAAGAGACGCGCAGTGAAGCGTGGGAGCGAGGCACCGCGCACGTGCGCGTCGGGCAGCGTGATCCCGCCATCATTCTATTTCGGGAGACCCGGGGCGGGCACGGCGCCGTCCGGCCGGCATCGGGCAAATCTCTCGGCTCCTCATAACCTCCGGTTACCTCCCCTTCATCGTACATGATATTAGGTAGATTGTTGCTGGAGATTCTGCTGAAATTACGGTGCCCATCCATTCTGTTATCCAGCTGCAAAAGGTTCATCAAAGATAGGAACGCAAGGGCGAGGCCGGCGATCTGTCCGGCTTGCGCCGGGATTGGCCTCGGGAGCCGAGCTTCTGACCCTTGTGTTCACCCCTCGATTCGCTGACGACCGGTTCCCAGCTCATTCTTCCTCTCTCGCCCTCGACGCTCGTCGTCCCCCTCCTCCCCGTGTTCACTTCCTCCGCCTTGGTCCAACCGAGGCATCCATTCTCTCCCCAACTCGCTCATTGATTCCGGTTTAGCAAGAAAAGAAGCAAATACCCAACTTCGACCCTTTCAAGTAACAAACCCGCGTTATTTCCCAGTGTCCAACCATGACGGCGCAGTTCGGTCGCACTCCTCAAATGGCACGCTCGCTAGTCCTCGAATACGAATCGCTTACTCATCTTTTGCTATAGACAAAGCCGCTCGCTCCGCGCCCAAAGGCAGACGACCCCAATAGCAGATCATCTGCCTACAACATGTACGTTACTGCACAGCGCCGCTTCCGTCATCCCGTGTCTCACTTCTCTTTACTGACACCCGCTCCGAAACACAGGTATGACAACTACCTCGACGACGACGCCAAGCGCCAATCCGGCGCGGCTGCACTGGGCATGTTGATGTCGGGCGCAATGGACGACTCCGATTCGGACGACGACGACATCCCGCCGCCGCGTTACAACGTGCATACCCCTCCCGCCTCTCCTCCCTCGGAGAAGAAGAAGAAGCAAGATCCGTTCGCCGACCCGGCAGGCACGCTGCACGTCCAGAACCAGCACCAGCACCAGCCGATCCCGCTCGCTGCCCCCAAGCCTGGCTACGTCGCGCCCGTGACGCAGTTCAGCCTGAAGTCACCCCCGCCCGCCGCGATGCGCTCTCCCCAACCCGAGATGCACCGTCAGCAGCCCCAGATCCAGATGCCCATGCCGTCGCCTTCGCAGGCGCAGTTCGCCTCCGCGATCCCGCGCAGCCCGACGTCGGTGCCTTCCACGCCGCACCCGCTCCCGGCGCTCTCGCCAATCACGCCCGTCTTCGCGCGCCCCGCGAAGCCCCAGTCCGACGACGGCGTCAAGTTTGACGAGAAGGCGATCATCCGTGGCAATGGCGAGGAAACGCTCATCCCCCGCCGCGGCGAGAAGGGCGACGACTTCTGGCGCCGGTTCAGCATGGTTGTCAAGGAGGAGGCACACAAGAAAGACAAGGAGAGCAGCTGGCTGAAGAAGACGCGCTCCGGACACTCGCATTTCTCGCGTTGGGTCTGGGTTATTGGATTGCTGCTGCTCGCTGTAAGCAATTTTGACTTCGATACCCTTGAATATGCATGCTCATGGCTTCTTTCGTGCAAAAGGCTGTTGTTGGAGCGATCGCACTTGGATGGTATGTCTCTCACAACGACCCCTCGCACGTCGCGCCCAAGGCCATTGGTGGCTCGGCCGACGAGCACTCGGCCACCTCTTCCGCCGCCGCCACGACCAGTGGTGTGCTCGCAGCGAGCTCGTCGCCTCATGTCAGCCCGACGAAGACCGTCGAGAAACGCGCCGCAGAGGCGTTCCCCACCGGCGCTGTGCAGAAGCACCGAAGGCACGCCGAGCACTTGTCGCGCTTGAGTTTGGATTGAAGCCCGAACTTACGGTGGTCTCCATCCGATATCGGTCGAAGGAAGGACCCGCACCTTCTTGGACTCCGTACATTCATGCTCTTATACCAGCCATGATTGTGTCCTCTTCCCTTGCTACACTGCACCCTGGGCTGCAAGCGTCCTCGCACTCATCTTCAGTAGAAGATAAGCATGCGTGGGCGCGACCACCCGTCCACTCGTTTAGACACCACGCCTGATACGCACACATTTTGTATCTCATACCTCATCGTACTCCTCGTCATAGTGCTCCGCGGATTCTCTGTCTCTTATCCTTATCATTTCTCTCTGCACATATACCGTTTCGGTCTTCTTGGTGACATCAATGGTTCCATTGCTCGCTGCCGCTGTTCAATGTACCCTTCGACATGATCATCTCCCTTTGTGGATGCATGACAATACACTCGTGGCCGTTCATACCAACGATCCATGGACATGGTCCTCGCGATGTGCCCCGCGCAAGAAGACACGGGCAATCGCACAAAATTAGCCCAAGGTATGTCATCGAATTCGCGAATACATTGCACAATGATGCGGGAGACACTGAGCGCAGAGAGATACATGACGCTGTTATAACATTCCATTCCATTGCCCGACCCAGTCCCATCCCGGAGCGTCGACAACGAACTTGAAATTCCTAAGAAAAACTCAACATTCAGTAAAGCGCGTTCGGCACCTAGAGAGATGTGTGTCAGTGAGGGAGTTGGGGTGAGATGCACGCGCCCGACTGTGTTCGCAATCGGGCGCGCGCTCTCCGGGGGCACGAGGGCCGAGAGTCAAAGATACCGCGAACATCATCCATGCACAAACGA